GGATGGCTTTTCTGTTCTTCTATTTTTTAAATCTTAATATCGTGTAGGATCCACGTACAGTATAATCCAGTATAATTCATGGTTCAGCTATTAGCTTTGATCCTTTTCTATTTTTTATCGTGTCTCCATTGTCTTGATAGAGGGTTTATGCTATTGCTTGTAAAGTCACTTTTGTGCGCTAGCTTCGACCAAAACAGAAGCACCCTAATACTCATTTCTTGGAATGGTATATGATCAAAAGTGATAGAATTCAGTGAGCCCAACAAATTTGTCTTCATTGATTCTCTTTTGTTCTCGCTATTGGTATTGGTAAAGTGGAATTTTCTGACACTGGTTTTCGTGGCCGAGAACTGAATGATAATCAAACCTAAGTGTGACCAGCGCTCTTAGTCAGCCTCCTGGCCAGATTATGTCGACCGCCACAAGGACCCGGCTGGATCTGCTATTCTATCAATTCTGGCACGATACCTATGTGGTATCTTCGTAGGCAATTCAAAGCGATGACAAATATCGCTGGTGTATAGTGTTGACCATCATAAATATCGCACCTCGTGCCACTTCTTAATTTCACGTCACGCTGACTTATTAGACGAAAAAAAAAAACTCATGAGACCTCTTCGAGAACCTTATATGGAGCCGAGGTAAGTGCACTATGTAGCACAGAAACTGCTCTGAATAATTTAATCTCATGGAGAAGTGACATTGTTTCTCCTATCGTATACTTCGACGTTGGTCCCAATCAAGAAAGGTTCACTGCGCATACCGGAATCATCCGAAGCATCATTCGTCCTGACAATCGATCAAATGGAAACACCTTTACTGTATACGATAATGTAGCCGATATATTTGGCCAGGTACTACAGTTTCTTTACAGTGGAGAGTACTCGGTCCCTGCTTTAGCTTCCGATAGCTCAAATCACGTTGCATACGAAGATGTATTCGATGCTAGAGTACAAAAACTCCTTCCTCTTCGGAATAATTATTTCCTAGACCATAAAGATCTTCAAGAGCAGCCAGATCACTCGATAACTATACCCTATTGTGAAAAGGGTGGCTACTTGTGCAAACATCCGGAGACATTGCTCATACATACCCGTTTGTACGCTTTTGCCACTAGCCATGGTCTGTAACAGCTTCAGCATATAAGCATCTACAAGCTTTACTGGACACTTTCAGAGCTCACGTTGGACGTTAAACGTATGAAGGGAGTCGTTAAGCTTCTAGGGTTTTCTAAGGGAGTAGGTGCCGTCGGTTTCTTGCCTAAATTGATGCTTTATTACGTCTCTTCGCACCTGAATCTTCTCTTGTGTTTTCCCAACTTCATCTACCTTTTGCAAGAACAGCCTAACTTCAGCAGTTGTCTAAGTGTTAGAATATGTGATTCTTTATAAAGCATAGAGATTTTATAGACACGTTCTATCCTCTCATTCTAACGTATTTCACATGCGAGCTGCGCACACAAGCGAGCTGCGCAGTCCGATACCTATAGTAAATGCGATAAATTACAACTAGATATCTCAACAATGCTTGTCTTTGCGAACTTTTCCTTATAGCCTAATACTTTTCATATAATATCTTGCTCCTTTTAGGAGTTTGGGGGAATTTAAGTAAGGCTAAGAAATTCATGACTGAGATATATATATTCACAGGATTTAAAGATATAATTTTCGATACCATAATAATGCAGGTTTTTAATCTACTCGAAATTGATGTATACTACTAAAAATTCTTATCAATTTCTATCGGTAAGCTACTGTTAATAAAAAACGTTTGGTTGTGGAGATATAAGTGTAGCATATATCGATTTTACTATGGTGTTTCGATTGCGCAGCTCGCTTGTGTACGCAGCTCGCATGTGAAATACGTTATGTGTTTTTGCAACTAGAAATTAGTAAATCAATATTTTGATGTTGTAGAAGCCCCACCATTTACTCTCTTGGAGTGTCTCCTGAAATTACGCTTCGCATGCTCGCTTCAACAACACGCTCGGTACCTGCCACCGACGGCTTCCAGCATGAATCGCCTAGAAAGAGCTAGTATCTTCTATTCCAATAAAAAGAGGATTATTTACCTCCCAATTCAGCTTTGTGAGGTTTATGGTATTGAGCATTGACCTTTACAACTACGTCAGGGGTGGTGCACCAGTTTGTTTAGTCAGCTTCCTGGAAGCCAAACCATTGGCCCGCCATAGATCCTAAGGCAATAAATAGGTGTCGGTGCATGAAGCCCGGCATACCGGAGGATTTATTAATCCTTCATGTTTTGTAATTAATATTATGTAATCGAGGCTTCATATAAATTGTACCCGGAAGCCGATACAGAAATACAGAGAGTTGAAACCCATTCATTGGACCCCCCTATTTTACAATACCACTTGCTCCAACAATACGACCTACTCCCCGACTACAATGACCTGTAACATTCTGATATGACTCTTTTATCATCCTCCGAGGTGTCGAATATGATGAAGAAAACTTCTGAGCGGAAACGCTTCGAGCTAATGCCTACTGAAATTCTCTTCTGCGTTGTCAATTGTCTTCGGAAAAGGGATATCAAACAGTTTTCCCTTGTCAACAAGCGAGCGAGGGATGTCTGCTTGCCATTTCTATTTTATAAGATTCGAATTGACTTCTCGAATGCGGGTTTCGATATATTGGATAAGATTCTTTATTCGCAATTATATCAGTACATACGTTCTTTCCAATACACTATCCCGCAGTTGCTGAAACCTGGTAAGAGTCCTTACGGAAATATTCTGTGGAGAAGACTAACATTCAGCCAGAGATACGCAATTTTGAGAAGTTCAAGACTGATTTCCTGAACCCTCAGATTTATGTTGAGCTATGTGGAGGCCCCGACTATATCGATGGTGATGAGGATTGGCACGACCATGAATATCTCGGATGCAATTAGACTTCCGCACCGGCCCACAAAGCCCAAAGCCCAACCCGACCCAACCCGTAAATGGGCCGGGTTTTGGGCCCGGTCCTTAGGCCCATCGATGGGCTATAGGCCCGGGGTGAAAGCCCACTGGGCTTTAATAGGGGCCCAATAGGCCCCAAACAATGTAAATATACTAAGTTGAACCCCCTAAAAGGGTTTTTAGAATTACCCTTCGTTTTACCCCCGTTTCTAACCCTTATTCCAAAGGTAATATTTTATTAGTTTAAATTATTTAGAATCAATTACTAGTTACCTCTCTATATCACGTTCCAAAACGCGAGAAAGCGCGTTATTTAGATAATTTATAAATTACAGAAGTTCACGTAGAAAGTAGTAGTATTGCTATACAAACCCAAAATATATATCTCACCAGAATACCTATTTTCGGAGTATCTCGACCTCTACAGGTTGGATTTTATTCAAAATTGAAATATATACTTATATAGCTAGTAAAATTCTGAATTCCGAATTTGAACTTGATACACCCAGTGGAAGGTCGTAATAGAGCGATTCCAGAGGCCGATAAGATGGGCTTTAATGGGGGCCTTATAGGCCCCCATTAGTGGGCTACGGGTTGGGTCGGGTTTCCAAGGTTAGGCCCATTTGTGGGCTTTGCGGAAGTCTAGATGCAATCATCCTTCATACACGGATGTCTATGAAACAATACGGCGAAGATGTGCTGAGCAACAAAGCATTATAGACATCGGAAGAGACGCGGAGTTGTTAAATCTCGCGTTCAAACAGTTCTTCAATTTGAAAGAATTAGTGCTGGTGTTTTGTGAGTTTCAAGGCGAGATTTAGGAGGAAGAATACCAAGAAGTATGCGATATGACGGAGCAGAATGCTTATACACATCATATCCAAGTAGTGCTGAATGCTCTTGTCTCTGCCGGCTCACCTTTTCAGGAAATCCAGCTCACCTCGTTGACACACCGCGACTATCCTTCATTGGGAAGCCCACAGTGGAACTCTTTGACGAATCTTCTCACCACACTAGTGGGATATACCCAGGTTCTACGTCTTGTCGGTAGTAGTCTAGCATTGGCTTTGTTGTCTCGCACAAATCTGAGTCTACGTGAGTTACAGTCACTACGCATAAGTGTTAACACCCCTTTGAGACCCATCTATCACACCGCCCAAACGTCACTCTACCGCCTACCAAACGCTCATACAACTTATGCCATAAGGCACCCAATTTATCTGAAGCACCCGTTAAGAATTGCCTCTAGAATTTTAACGTTAATTTCTATTTAGGAAGGCAAATTTTTGCATAACAAGGCGGCTTTAATAGCTACCTAGTGAATCTTGAGGGGAAAATTATGCCGGCAGAATATTACGTAACTACTCTATGTGGGGCCAGGGGTGCTAAGACTTATGCGTAGTCACTGTAGACTTGTGCTCAATTTATACGACGCGGGCTTTTTTAAAAAGTTTTCTACAAAACAACGTTAAGTCCCTGCGCTCTCTTAAATTTCATAATATCATGGTCGAGGACCGCGACCGGCTAGATTTGACCCCGAGGGATGTCCATAACATGATCAAACTGGTACACGAAGAAGTACCGAGAATTGACAGTTTCCTACGTTCGCGCTCATTTCGGGACGGATCGAAGTTTTACTTTGCCTACGTTGGCGCCGCGACCGCATCAAAAGCCGGGAAAAGGAAATGGAATAACTGTACATAACTTGTTCTTTTCTAAGCTGCGATTAATCCCAAGTGTCATTCCAAAAGTATTCTGAGAAGCGGCTTTCTTTAACGTCCTCTGGAGATACTAGATTTTCTCTGTTTTCTGGCCGGGAAGCACACTCGCAATTTATGTTTTCCCTGGAAATCCCAACCATTATACCAACGGCAGTTGCAATTCAGGTTATACTGAACACCGGATCACTTCGACGTTTCCCTGTATCAAGTAAAAGCGCGACCCCTCAAGCAGCATTCAGCCGACATTGCACAGAAAGTGAAGATGGTCCGACCGGCGTAAATCATCTCCCTCCAGAATGAATAGATATCTATTACCAGCACAAGAAGCTTCGAGGGATTGGTAGTCTATGATGAAATCAATCGAAGCTTGGTTTTCCTGGTAAAGGCAGACCAAGAACTGGTAGAGGCAAGCAAGAAACAATTCTATGTGAACCTTGAGCGTGGTTCAGTAGTGCTGATTTAGACGACAGTTGCTCTCCGTATATCGTGCACTCGTATTGTATACTGTTCGAATACGGTTTGATATGTTTGTTCACAAAGTGTCGGCTGAGAGACCCTGAGTTCTTGAACTTCCGCAGTCGTTCACTGCCCGGCAGCATTGGGTTACCGAGGCAGATAAAGCAGATCGTCGGTCTCTCTTCTGGAGATTTGACGCAGACCGAAGCGATGGCTTGAGAAAAAACATCGTCCTCTATATCTGAAGCAGCCGGCTTCTGCCTTTTAGGTATAAGATCAGCTGGCGAAGTGTCGATATAATTAACGCAGCGTTTTTTTGATGTAGGGGGCCGGGAAGGTGAGCCCTCTTCTGCATTACAAACAGCAATCACCGCATTGATTGCAGCAATCCTTCGCTTATACTCTTTCTCAGTAGTTGCACCGGGTATAGTCAAGACTGTGTCGATAAGAGTTATATACTGTGGTGTTATAGAGCCTGTACTTTCTAGTGCAACCTTGACCTCCTCGTTAACTATCTTCTCTGACAGCTGCCGTTCGCTGTCGATCACCGGCTGTTCATTCTTATAACGTTCTAGGTTTTCGCGAATTAAGCAGTGTCGTTGTCGGCCTTTTTCGTTGCGTAATTGCTTCACGGAACGGTCATACTGCTCCTCGGCGTGTTTATATTTCTTTTGAAGCTTCTTCACAATTTTCTCCTGGGTTTTCCACTGCTTACGTTCTGCAATTCATTCGATATATCCGCTGATCGGAAAACGCGTTAGCCGAAGAATTCAGAATTCCAAGGGCCACTTACGACTGTCGTTGAACGCTTTCGCTGCGCTATATCGGAGGCAGTAAGGCCTCGCGACTTCTGCAAACCCTGTGATTAGACCACCTCGTTTTATTCGGTAGCGCAGCCAGCCGTAAGCTTTTGGTCCAATGCGATGCGAAATCCATCGGGCTCCCGCAATACTTGACAAAACACGTAGTCATCGAGAATCTCGTCTTTGAGCTTTAGTTCCTGCTGGCCTAGCCTATCTAAGACCCGAAGTCTATACAATTTTTCAGGACAGTCCAAAATAGGGCCATCCTCAGATATATTCTTGAATGCACGGATCCTAAACAGCATACCCAACAGGAAAATATGAGGACTGAGGGCTAAGGTGAGGTCGAAAATAATTTCCGGGATTGGGAATGTATTCCTATTCAATAATTATTAGTATGGTAGCTTCAGGTTGACCCGGAAAGCTTCCTGACAAGAATTGAAAGGCAAAGGGGTACAAGAGACAGCGCGAAGGAAGGGAGGGAGGCAGGGGCTCTTACGACTCCTTTTCACCGAGGAAGGTTTTTGTGAACTCTGGTCTCAAATAGATGAACAAGCGAGGGTGTTTTCCGTTTGGATCCCGAATTCATGTCAGCTTTAGATCCCGGAAGCGTAGTTCCAATAGCGCCCCCGGACGACTACCAGTGATAGCCGCCAGCTGGTAAAAGAGGAGAAGTTGTATTCTGTACCAGCCACAGGGAAACGTTAGCTCGGTCGTGGACAGGATTACTCGCGCAAATTCAGCCATATCTTCGATATATATAGTCGCTTTCGGTCGAGGTTGGAGGGAAAGCTTTTCTTCTTTCGCTACTATCGCAAGCACCTGTGATAGTCAGTCGGATTTCAGTCAGATTTCAGTCATTTCTATATCGCTTCGGATAACTCACGTCGCGGATTTTCACCTGAATATCTTTGCTAAGTTTATATCCAACCTCGGACTTGTAGATCAGATACCACTATTTCTATAAAGATTCAAGCGAGGATTTGTGCTTCAATCCTAGGTTACGACGGCTATTTTCCCCCCGTCGCCGCCTACAGCGCCACGAAAAGAAGGCCTTCAGGAAGCGCACTGTCTTTTCGGTATTAGAGAGTTGGGATAGACATTCAACTGGATCGCGCTTTGCACCTTTGCAGAACCTGGTACAGTCAGTGAGTTTAGTAGCGCAAGTATAACACTCAAGCTATAACTTACTCTTTCCGCAGGATCTACTCTTTCCACAGATCCTGCGTCTTATCCAATCTCATTTGCGTTTTTAGACTGTAGCGCTTCTACCGGAGCTGAGACATATCCAGAGACTCGGCCTCCTGAAGAAAGTACTCCGGGGAGAGTTGTTCATCTTTATCATCGAGGCCCAGTTTATCCTGAGACTCTTCCTCCGACTCGGACTCAAATTCGCTGCTAGGAAAGACTGCTGTAGAGACGAGGTGCATCGGTCGGGGCCATGGTAGTCGATATTTATGGAAACCCAGAGAAGGACGGTTTTCCAACAGAGGAGCCATTTTCGGCGCCCTCACTCCACCGGGACGGTGGTGACGAGTGAATGGACAAGGGCCCCTTCGGCGCCTGCAGCATGAATGGACACGAATTGGATCGAAGGCCTAGGCACTAGGCACGGCCAACGCGAGACTTGGGTGGCAGTAAACCAGGTCGGCCGTGGGTTTTAGTGCACGTGACGCCAAGACCGTCCACGGTGAGCGAGCGGCCTAAAACGGCGTCAAAAGCAGCCGTTTCTGGCCTCTCAATCACCGTCTCAACCTTATGTAGAGGTTTTTTTTTTCATAACAATTAGTTGATTATTGAGTAGTGATATTAAAGTGCTTGTGACCCTCCCATGGTAGATAACGTTTGCCGTCCAGGGCTATCACTATCGCCGATCGTGTAACTGGAATATAGCGCTCCCGCGGTGTATACTCCTACCCTAGGCCTAACTTTGTACATTATATAGATATTATAAAGTTGACTCCAGTATTGATATATACAGGGTAATTGATAGAGACTCTCGTTCTGTCCCATAGATATATATTGGGGTTACTACGTATATTTGGATCTAAAATACTGCCTGGCAATATTATCCAATGAGAGAGTTGTGTCCAGGTGGCTCAATTAGTCGCCCGTAAATGATCTAACTACAACGTACCGACTGGTTGAACCGAAAAACACCCAACTGAATTTTCCAACCCTTCACGACGTTTTCAATCGCTAGAACCGTTAGAATGGCGGAGGGGGCAGCTAAGAGACACGCCTCCCCTACCCAAGCCATATCTCCACCCCCATTGCGCCGAAAGGTTACCTCGACGGCGACTAGTGAGTACCAAATATGAATTATTCTGTGGCAGTTACTAAAAACAATCAGAGAACTCCGCGGCAAACTTCTTCACCCCTGTCTCGCAGAAGCAGCCCGCACCGATCACATGGCGTGTCATCGGCACAAGTGTTATCATCGGAAAACAGATAACGGGCAATGCGGTGCCTTTTACTAAGAAACCGCGCCGAATTGCTGGCTTTGACCTGGTGTGATAGAACCGGTAGCATCGAGAGACATGAAAGCCCTACTAACGTCAATATATAGGATTCGACATTAATCAAGACTAAATCAGGCAATGTGTTCCCCAAATCTGCAACTGACTGGCAATGGTGGAACGCCAAAGTCCCGACCCGATTGAGGGAGCTCAATGCTGAAGGGTATGTGCAGATTCATGTAGCGTTCGGCTCACTCGAACTCACGCTTTGACAGCTTCCAAGTCGTAATCTTCTCCAACCAAAAGAATATCAGCACGCAGAAGGATATCAAGGGCGGACGGAGTAAATCGAAAAGCATGTCGAACTTCACAGACAAGATGGAAGCCGTCATGACAGAACTTGATTTCCCCATCAGCGTCTATGCGGCCACCACAGACCCCAAATACAGGAAACCGCGTCTGGGAATGTGGCACGAGTTCCTGGATGACTACGATCTCGATGTGACGGGTGTTGACTTGCCTGCGTCCTTCTTTGTCGGTGATGCGGCTGGACGGCCAGGTGATCATTCAGCGGTGGATCGGTAAGAACATCATGACTACCAGTTGCGAACGAAGTCTGATCTCTACTCTAGGAGACTTGCTATCAACATGGGTGTGCCATTCAAAACTCCCGAGGAATTTTTCCTCGGGCAGACCACTGAGACGCCGGCGATGGGCTTCGACCCTATGTCCTTTGTCAAGTCGGATCTTGGAGAGCCCGGTATGTGCTGTTTCCTTACATCCAACTCCCCCGAGGAATCCCTCTTGCAGATTGTTGATAGATCCTCACCACAGCGAAACCCTTCACCCGCAAGCACCCGCTTGAACTTGTTATCTTCTGCGGTAGCCCAGGCGCCGGGAAATCCACTTTCTACTGGAACCACCTGGAGCCTCTAGGCTACGAACGGGTCAACCAGGATCTTCTCAAGACGGTATGCTACAAGTAACCACAAACGAAACCGAAAGCGCATGCTGATAAACACAGCGTCCAAAATGCCTCAAGGTTGCCCGTGAGCATCTAGAAGCCAAGAAGTCCGTGGCAGTGGGTACGTGATCATATACTCTTTATCTTTCGCTTCATCAAATCTAACCCTACCTAGATAACACCAACGCGGACCCAGAAACACGAGCCCACTGGACCTCCCTCGCAAAGGAATTCAACGTCCCCATCCGCTGCGTACAGTTCATCTCAACACCAGAGCTATGCAAGCACAACAACGCCGTCCGAGCATCAAACAAAGAACTGGTATGTACTAGCACGCCCATCCCCACCCGAACGCCATCCCATTCTCATCGCAACCAGAACCCCGAATCCCGAATCTCGCTCCCCGGCATCGCCTTCGGCGATTTCGGCCGCCGCTTCCGCGCTCCCACGCTGGACGAGGGCTTTGACGATATCATCCCGGTTGAATTCCAGTTCCGCGGCAGCGAAGAAGCGAAGGGTCTTTGGGGACAGTACTGGGTTTGAAAGTGCGCGAATGCACGCTGACTACTTATTGACTATTCATGTTGTGGTTGATGATTGCCTATGTTCTGCATGTCGAAGCTGAAACCCGGTGTCTAGGCACCCACAATCTGTCGGGTTTCACCTGACGCTCTCGGAGTCGCAATATTGATCTCGACTGCGTCAATGCATGTTTCGGTTCTGTGGTAATCTTAGATCAAGACATCAGCTCTGACCCTGGAAGAGGGGTATAGGGTGATTATGAGATATCTATATTTGTACTGTATGTGCTATAATCGCTATCGCGCCTTATATCCATGACTTACATCCTTCCCGAGCCTCGTGCATAAATACATCACAGACATGACTGCGCACATGACATCACCTAGCAGGTACATTGCATGTAGATGAACATGTATAGTAAGCGACTGAATACGACTCAAGGACTAACCCTAGCAGTATACATCTACATCTACACTGCCTAGCACCGCGGATGCAGCAGGAACAATCCAATCCAACGAACGTGGCTCACGAGATCAAGGGCAAAATCATCCTATTGGAAAACCGCTGCCAAGACAGGCACAGACAGGCACCAGCACACCCGCTAAACTCAATTGCCCAGTGCGGACATGACATGTCTCAAGTGGATCCTGGATCATGGGATCACGGTTGTTATCTGTGTGGAAGCCCCCAATCGTTCATGTCGGTATGTGGTTTGTTGGATGGAATTCCAAATGGCGGTAGCTTCACAACGTGGCCGACCCACAGCACTTCATCTCCACTGTCGTAGTCGTTGTACATGTGACTCATTACACGCGCTTTGCGCTTTCTTTTTTGGTAGGCTGTACCGAGATACCTATATAGGTAGTAGGGATGGTAGTAGCTGTGATAGTAGTGTCTATCCGGGAATTCTAGTATGCACCGCGTCATCCTTTCCAAGGCATGTACATGGATGTTTCATAGATTATGCTCAGTTTATCTTTGAGATTTGAGTATTAAGATTTGAGAATGTAGATATAAATGTAGTAATTATGGCATATGATGATCATATGTTATATGTGCAGTAATCTGGATAGGTATATACATATAGAAACAAGGTAGAATGCTTTTTGAAATGCTTTTTTTTTTTTTGTTTTTTGGCCTCTGCGAGCAGAGATGATGGATAGGGCTGAAGTCTATGTGGTAAAACGGACTGGTAGGCTGGTGTATGGGGGGTATAGGTAGATATGTATAGAGACAGACCAAAAGGAGAGGAGGGGTGGATACCCAGTCAGTGGTGTATTCGATCTGTTTCTTGTCGACTGTTGAGAGGATTGTAGTGTGTCTTTAGGAAACAAGACAACACATCCAGGACCAAGAATAGAAAAGATAACCAGAAAAGACAAAGACTCGGATTATAGACGAAGGAATGGCATGATCCGGGGCGAGAACAGTAGTCGCAGATCCGGATCGTAAGTCGTAAGAGTCATTATAAACAGTCAAAGAAAAAAAAAAAGAAAACCAAAGGAGAGACATTAATCGTAACAGTGCGGGCGAGATTGAAGTCATCAGAAGGCGCGCGGGGAATAATCTATCGTCATTATCGTTGCGGATCGCTGTAGGAATAAGAAAAAGAAGAAGAAAAAAGAAACCGGGAGAATCAAGAGCCCAAAATGACTCAGGTCTCAAGGTCGGGAAACCAAATCCTGGAAAAAGCGGAAGAAATTCCTCTTTTTCTCAGAACGACAAGGACCGGGAATCTCCGTAGCAGGCGCCACAGCCATTGGGCCGACAATGTCTTCATCGCCCATCTCGGGGAATTTGTCATGCAGACGCGGGATGCAGAGTTGTTGGCAGGGGTGGATATTAGACTGAGTAAGCGTGAGAGCAACGCCATCAATAGCGCTAAGCTGATCGAGCATGGCCTCATGCTGCGCTGCCCACTCGCGATTAATCGACTCCCATTTCTCCACGGTGAGCTTGTAGATGTTCGATGTGACGCCATAGTGCTCGCCGGTGCGGACGAGATGCTTGGCGAAATTGCATCGCGCAATATCCCAGTCTGCACGCATCTGCCGGAAACTGCCGAGATCGCAGACAACGGGGTCGTAGGGCTCCGGTGTGATGGTGAAGTTTGCGTGGCCGAGTTTGTGGGCCCATTCGTCGTTGGGATCGGAGAGCACGAGCGGTGTTACCTCGCCGGAGACTGTGCGCACCGTGCTGGCGCGTGGTCGGTTGAAGGAGGCCACGGAGGGCTTGGATGAGAGTGGTGGGGAGGGGAGAACGCCCATGAACCGCGGGTCTGAAGTCACATTGTAGTTAAAGTGTGATTGTTCGCTCATGTCTGCAACTGAGGGAGACTGTAGTGGCGACTGGACGCGGGATGCCGCGGCGCTCGTTGGGTCGTCTCCCATGAACGGCGGCAGGAGGGGTGTTGTCGCTTTCTGTAGATCATTGTCGTCCTGGCTGAGACTGTTTGCTCGGGTGATATCGATGGGGCGTGCGCCGGACTCGCTGGCGCGTTCTTCGAAGATTGTTCGCGCGGGGGACGGGGGGATAGAATCGACCCGGCTCATGGGCATGGAGCTAACGATGGGACTTGCCAAGGCGGAGGAGGCCGCCGAGTTCGCGCGCGATCTTAGATCTTCCGGGAAGATATCGCCTTCTGCGCCGCCGGAGGATCGTTTGGTCTTCCACCGGGCTGACATGGTTGAGATGTGCGAGTTGATGCGCGAGACACCTTTTATTGACACACTGTCTGAGCGTCTCTTTTTCGGTGATGGGGCCGTCTCCATGCCAGTATCAGTCAGATCGTAGTTATCTGAGTTATCGACGGGAGTGAAGTATGACTCTTCTGCAGACATGCGGTAATCGAAATGTTCTATAGAAGGTTGTCGTCAGTATCGGGGGTGTTTTTCTCTTGGGTGGTGATTTGACACCTACGGAAATAGCTATCTTCCAATGAATCGCGTGTGCATTCCTCTTCTTTGACCCCGGTCAAATGACTCCGACTGGGACTGTCCATTGAATTTCCCACTGTAGAGACGAGGGAAGATACCGAACTAGAGACGCGGTTGTGTCCAGTCGAGAACAAAGAAATGGCCGGTGATGCGGGGGCAGAGGGATTGGTATTAATAGTCAATGGGGAGTGCGGCTGGCGTATAGGTGAATCCGCGTCGAGACCTTCTCGTGTCGCGTCGATTATTTGAGACAGTTTATACATTCTCAGAGTGCCGCTGGACAAGGTGGCTGGGTATATAGGGAGTTGTTGCAGTTCAGCATTTGATGTGAGGGGTTGATGGAGAAGATAAAGAGAGTAAGAGACAAGGCCTTAATTCGAACAAGTCATTCCCTGGCCTTTGGGCGGAAAAAGACGGTAGCGGTGTGATGGAGAGTAACCGGGAAAGGCGGGAACTGAGGTCCAGGGCCAGTTAGCGATGGGAAATGCGATGGAATTATCGTAGGCCTCTCTCAATTGAGAAATTCCAAAAAGGAAAAAAAAAAAAGGAATTCCGGAGCGACGTGGACCAAACAAGTTGACACCAACTGGCTGGGCAGAAAGGGAGTTGTGTTTTTCTGCTTACAATCGGCAAACGGACTAACAGGGAGATCCTGGGTAGTACAGGTCTCTTTGAGATTTTCAAAGAAGAGAAGAGAGAGAGAGGCACTACGAGAATACTCTACTGTTGTGGCTCTAGACCTCCCAAACAAACCCGGTGGGGAATTCTTCCCTGACTAACACGGCCATTGAAACTAAACTTGGTTCTCTCCGCTAAGATCCGGTGGTTGACTATATTTGAACCATGGTATTAAAGAGTCTGGATTCTTTTGTATTTTTTTCATTTATTATTTGGTTTACTAAGTACATAGGTAGCACATATCCATGTATGTAGTGTAGTATACTATCTCTAGATAGTACATATATATACCCCAATTCAACGGCTACACAGATCTGTTGTGTAGCCCAATATTCCTATCCTTTAGGTACAAAAGAACCCGTGCATTCTAGACCAAAGTGGATTGGGAACCATTATGATGCAATTTGGACCCCACGTACGGGTATACAGATGTTGATTGGTTGCCTGAAGGGAAAGCCCTGGAATAATTGAATACATCTTTTTTTATTTATTCTTTTTCTTCATCATTTGGCCTTGTATATCCATTCTGTACACTGGTGCATCCCCGTTTGTCTCCGATATGTTGAGTAACAAAGGTCCCGTAGAAGTCAGAACTTTGTAGGATGGTTGTACAGAGGCCAAGTCTGTAGGGCACGGTGCTATATGTTGTATATGAACTCCGAACTAGACCTGGACTATATCAAAGCGCTACATACAGTAGTGTACTACAATACTATACTAGAAGAAGGTAAAAATTGCCATCCAATGATACCCACACCAGGCCCTACTTAGGGGAAATCGAATGGCATTCAGACGTCAGATCCACATGGCCCTAACCAAACGTTCTCGGTGTTCTCGGAGAACCTTCGATTTTTCCATGGGGAAAAATAGGTAGTGTTTAGTGCTTTGGAACGCCATTGGAGGCGTGAGAGGCGAGTCTTGGCGCAGCCACCGGGTTCGATTTTATCCGACAAGTCAAGAAAATCTCTTCAATGAAGTTGATAATGTAGGTGATAGATCACATCTGTTTTTGACACTGGAGATCCCACGATCATCTCTTAGAAACATCCTTACTACAGAGCCTGCAGTCCAAAATAGTATTGGGTTCTGGTAGATCGGCCAATCATCGTCTCTCGTTAAAAAAAAAATAAAGAAAAAAAACCTAATCGGGTGAATTTGCTGAGGTAAGTACCCAATTAGGAAGGATTAGGAACACCGGCATGACATATTCAACCCTCTAAATACTACATGGCGATATATCTATACAAGGACATTGTACTTTGTACCATATCCAATCTATTGTTAGCCATTTAATCTATAACCTTTGTAATCAAAATCGCCATTGCTGCAACCAATTCCGCATCAACGACCCAGAAACCGGGCCCAGAGCCTTCATGCTGACACTGGCCTCTCTGGCCCGACGGACATCCAGCGCCACAGAGGCACCTTCCCCTTGAAGCCCGCGGTAAAAACCCAACAGCTTGAGCGCGGGCTTCAAGGCAATCTCCACACTATTAGGGTTAACGATACTTTCCAGTTCGGCCAGCCAGGCGGAAAAATCCACCGGCTCGACCGCGTATTGGCTCTGGATAGCCGGGATCAACGAAGACCATGGTGTTTGTTCGGGATTCGTGAGATGGAACACGGCCGATTCTGCGTCGGAGCTATGACGCGTGTGGACAATTTCCACGATAATCTTCGATAGAATATCCTAGAGGAATGGAAAGTGATCAGCGCTAGGTCTTGTTTTTTCAAGGAAAAATTTTTCCTTCGGCTCCGGTTAATCTATTTGCTGATCAGGGGGACTTACTACCGGGACCCAATCGACGGTGGTCGAGCCTAGTCCAGTCGGAATTTTACACATCGCTTTCGACGTTGCGATGATCGTCGGGAGCCATTCCTGTGGATTCCATCGTCCGCGCGCACTGGTTGGTCCGGCGATTTGTCCGACGCGATACACCGACGTAGGGACGTGGGATCGTTTCGAGGCTTCGAGACACATCCGCTCGGCAATGTATTTGGATTCACCGTAGCCCTGCGGGAGAACGACTGCAATGTCCTCCATCGGTACTTCTGGGATCGAGGCTCCCATTTCTGGGGTCCAAGCACCTACCGTGCTGACGGAGGAGATGAAGTGAAGATGGGCATTGCTGCGACTGGCCAAGCTAAAGTCGATAAAGCGGCGCACGCCCTGGATGTGGGTTTCCTCGAAGGAATCGACGGTGTGGTTGAAGTCGACTTTCCAGGCGTTGTGGATGATGGTATCGACTGAGTTGAGGAGTTCTTCGTATTTGGATTCGTTTAGTCCGAATTGGGGTTTTCCGAATGAGGCTTGGAGGAATTCGACTTTGTTTTCCCAGTTGCTTGCGTCGAGGCGCAGGCCTTTCTCTTCGAAGCCTTTTTTCTGTCGTGATTCCGCGTCGGAGCGGTTGAGGCAGTAGACCTTCGTGATGGAATCGCTGCTCAGTAGAGAATGCAGTAGATATGTTCCCAGAGAGCCGGTTGATCCGGTCAGTATCACGGTCGAAGGTGAATGCAATCCATTCGGAGGGTAGACTTCCCGCGCTGGAAGATCGGACGTATACTTTTCCACTAGACTCTGGATCTTCTCTGCTCGCGGGATCCCAGCTTGGGTTTTTCCATCTAAGATGGCCATAACGACCAGAGACAACCGGTCTACTGTTGGGTTCCGATAGATCGTCTGGGCGTCTATGGTTCCTGCTTTCACATCCGGCCGACGTAGCTGGATACCCTTTTGCAGCACCTGGGCGAGATGAATGGTCATCAGAGAATCAAGACCGGCAGAGTAAAAGTCCTGACTATTCTCGATATTCGATTTCTCCAGAACACGGGTGATAATCTGGTGGATATACCCTGTAACACTCTCACCGTTCAACCTCTCTGGCAGACACTGTTCCAAGTCATGCTCAAGCTCTTTGGCATACATTTCATCGATCTCTTTCTTGTAATCTCGAAGCACAGCCTGACGCTGCACAGTACCTTTCGGAGTCGTCTTAAACGGCTTATTCTTCGCCGCGAACCAGATCCTGTTCTTCATCAACCGCCCATGAGCCGCGATAGTCTGGTTAGCCGCTTGCACCGTCGACCAGATCTCCTCAACAAAGAGCTTCAGGTGCAAATCCGGTCCTCCGTGACTCGGCTCGACGAGCAGACCGGCCTGGAACCGGGACTGCCCGACCACCACCGCCCTCCTGACCAGCGGGTGTCCTTCAATGGTTTTCTCCATCCCAACGGGATTGAATTTCTCGCCGTTACTGAGGACAATCACATCATCCTTGCGCCCACAGAACTTCCACAGATGCGGTTTCGTCGGGTGCTGGGTAAAGAGATCATTGGTGTGATACACATTGATATTGGGGTATGTGTGGAAAATGCTCTTGAAGTCGCGAGCATTTTCCTGTCGAGGAATCACCATCTCGAATACTCCATCCCCGACATCTTCCATGTCTATGCCGTACGCTTCATTCCATTCCAAGTAACTCCAGTTAGCTGGGTCCTCCGGCGCGAAAGCTGACAACACGCCCGCCTCGCTGCTTCCAATAGACGATACAAGCTGCGTATACTTGCTCAACCGCTCTCCGATCTCTGGAGATAGAGGTGCGCCGCCGAAGTACACTGTCTTGAGTTCTTTCAGACAATCCAAAGCTGCGTCGGAGTAGCTTAGGTCTTCTAGGATCGAGGGAGTGCAGAGCATAGCTGTGGGACGGGCCGTGCGCAGCAGGTCTATCATATGGTCGACGGAGAGTGACTTGTCTGGGCCAATGAGGGCGGGCACTTCGAACCACACTGAGAACACGGGTGGTATTAGGCCCATTATATGGAAGAAAGGCGGCGTGCCCAGGACTAGTTCGGTTTGGTCTAGATCGTAGAACATGCTTGGCTGGCGACCTGATGACTTTATGAGATTGGAAAGAGAATCCATGGCCATGAAGAAGCCGTTGGTGAGATATACTGGCTTTGGCATGGCTGGAGCGGGAATTAGCCGGGTTCACGGTGTCACATTCAGGGAGTTTACCTGTTGTTCCAGAGCTATGGATGATGCATATTGTATCATTCTCTGCGTCGGCATAAGATTTGGTGTATGGATAGTGCCGCAGACCGATTTCGTCACTGAGAATCTTCTTGATAGTCGGGACTTGAAAGATATCTAATGCCGGAAGATGTCCCTGGATCTCGAGGGTTCGTATCTGGCGCTCCTCGCTGAAGAAGAACTTGGTGCAGTTTGTCGCTTTGAATAGATGGACATGGGCTTCGTCCGAGTTCCTAGTGGAAGGCAAGAAGGCCTATGAAAATCAGTCTGATTATTCTGTCTACGGCTACAATGGCTTTGTTTTACCTGGTATCCAGTCTTCTGACATGCAAGCATAAAGAAGAAATAGCGCACATCGTTGCTGCCCATATATGCCAACGTCTCTGGGGATTGTGCCGGTCCAATGGTGTTTTCAATCCACCAGCACATGAAGTTCACAGCCTGTGCCAGGTCTTTGATTGAAAGGTCTTGGAACCCATTGCTTATTTCTGGTCCCTGTGGGATAACAGCAAATCGTTGGCTGGGATTTGTTTCAGCATGATCGTCGACCGTTGTCGCAAGCAGTCTTTTCTGATGAGACTCCATATTATTCAATGGTTTAGATGTCAGGAACCAAGGTAAACTGAAGCAGTAAGAATACTGGGAAGTATGTACCAAAACAATGCGATCTTCTATCCATTCTAAGGGATATAAAATCCATATTTATATCCAACATAGTTCCCCAAAACAAGCTGATACTCAGTGAAGATGACCTGCATTTGAGGTGTCACAGAAGTGGCGAATCACCGTTCATTATCGTTATTATTTACTATATCTGCTGTACAAGATAGCTCATGTTGTGTACATTACGGGAGTGACTGTATGAAGGTGTAGATCATTGCTGATATCACACTAGTCTCATACCTACTCAGAGCGTATACCGCCTGCTGAGCATTGCTATGCTTTGTTTTGGCTTCACAATGACCGAATCCCTCCGTCTTACCGGGATATCGGTGCCGAATATGTTGGAAATGTGATGGATCGTGATATGGCAGGTGGAGCCGACTTAGCATGGCGGGGGCTTATCAGCTAATTAGTCAGTTTGCTAAAGATCACTAACTATGTACTAGTACTTGTGTACATACGTTGTGGAAAGACATACTCATGTATCTATGAATTACAGGCCACTTGACCAATGCACCATGTAAGGTCTCTCATGCCTCCTATATCAATGTGCCACGAGAGATCTTGAGTACTAATTTACAGACAACACATGGCCTGGTCTCCTGATATTGTATGTCATTCGCTACATATTTGGTGCAAACCTTGGCTATACATAAGCTCTTCATTCGGGCTCGGGACTATATCTTATTTGCCAATGGGTTTTTTGCATATAATGGGTTACATGTACTTTGTATAGTTTTGATAGATATTATTGCGTTATCTATACTTATTTCCCCGAATAAAGTACCTAGATTTTTATATTCTTTTGTCTTTCTCTGCATCAATATTCCTCCCTGCTTCCGGATATATATCGCGGTGGTATTGCCTGTGATGTGGCGACATCTAGATCCCCATGCAACTGTGATTTCATGTGCGACATTCTTGAGCCGAATACCGACATGTAACTCTTCATCTTCATACTATGTAGTATTTGAGCGTAAACATATGTATATACACATCGGGGTTGCAGACAAATATGCATCTAAAAACTTGGTCGATATGAATCAGTGTAATTAAACTCGCTCACGCGATAACCATAGACGTAATAATCCAATTGCATTTAAGCTATTCTACTACTACATGTACTATGTATGTAGTAACCATGTTTTGATATACCCACGTGACCGTATACGAAATCGGGTTTGTTTCCGATCACGGACATCGGAGCTACTGCCAAGATTGGCAAAACACAACTTTCTGGTTGTCGGGGTTATTCAATTGTTTTGGATACAGAAACTCCCCGACTCCCCAACTCCCCATTGGAACATACCATACACCAATCTCCCAATGAAGCTCTCTTCATACCTCGCGGCCGCAGCCGCGGTCATGTCTGGTGTCCATGCTTCTCCGCACCCCGCATCTGAGCAGCAGCTCCTAGGCGAACCAGCATCATCCTTCTGGCCTAGATACAGCCAAGCAGAGCTATATGGAAAAATCAGCGATTCCTTTCTACTAGCATTCCACCAAGACCTGGTCCGTAGAGAGTCAATCTCCGGCAACGAGCACGATATCGGTATCTTCCTCGCGGACTTCCTGGAGGCCTGCAGCTTCACCGTGATAAAGCAAGAAGTACCCGCAGTAAAAGGCAAAGAGCACCTCAACCCCCGCTACAACATCTACGCCGTTACGAAACCACACACGAAATCAGACACAGAACCCTCAATCCTCATCACAAGCCATATCGACACAGTCCCGCCCTTCATCCCATACTCCATTCGCCAGCCCGTCCCAGACGGCTCCCCAAACTTTGACCCGGAGAACTTCATCATTGGAGGTCGCGGCTCCGTTGATGCAAAGGCCAGCGTCGCAGCACAGATCATCGCGACTATCGAAGCACGGAACGAGAACCCAGATGCTAGACTCGGGCTTCTCTTCGTCGTCGGCGAGGAAATCGGCGGCGACGGAATGAAAGTCTTCTCGGACTCGGTACTCAACCCCAAAGACACCCTCAACACCGTTATCTTCGGTGAACCAACCGAGGCAGCCCTCGTCGCCGGACACAAGGGCATGGTCGGCTTCAAGGTCCTCGCTCACGGCAGCGCCGCGCACTCGGGATACCCGTGGCTAGGCAAGAGCGCCGTCTCGGCGATTCTGCCTGCACTGTCGCGCGTCGACGAGCTGGGTAATATCCCCGTTGAGAAGGGTGGTCTGCCTGCCTCGCCCAAGTACGGACCCACGACGCTAAATATCGGCGTTATCCGTGCTGGCGTCGCGACGAATGTTGTTCCTTCTGAGGCGTGGGCGGATGTTGCTGTCAGACTTGCGGCTGGGACGCCTGCTGAGGCGCGGGAGATCGTTCAGCGCGCTGTTGAGGAGGCGGTCAAGGATGTCGAGGCGGAGGTTGTGGTGGACTTTGTTTCGCATGGCGAGTCTTATCCGCCGCAGGATTTGGATGTTGATGTTGATGGGTTTGATGTTATTACTGTTAACTACGGTACGGATGTGCCCAATCTGGCTGTCCGTCCTGGTGTCAAGCGCTACTTGTATGGACCTGGCAGTATTTTTGTTGCTCATGGTGACAATGAGGCCTTGACCGTCCGCCAGCTTCAGGAGGCTGTGGTTGGTTACAAAAAGCTGATTGTGACTGCGCTGGAGAGAGAGAGAAAGGGTGAGGTGGCTGTATGATTTGTTTCTCGCTGCATTTATCTTGATACCGGTGTGATATCTGCTGTATATAGTACATAACTTCGGTTACTAGGTCTTATTTTGGGTCATCTTAAGTCTCCAACAGAGAATAGTGGCTTGACTCTGCATATGAAATGCCATCTCTATGTCGTTACTAGGAATGTTGCTTACTGAAAGGGAAACCGGCCATGTACAAAGTGTTGGTACACAAATCTAGGTATTCCTAGAGGACAAACGAAAAAAATATAAGGAAAAACGCTGTAAAAAACACATAAGAGACATCACAGCCGTAACCAAGGCTCTGCTCAGCAGATCTACTGCTTGGGCGCCCTCTCCCATCCCGTCTTAAGCTCACCAGTAGGCTTAAACCGAGGGAATGGATGGGCCTCAGTATTGAAAACGTGATCCTCCAACGAGATGAAATCACGATCCGAGAACAACAAGTAGAAATACTTGAGCGTCTCAGCCATCCAGTAGCTCTCCATATTATCGCGCTTGTACGAAGGAACTGCATCCGCATTTCCAAGCGATGTAAAGCCCTTGATACGGAAAACAGGTGCTGTGTTGGTCGACGTAGGAATACGGGAGGTACTCTTCTTCTCGACCACGGCTGTGTGTTTGATGAAAGACTTGAAGATCTCCCATCCCCACTGGCGGTAGATATCGTCGCCGGTAATACGGTAAAGATAGAAGAGAGACTCGACTGTTTCCGGGCGCTGGAGATTGTGACGGTCGTCGCGGTGGATATCGATGTCCGCGCGCCAGGACTCGGACGCATCGCTTTGCGCCTCCAGGGGCTTGGAAATGCCGCGCAGTGCCTCGGGCTTGGATGCGTGTTTGAGATTTGTCGCTGGATCTGGGTACTTGTCTGCCATCATCACGGGAGGTGAGTCTAGGACGAAGTGGGAGATCTCGGCTGCGAGGCCGGTTGCTGTTGCCTGGTGCATTGCCCAGCAGGTCTTCATTAATTCTCTGGACATGAGGATCTCTTCCTCGCGCTGTTGAGTCCAACCAGCTGACTTTCGGGCTTGGGACAAGGGCTGGCCACCGGTCGCACCGAGTGCGATTGTTCCGGGCATGAAGCAGACTAGATGGTCCATTCTGGGGGACAGATCCTGGTCTAGGCCCTGGGGCCGCTCGCCGATAATCATCAGCTGAGAGTTCTTGGTGAACGAGACCAGGTGCTTGCGGATGCCTTTCAATGCCTCATCCCACATCTCTTTGTAGATGGGCTCCTGTTCTGAGGTTTGCAGATATTGCTTGATGAGATATTCTGGGCGAGTCAGCTTAGAAGAACTACAAAGAACGGAGTATTATCAACATACCATAATAAGAATCCACCTTGCTGCCTAGAGTAATGCTGTCTCCTTTGAATGTACCACTATCAGGATGGATGGCAGTTCGGACAAGGCCATCCTGAGGCTTTTGCTGGTCGACTAGCTTCATCGTTTTCTCAACCAACTTCCAATATTCCGCCTCGCCGGTCAGCTTGGCCAAGTACTTGAATTCAAGCTGCAATGAGCCAGCCTCAGAAATAGACGTGGCTCCCTCGTCGGAATGCACGACGACACCTGCTGAAGTGTTGAGATTGACATTCGACCACGGGATACCGCTTGGAGACTCGAAAGCCCCGAGTAGCCGCTCAGCGAGATCAGCCGCTTTCTCGATGTACAAGTCTTCACCAGCAGCACCGACATCATCGTCGTTGATGGGTGCCAAATCGGGGTACTTGGTTGACAGATAGTGTGCAGACAGCAAACCACCCAGCATGCGAATCGTCGTCTCGAACGTATTAACATCACGGTCCTGATCATAATTCAACGATGTGGAAATCCATTGGCGCGCGCGGTGGACCTTGGACGTTAGATTCATGATCATCAATGTGTCCAGCGAGTCAACGATCATCCAGCCCAATGCGCCGCTGGTGTCTTCCTGATTAACGTTCGATACTGGGCGATACTGATCGTATCCTGAACAATAGTGTCAGCGCTATCACAGAACACAAGGCTGCTGGATGACTTACCCCATGCGTTCTTCTCATATCCCTCCCAACTAACGATGAAGGCGTCCCGCACTTTCTCTCGTCTCGCAGTCCAGTCAGACAAGTCGCCGGAATTTTTTCCGTCTTCCAATGTCTGGGCCCATTTCCATAATTCGACCCCTTTATCATTTGACTGTAGCCCCGACCACGTGCGCATGTAGAAGTTATAATATAAGAAAAACAACACCGTGCACGCCCCCAGCACGTTCAGGAATGGCCTCCATCTCCTTCGAGGACCTGTGCGCCGCGGCGAAAAGAATGGCTTGTCTTTGTATAAAGGTAGTGTGCGGTCCTTCTCGAAGTAGCCGTTCGCTTTATTGGATAGGGGGATGGGCTGGTTCGACAGCCCATATCCACGGAGCCCAGTACGAGGGTTTCCATAGTAGCTGTCTTGTCGCGCGGGCGCAAAGGGACTGCGCGATGGCTGATAGGCCATTGTTTTCTTCGATCTTGTATCTTGTTCCGTGAGGGAATGTCTGTCGGTCTTGTAATTACCGAATGCGCCACATGGGACTGAGGGGGAGGACGAGATAATATCGGAGGATTCGCCTTCGCTTGGTGTTGATCAAGATTTTATTTCAAGGTTCATTCAAGCGCGTTTGCTATTCGACATGCAACAGTTAGTCGGGTTTGATTCCAGCCCTAGAGGAGCCAACCCTTCGGACAAAGACACCCGCACACTTACCGAAACAACCCTTCGTTAGGGCGGTTGTGGTCTAAAAGTCTTGATCGCAAAGACAATCTGATCTCTCAGTTCTAGACTAAAAGGCCAAAATGCAACGATACAGTTGTGTTTGGTGGGTTGGTGGTTCGTAAAGAATTTCTCTGCGGAAATGCGGAGCGCGGAGGTAATCCCGCGTGTTTTCAGCAATCCTATGGCAAACAAAAGCCAAGTATCGCAACAAGCATTTAATTTAATTCGAGACAAAATGTGCGCACTTGAAAACTGAGAACGTGGCAAGGGTCAAGGGAAACTGGGGAAGTGGAGAGGCGACACTAGGGGTGCCCGCAAATCATATCATTGCACGCGTAAGCCTCATAACTTCCAAGGTTATCAAGTCTGAGAGTACTTGTATATAATCAACATTCAGGGCAACGAGCTATTTATCAAACCCTACATCCTCTCATCAATTGATTGGAGCAGTTATTCAACTGTTAATTAAGCAAGTTATTGTTTCCAAGAACCCTGATCTACAGACTCCAGCTTGAATCAATAGAAGAATAGGAATGCATAGCATGAGCGCTTCAAGATAGAGATCTAAACCGTGCAGATGATGTGGGCCACCAGCCCCGCAAGGTAGATACAATTACAGCTTCTGATACTCAAGCTTGCCCTCCAACTTCTTTGCCTCTGCCACCTTCCGTACAGCCTTGTTCATGTCATCCTGGTTGATAGCGTCACGGTAATCCTTGATCGCGAACAGACCACTAATAAAGGGTTAGCTAACGAACTTCAGGTAGAATATAATGTAGGAGTGTCACTCACGCTTCAGTAACCACGTTTCGGAGATCGGCACCGTTAAGACCATCGCTCATCTTGACCACGCTCTCAAAGTCGATCTCGCCTTCCTGTTGGACTGTACTTGTGTGGATCTTCAAAATCTCCAAACGACCAACTTCATTGGGAAGAGGAATCTCAATCTTGCGGTCCAGACGACCGGCACGCAGCAGAGCAGGGTCCAGTGTATCCGGTCGGTTGGTGGCCATGATGATCTTTGTCTTTCCTAGGTAGTCGAAACCGTCCAGCTGGTTCAGCAACTCCATGAGCGTCCGCTGGATTTCTCGATCTGCTGATGTACCCTCTGAGAATCGTCGTCCACCAATGGCATCGATCTCATCCATGAAAATAATGCAGGGCTCGTGTTCCTTGGCGTATCCGAACATTTCTCGGATCAATCGAGCGGATTCACCGATATATTTGTCCACAATGGCCGAGGATACAACTAAAGAGAGTAGACTAGTCAGAATGTTGCGGGCGTAGATGTTATAAAGACGTTGAACATACCCTTCAAGAAGTTGGTCTCCATCGAGCTAGCTACTGCTCGTGCAAGCAGTGTCTTACCAGTACCAGGAGGACCGTAGAGCAGAACACCCTTCGGAGGCTTAATTCCAACTCTGAGGAAGAGTTCTGGATTCTTCAGGGGCAGTTCAATGACCTCACGGAGCTCTCTGATCTGGTCGTTAAGACCACCGATACCTGCGAAGTTGACGGACCCTGGATCTTCCAGAGACATGTTGTACACCATGGGATCAACTTCACGAGGTAGCATCCGCATGATGGTGAGTGTTGTCATATCCAAGGCCACACGTGTGCCTTGCTTCATCTTGGACTTATCAACCTTTGAACGACAACCGACCACATATCGAGGACCCGATGACGCCTTGACGATGACTGTAAAGCGGATTAGCTTCTTTATGCGATCATTGGAGTAAAAAGCTTGAACCTCCGATACTTACATCGCTCTTCGTCGAGCTGCTTCAGCACCTCGCCGATGATCTGACCAACACTTTGTAGTGCCTTGATGTTATCCTCAGAGACATCAAACTCTCTTTGAAGATCCTTGATACCCAAGCGAAGCGATTTCAACTTGGCTTCCCATTCTCGTAGCTCGAGCAAGCTCTTTTTATAGTCCTCGAGCGCCTGGCCGCGCTCCGGGTCGCTCATGATGAAAGGCGGACGAACGAGATTCACCGAGTGTGGACGAGTTGGGATGGTAGCCAAAGGGGGGCTATAATTCAGTTAAGGATTCCGGGGTTCGTGTAAAGTCGTGGATGCGAAATGGATGAATATCGTGATTGAAAAGGGCGACAGCACCTTGCCTGGGGAGCTTCCAGCTTCCAGCGCGGCGTCCATAAGAGATGATCACATGACCACATAGCTGCCTTATGTCATAATCTTGGTCATCAGCAGGTTTTTAGACACCTAAGGCAGAAATCTTGGACAATATAACCCAAAGAATTTGAGGAGTTTAATGGATCCATGCTAGCTTCGAATAAATAAGAGATGATAATGTAACGATGATATAGGCTTTGGGAAACAGTTCGCCTTTTAGCTCCAGATATTTGAGCTCTCTACTTTGGGTTCTTTTGCGCCTTTCATGCTCCATTTTCTATTCATTCCTATATCTCCCAAGGTCCTAATCCTTCTTTTTCTAATCACAATCCTCTTGATCAAGATGGAGATGCTTCTTCATCCTCATACGGTGCTTATGGATTCAGGCTATGGATGTCTGCGAGTTACCACATTTCTAGCGATAGGCGCTAAAATATTGAGTAGGTCATGTCACCCGCTTGGCGAAGTGGTAGTTGCGTGCGCATTGTATGTTGTATGTATTCTTTATCAACAATTCACTCATACAAGTGATCCCAGAAGTGGGCCTTTCTCCTTTCCTTTTGTCTCAAACCTTGGCTATTATTGGCTATTATTGATGGGAGCATCTCGGAAGGGAGGATAATCCGGAAGACGGTTCGAGTTAGTTTGGCCTTAACAATAAGGAATCAACAGCTGTCTTCGTCAACGTCGGAACGGAATGAATGCTACGCTACGTAATGTGAAAATTTCCTTTCGATTTGTTTGAATATATAATAGCCTTGAAGGTAACATCAGCTCAAACAATAAGGAGCTCTGTTTTACAGCTCAAGCTAGATGCATAATGGAGGGGTTGAGGGGTATGCCGTACGATGTGCACGTCCTGCAACAGGGGTATATATATACAAAGTACGGAGTGTACGTACTCCGTACAATCGGGAGAATGCCATCATAAGTCTAATATCTTCCGAGGGACGGGAGATCTCGTAGCTAAGAGGGCCGCATATGGTCGGATCAGCCAGCAAGTGTTAGAGAATGGTCATCGAGCCCCACTGTTGCATTGGAAAGAATCGGAGCAGCAAGAGCTTTCCCGGGGTTCTCTGGGGGAAAGTTATTTAAGTAGTCGGGTGTCTCCGTAGGGAATTTTCGTTTTATTTACCAAGTTGTTCTTCCTTTTATAACAGGTGAGTTGAAATATAGCATCATATAACATCATAACCATCATAACATCATATACCCCGCCATAACACATCTACCCCTCCAACCACATCATTCCACTCTACACTACACTCCAAGTCTTCTGGAAAGGAATAGAAACCAACCAAAGACCTACCGGTGATCGTAGTAGGAACTTGCCCCCCGTTGAGCTCTCCAAGCAAATCATATCCTTCTTACCCTCTTCCCGCCCAATCTTTTTGGGTCATCGGTGAACCTCCCCCCGCCGTTAGTCACCTGCAGCTTTTGCCATATATCAGCCCGGATTCTCTTTTTTCTTTCTTTCAACTGACTGAAACTATAATCAGCCTGTCCAATTCCAACATGCCTATCTCCAAGATCCACGCTCGCTCCGTCTACGACTCGCGCGGCAACCCCACCGTTGAGGTGGATGTTGTCACCGAGACTGGCCTTCACCGTGCCATTGTCCCCTCCGGTGCTTCCACTGGTTTGTCCTCCTTGCCTTCTAGACCAGCATTGATAGCTTGCTAACATTAACTCTTAGGCCAGCACGAGGCCGTTGAGCTCCGCGATGGTGACAAGACTAAGTGGGGTGGCAAGGGTAAGTAGATGAGCTCGGTTGATATGCATAAGTAAACCGGAAACTGATATATTTATTTCAAATAGGTGTCCTCAATGCCGTCAAGAACGTCAACGAGATCATTGGCCCCGCTCTTATCAAGGAGAACATCGATGTTAAGGACCAGGCCAAGGTCGACGAGTTCCTGAACAAGCTCGACGGAACTGCCAACAAGGGCAAGCTCGGTGCCAACGCCATCCTCGGTGTCTCTCTGGCCATTGCCAAGGCTGCCGCCGCTGAGAAGGGTGTTCCCCTCTACGCTCACATCTCCGACCTTGCCGGAACCAAGAAGCCCTTCGTCCTCCCCGTTCCCTTCCAGAACGTCCTGAACGGTGGCTCCCACGCCGGTGGCCGTCTCGCCTTCCAGGAGTTCATGATTGTTCCCGAGTAGGTCTTCCAGCCTCAGAGCTGTATTGCAACTATCAACTAACAACATCACAGTACTGCCCCCACTTTCTCTGAGGCCCTCCGCCAGGGTTCCGAGGTTTACCAGAAGCTCAAGTCTCTCGCTAAGAAGAGATACGGCCAGTCCGCCGGTAACGTCGGTGACGAGGGTGGTGTCGCTCCTGATATTCAGACTGCTGAGGAGGCTCTTGACCTCATCACCGATGCCATTGAGCAGGCTGGTTACACTGGCCAGATCAAGATTGCCATGGATGTTGCCTCCAGCGAGTTCTACAAGGAGGATGCCAAGAAGTACGATCTTGACTTCAAGAACCCCGAGAGCGACCCTACTAAGTGGCTCACCTACGAGCAGCTTGCCGACCTCTACAAGTCCCTCGCTGCCAAGTACCCCATTGTCTCCATCGAGGACCCCTTCGCCGAGGACGACTGGGAGGCCTGGAGCTACTTCTACAAGACCTCCGACTTCCAGATTGTCGGTGATGACTTGACTGTCACCAACCCTCTGCGCATCAAGAAGGCCATTGAGCTCAAGTCCTGCAACTCCCTTCTCCTGAAGGTCAACCAGATCGGTACCTTGACCGAGTCTATCCAGGCTGCCAAGGACTCCTACGCCGACGGCTGGGGTGTCATGGTCTCCCACCGCTCCGGTGAGACCGAGGATGTCACCATTGCTGATATCGCCGTTGGCCTCCGCGCCGGTCAGATCAAGACCGGTGCCCCTGCCCGTTCCGAGCGTCTTGCCAAGCTTAACCAGATCCTCCGTATTGAGGAGGAGCTTGGTGCCAACGCTATCTACGCCGGCGAGAAGTTCCGCACTGCTGTCACTCTGTAAATGGAGCCTTTCGGCAGCATAGATCGGGCCTGATGAGGGCCCATCAAAAACGATGGTTTGGATGATTCACGGAACCATCGCACATGATGATTATGAATTTAATAGGATCTTTTTCAATGAAAACAAATTTCCACCCTTCGATAATTTAAGAAAAATGAGTAGTAAATGAAGATTTCCTCAGTATAGATTGAACAAAAATCATGCTCATCGGGCATCTAATGCCCGAGATCACGTGAACATGCCACCTGGGGATGATAAGTGTGTCCCACATAAAATTTGCCCTCGCCCCTCCATTGCTGGGTCCTATTGTTGGCTTGTTCCTTTCGGCCTTGCGTATAGCGCGTTACGTTCTTTCTTTTCTTTCTATCAACGAGCTTTTAGATTGTTCAAAATGCCGCCTTCTAAGTGGGGTATGTTACTATCCTTGTATTATCGCCTTCTATAGTAATTGCCACAATTGCTTAGCTCGTGTTCTGATCCTTGTTGCTGTTGCTAATCCTTTTATTTCATATAGACGAAGAAGAAGAAGAGAGCTCTGCGCCTCCTGTTGTTATTGCTGCGCCTCGCCGCCGCTTCGATGATGAAGAGGACGAAGATGTAAGGGAACACAAGCTCGAACCTGTCCAGCAGGGCCCTCACCTTCGCGCTCAGACCAGAAAACTAATAAACCGCCGAATAATAGGTCCTTGACTCATGGGATGCCGCCGAAGATTCCGAGGTAGAGCGCGAGAAGGCCAAGAAAGCCGCCGAAGCCGAAGCTAAGGCCAAGGCCACCGCCGCCGCCAACAAGAAGACCAAAGCCGAGCGGATAGAGGAACTCCGGCAGCAGCGCCTCCGTGAGGAGGCCGGGGATGAGCTCGAGAGCGAGGACGAATCAGACCGCCGCGCTCGTCTGCGCAAGACCGAGCAGGAAGCCGATCTTGCCCACGCCGAGGATCTTTTCGGCTCTGTTGATCTTAAGCGCAACAAGGGCGCCCCCAAGGCTGTTGTTGTCAGCGACTCAAACGACCCTACCAAGTCTGTCGACCTGTCTGCCATGCCTTTGTTCAACCCCGTCACTAAGGACCAGTTCACCCGTCTGACCGAGACCCTTCTTCCGCTCCTCACCCCGCACACCAAGAAGCCCCATTACTCTCTCTGGGCGCAGGACTTCGCCCGTAAGCTCGTGAAGGAGCTGCCTAGTGCTGAGATCAAGAAGATTGCCAGTGCTCTCACTACTGCCTCCAACGAGAAGATGCGTGAGGAGCGTGCAAATGACAAGGGCAACAAGAAGTCCAAGGCGGCGAAGACCAAGATCTCGCTGAATGCCAGCCGCGACATTCAGCGTGATAGCACCGTCTACGACGGTGGTGATGATCTTGGGGATGATGACTTTATGTGAACGTGAATACGAACGACTCGTCTCCATTTGAATTACCTGGGGTGTTTGTTTCGCTCTTGCTTTCTCCTGGGTTGGATTCTTGAAAATATGCATTTTTAAAAGAAGACCATCCTTATTCTTGCCTCACCTATATGCAGGTTTCTGCTCAATGTGACCACTTTTTTTTTTTTTCTTTTTCCCAAACCTCGCCCTGTACATCCCCTTCTATCTCAAAATGCCAGGGCATAAGTAACCCATAGAAAGAACCAATCCATGCCTATTATTATATGACCTCACATAAATCAACCACAACCCTAACCCCCCCAGCTAATAACCACCACATTACAACCTTTTAGAAATTACCCAACAAACCCACTACTCCTAACCACCGACCTAGTCCCCCGACTTTTATTAAGCATCCCAATCTGCCTACCCTCCTGCTCGATATCAACAACGCTCCTAGCAAGACCCAGATAGCCCTCATCATCCAAAGCAAAAAGCGCTTCCTGGACCCACACGCGGCAACAAAGGCCCTCTCGGAATCGAGCGGAGTACAGCGCTAATGGGACGAGTGCCAGACGTGCTCCCAGTGCAGCGTGCAGTACAGGCTCGACGACGCCAATTTTCAGCGCTAGCACCACTCGCATGTTGCTTGCTATGTTGTATACGACTTCGGTTTTGTATTGCCAGGCTATCGGGCCTGTCTCGTTGGTTATGTGGAAGGTTCGGCCCATTGTGGGTGTTGAGGAGAGGTATAGTTTCCATTCGAAGAGGCAGCTCCCGCCTAGATCGAGGAGGAGGATATAAAGAGCGTTGGGTTCGAGGGAGAGGGGTTGGGTGATTGACATTGGGATTTTGGTTTTCTCGGATAAAATACTGCTCGAGATGGAGGTTTGTGTCCTCAACCAGTTTATATACCTCATTGCAGCAAGATGTGGATTTGACTATATGCATTTCTTTTACATACATCTTCTCCTTTCGTGTAGATCCCGATAGCATGGAGCCGGATAGAACTCAGGGGCAATTGAGAAAATCTCACCAGACATGATTTTGATCTCAATGCATCTACCCAATCTATACTTGCATACTCCGTAATAGGGTCTGTATAATGTCTAAATAGAGGTAATGTAGTCATGCATACCACATACATATGTATCGAACTAGGATTCACTGACTTGGTCATGTGGCAATGCTTATGTACCTATAACATACATTCATGGATGTGTATAAGAAATTCCTGAGCAAGCCTGGTATATGTACGTCAACGTACATACTTCGCTTAAATTGCATGCATGCCAAAAATAGACATCTCTATGTATCTTATATATTCGTCTAACTATCGATGAGAATATGATAAAACAATTTACCGTCATTTTGAGATTTCAGACTTTCCTCTAATCTTCGATTGGAGCAGGTACACATTTACTGAGGGATCGGCAGTAAGCACTTGCATTCATCCTAGCTGTTGCCAAGAACCAAGCAAACAAACGTGACGCTTGCGAGTCCCTAGTATGGGGCTCTGGGACCAATTCAAGTCATAATTACTGTGCGGTGAAAGCAAGATGTCATCAGCTGACCCAACATGTTTTGTCGTGTTGCTTGACGCGCGGCAATCTCAGATATACATCATCAACTGATTTGACAACGGATACGGGCATTATGCATCCGGACTTGCTTCTTCCAATGTCCCACTTCTATGTCTCGTATAAGTACAGATGTACATATGTTTGTCTTCTATCCGTCATGATCTCTAAACTCTATAGCCGACAGTTTGCTAGACAAGTCAGAATCTCAGGGAGTGGATCCTAGTGCATAAGTCTTAATACTATGTATCAATTAGATCGTCAAGGGCTGATATTATATCATATTGAATAAAAGTTGATCAACTCGGGTTTATATCAGAACAAAGTGGCTTGATATTTGTATGCAAACCACCAGGGCACAATTAGCATCCCAATACAATCGGAATATAACATCCATCTAACTCCCCAGACACAAAACATAGTATAGTCCTTAAGCGCAACACTTGGCCAGACCACATATATGCAACACCTATCACCGCAAAGAAAGATCTACACACATGCAGGGATCAGCTAACAAAACCAATCGATGCACGACAGACCACCTCATCAACAGCCCCCGGCCACCATTCGCCAACACTTCCGCCTTGCCCTCGTGGCGTTCTCAGACCTCCTATCGGCACAGCAAGATTGCATCATGCATCAAATGCAATGCGATGCCCACCTGCTCAGCTGTCATCTTCCAGAAAGTGCCCGGACCCCTCCCTGCGAACGCGCGGTTTCGATTGGTTGCTCTTCGATGGTGAGAAGACGTGTGTTTTGGTTGGGTTCGCTTCGAGGATGGGAGATGGCGGACTGGAGATTGTTAGGGCCTCATTGTTTTCAGTGGTATTTTTGTTCAGCTTTTGGGCCCAACGAATCGGTTGAGGGATGTTTGTCCCCGATGGTGTTGGTTCTCCGTCTTCGGCGCTTGATGGGATGGCGTATTCCGTGGCGTTTTTGGTTGCCTGTAATTTTCGGACACTAGCGTCTTTGCTTTGGAGGTTGATGACGTGGATTTTTCCTATGATGAGCAAGATGCGTCTGAGCTGATGGTGGCAACTTTGAGTAGGCGATACCACCGCTGACGGAAGACAGTAGGAATTTGGTTAACTTCGAAGCGTTAAATGCACACACTGGTCTGCAGATCTCTTGAAGTGTTGTTTGGCTAGAATGTGTCAAGGCTTTTGAGATTAATGATTAAAAAGGTGATTCCGTGCAAAGAATTAACTATGTTTACTCTTGTATCGGCTCATACTCCAGTCATGAATACTGGTAAATGGGGAATCATTGACTACGCAAGCAACCCAACACAGGGTTGCATCTAAAGTAAAGAAGCTCGGAATGGAATGGAAAATAAACACATTGAAACGTGCTGGAGTGGGAATAGAGACAATAAAAGAGAGAGAAATTTCCACTCAGCCCCTTTTCCGCTCGCGTCAACCGAATATCAAACTCCGCCGGCCGACCCACACGGTCCCGAAGACGTGCAAGATATCTGCCGGTCCAACCCAGCGCTCAGTGAAAACAAAGAAGCGACTTGCATAACCACGTCCAGGAATAAATGCGAACGCCCACCCTACCAAACGGCATACGGCTCGTCGCGACCCCTAATGTTGCTCCTTTAAGCTTCAGTCTCAGCGGGCTTGGCCTCATCGGCCTTCTCCTCGGTGGGAGCAGCGGCCTCAGTGGCGGCGGCAGGAGCAGCGGTCTCTTCCTCGGACTTTTCCTCCTTGGCAACACTCTCGCCCTCGTTGCCCTCGGATGAGGTCCAGAGAGTCAGGTTGTCGCGCAGCAGCTGCATAATCAAGGTGCTGTCGCGGTAGCTTTCCTCAGAGAGCGAGTCGAGCTCTGCAATAGCATCGTCGAATGCCTGCTTGGCAAGGTGGCAAGCACGATCAGGCGAGTTGAGGATCTCATAGTAGAAGACGGAGAAGTTCAGGGCAAGACCCAGGCGGATGGGGTGAGTGGGGGTGAGTTCGGTCTGGGCAACATCGGTGGCATTCTGTGACACGATCAATAGCTGTTCATTGCATTGCAAAATAGAGGAAGGCCTATAACAATAAGCCTAAAGAGGGGTGAGTTACCTTGTAGGCCTCGTGGGCAGCGGTGGCAGCACCCTTGCGCTTGGGACCGGAAGCGAACTCAGCAAGGTAACGGTGATAATCGCCCTTCCTGTTTACAAAGTCAGTACAATGTCACAAATCGAGAAGTCTCCAAAGGAAGGGTGGTTGGAGTGTAACCCACATCTTGTAGTAGAAGACCTTGGACTCTCCAGTCTCGGCCTTGGGGATAAGAGCCTCATCAAGAACATCAAGCACGTCCTGGCAGACCTGCTCCAGCTCGGTTTCGATCTTCTGACGATATTCGCGGATGATGCTGACGTGCTCCTCGGAACCCTTATTTTCCTCCTTCTGCTCGATGGAGGAAATGATGCGCCAGGAGGCACGGCGGGTGCCGACCACGTTCTTGTAGGCGACGGAAAGTAGGTTACGCTCATCGACAGTGAGCTCGCCGCCAATCTAGATATGTGTCAATCGCGAATACGTCCAAATAAACCCCGAAGGTGATAGGGGTACGATGGTGTCATACGTTGGCGACTTCCTGTTGGGCGATTAGCATGTATTCCTAGTAAACAACACGAGGGGGGTGCGACTAACCTTCATAAAGGTGACCATTTCTAGGAAGCAGAGAGCAACACGTCAATATACACGTCAAACAACAAAACGATCGCAGGCCAACTTACCATCGTAGCGCTCGGCCTGCTCGCAGAGCCGCGCGAGGAACGTCTTGCTGGTGAGGGGGTCAGTCATGTCGGGTTGTGGGGTTTCAGGGACAGGGGTGACAATGGACATACTTCTCACGCTGCATAGTTACGATATTTGTTAGCCCAGTTCTTATCGACAAAAAATCCAGATAGTGGTGAGCTCAGATGAGGATGGGAATGTGGGATTGCGATGGCGGTGACAACTCAACAGAGCGCCCGGTAGAGGGGGACAGCAACGTACCTCAGAACCCATGATGAAATTGAATCGAGACGGGTGATTAGAATTTGAGACTTAAAATAAAGGGATAGGAAGCGCAAGATGCAGAAGAGGAAGATGGGTAGAAACGACCAAGTGGGGGAGAGAGATGGAGAGTGAAGTGAGTTGGGGGGATTTGAATCATAACAATAATACGCTGTTGACTTGTACCTAGTACCTAGTTGCCCCTATTGTGGCACCGCATTGTGTAAGTACTCCGGTACTTGGGCCGCAGCCCAGTATTCATTTTACCGTCGATCCTCCCTAGTAATTAATTAATTTACGCGGGGTGGGGTATATCTGACCGTATCTATTACCAAGTATCTTTCCTGTTAGGAGACATGGACACGAGATCAGATACCTATACCACAAGATATGGCGTTTGACTGGATTCTACAGTTGATTGTACCTAGAGTTCCTCTATGTGTGTCTACAGGATCATATTACCTTGTCCTAGAGACTCCGACCGGTACAGCCACCTCCGATGGTCAGCTGAAAAATTAGCAATTTTTACACGAAGTATGGAGTACATGTATCTATATAGGTACTGCTGAGGTAGGTATGTCTTTTGATTGACTATTCCGGACAGCGATATAAAAGTCTGGGGATGATGATGATGCAAATCTCCTTGGAACCTTCCAGACAAGCTATGATGTAGTTGATCAGCCGCGCAATCAAAATCAGGTCTCAAAGTACCACAAGTATTGCTGAAGTTTGGAATACAATTCAAGTTAGAAGTATGTGAGTAGATATCAAATATATAGACTCAGTCGACTCCCTCCTTTTTTGGATGTGTACACAAAATCAGATTGGGCAAAGTTAAACACTACTCATAGTTCCAACTAATAGGCTGCGGTGTTTCCCGTACTATAAAAAATATCGAAAGGGGGTACGGCCAATATCGATCATCAGGTTCATTACAGGTAGAGATGATATTCTGTAGTACTAAACGTTTTGGCTGTCAATTATCGGCTGTATAAGCATTTAAGCTTGGCTCAAAATGTATGACTGATATCAGGGAATTGCCCATACCAATCATTGAGTATTTCTCAAGTATTGATAGAGTTAGTATGTCTCGTATTTCACAAGCGTATAATATTCTGAAGCTGTTGCACATATTGATGTGTTAGTGCCTCAGGGATAATTTCTGTCAGTCTAGCACAAATTGAGCATTCAACTCACTCATTTAGTGTCTTCTAGGTACATAATAATACCGTCTACTAACTAAATGTACGTCAGTTACATGATTCAATCTTAATGCTTTACCTCACTCTTTTTTTTTTTGGCAAAAATTTCCCTCCTCAATTTCGTCTTTTCTCAAGTAATAAACCCTAGATCTTATCATTTGACTTGCTTTTACCCTTGCTCACCATCACATTCCCCAAACGAAGAACCCAGCATATCACTGGCACTGAGAATCGGGAAGGGTGTCGACGACTGTCTAAGTCGGATTGATTCGAAGGATATAGGGAAAGATGGCCGTTGTTCACGCGATCGTCTTCAAGTTTCCGCGACTGGTGTCCCCCGCTCAGCCATCCCAGACCCATTGCCGCCTCCGGGAGACTGATATAGAGGGGTATGATTTGGCGATAGGTAACTTTCAGCACGGTGACTGTCGACTCAGCAGGGCGTTGGGATGGGGCCTATAGGTTGCTGAAGGGACTTGGGAGAGATAAAAGCACGCATCTCTATCAGTTCCCGATTCCAAAATTTCTGGCTCCATCCTTGCTGGTAGATGCGCGATGAATGAGGACACAGGCAGAAGCTATGAGGGTAGATCCCAAGCGAGAGTGCTGGAAGATGTGCGCAACGGTAAGGTGAACCATGCTCTCGCACGATCACCACGATCATGGCTGCTACCAAGTCCTCTCCACGGCAGGAGAAATTGTTTTCAGCGCAGACGTTCTCCTCTGAGAAACCAAGGACCTCGGCAACACCATTACACAACACGGATTCCACCTCATTCCTTAGCTTTTGTCGGACAGTCGGCGATCTGAAATTGCTCGCTCACTGCTCATGTGATCCTGCGCTGATTATCTATCACAGCTGGCTGCGTTTAGCTTTGCCGCTTCATGATCGAGGGATACGAGAGAGTGATGGGTAGATAGTAGGCTCCATACAGCTTGGACGAGCGATAAGTAGACAGACTCTCGCCCCAGCCACTGCTTGATCAACCCTCTCCCATGGAGCGCGCAGCAAATCGAGATCGAGACCATCACCTCTAGGGATGGAAGACAGGTAGCAAGAGTCTAGTTCTCCTTCCCATCCTGGTGGATAAATGCATCCAAGGCCTTTGATTTGTCTTGAATCAAAGCTAATATCTCGCCAATTATATCGTAGGCATCGGGAGACGTAAGACATAAGACGGAGATGCCGCTCAACTTCCCTCAACCAAGCTGTTGACTACAGAGCTGGACCTGGTAGCCTTTGCGGCGTCCCTTATATAGCAGAGAGCTGTCTGGGGCGTCCTGAACAAGGCTTCTGGCCTCGTAGAGTCTCTCTTCGGATGCTACCAATATATATTGCTATATATAATGTGGCGGTGAGATGAAGGGTGCCATTTGTTTAGGGCAATCCAGATAATATAGGTGGATCTGTGAGTTATAGAATATTGGCCGAGGGCGAGTAAAATGAGACGGATTGCGATAGATTAGGGATCTCGCCCCTAAATAGGGGCAAACATGGTCTGCGGGTGAAATAATAATGTCGCGTAAAGGGGCTTAAGCCAGGCAAGGGTACGTGGCAGCTCTTTTGCCGAAGTATCATAAGTGGTTGGAAGTCGTGCGCTATAAGGGCAGTATTCACTCCGTACCTTGCTTGAACTGCAATATGATGCTCAGCTAATTTGACATTTTATTCTGAGCTGTGATCGGGATCTCGGAATTATGTTCCTCATAAAGTGCTAATACAGGAGACAGGTACCCTGAGTGCACGAAGGAGATTAAATCTTGGCAGAGACAGCGCTAAACAAAGGGAGCCCGCCTCTTACCAAACGGGTTCAGCCGCTCAGGGTGGAGCCAAGACCTATATACAGTACCCAATCAAATCGAAATATAATTTGGCTTATGCATCTAAGGATAGCCTGGCGCTAAGTTGTCACGCTCGGGGAGCCTCTGGGCAACCAAGTCCAAATCTAAAGCTGATTATTATAATGCACCAGGCAATTTCAGTTCTTTTGCCTTCCATAAAAGTCTCGACGTTCCCCAGATCTTCGGGATATCCCATTTGTTCATCATGCCTGAACCTATGCCTAGAAGGCTCTAGGGGATTTCTCCCTACGAATGACACAATTATGAAAAGTTTGGTATTTACCCAAAAGGGGCTGAAACAAAATTTACAATATACGCGCCCATGTTTTAGCGCTGGCAACTGTTGTAGATCTAACTGGACACTGGGTAGCAACCTTGGAAGATCAGACCTGTATGATGAGCGGGGTGACTGTTTATATGCACCTGGTGGCCGGACTATATGTCCCGCTTATATTCTTTTGTCTTTTCTTTATGTTCATATACTGTCCGCACCGACAGAATGCTTGGTAGAATTTCCTCTATCTCCATTCTCCTCGCTCTTGCGCCATTGCACGCGCTGGCTAAAACCTGCTTTGCCCCGGATGGATCCATCGCCGACCACACTTACCAGCCATGTATTGCAATCGTCGGGGTGGATTCCATGTGCTGTTCGCTTAACTCAACCCACCCTGACACATGTCAGCCGAACGGTCTATGTTTGAGCAATGAAGATAGCACATTCGGTGCGAACTATTGGCGAAATTTCTGTACCGACGAGACATGGGATAGTCCCAATTGCTTGAGCAAGACACTCTGCGATAAGAGCGTAAGTCCATGAGCTCAGCACATCACCCTCCTGCTCTTTATCTCGCCGTTGAATCCCTACTGACAAACCTTCCGTTACAGGCTGGAGGATCCTCAAGCTGGACTGCCCGACTCGTCGCATGCAGCAGCGGCGCATTCTGCTGTGGTACAGATAAAAGCTGCTGTTTAGAAGGCACAACATTCACGCTCGCGGATACACTAGTCAACATTGGAATTAACACCACTGCGGCTGATACCGCAAACACAACTGCAATCGCTACTACGACTACGACTGCGACTGCGACTGCAACTGCAACCGCCACTGTGACTGTGATATCAAAAGTCTCAGGATCCTCCAATGACCACGGACCATCAAATGTGGTCATTGGGGTCGGGGTCGGGGCTCCGTTGGCAGTTCTTGCTTTTATAATGCTTGGAGTAGGCTTCTTTTGGGGGAGGAGAAAAACGCAGGCAAAATACAATGTGTCAGGTGGTAAAAATGGGTATTTAAATGCGGAAGAGTATATGGGATCAAGAATGAAGTACGGAGACTCAAAGCCGCTCTGTGAGGTTTCAGGTCAGCAATCGCCTCGTGAGTTGCCTGGGAGCAAAGGGCCGTTTCGATAGAAATTTTGGGTTGATACGTTATATATAGGGGAGATTTTAATACATGTATATAAGAAAGAGCCTATACAGATATGGCTTCCATTCACACAAAAAAAAAACTGATTCTTTTTTGGTAGTCACCACAGCCCCTCTCACAATATCCCCCCTAGCTCACTAGTTAGAACTGCAATAATTAGCTATCAGTATCTAGAATGACTAGAATAGCTAGACCGGTTAAGAGGCCCGCGCTCTCTTTACCCCCACCCCTAAAGGGCTCACCTAACAGAGAGTAGGGTAAGCATACTAAGAGGAACAATAACTCCTGCACCGACTACCATGTCTTTAGATCCATTAATAGTGGTGTATAAAGGGTTCTAGTGGCATCGCTAGTATTATTATACATGATAGAAGATGTAGTATGAGATTTCTTCACGGATTTTGATAGAGTAGTAAGATAATATAACCACCTAAGCCCGAGAAACTTTATTACGGCGAGCTGTAAATGATACTCTTATAGGAATTCCAATCGTCTAGAGGCTTATGTCAGAAGAGTTGTACGGAGACCCGTGGACGTCTAGGTACATGGCGAATTTGAGATAAGATTACTGGGTAGTCGAAGAAACTAAATCAGATACTATGAAGTTTGACAACCCCCCTCGGGTATGAAACCATGGAGCCGAATAATTACATCCCTGCACGAAATGTATACCTTGTTAATGAATCTAGTTAGTAAAAAGGTTGTTCTATGGTACTATGGGACCGCCGGTATTATATACGGCATCGGCGACGTCAGGGCGGCATTGTTCTCAAGTGTATACGGCCTTAAGCTGGTGGTAAGTGCGGAATTGCTTTAGTTTGTTTTGAGCGTTACTGAGAGCGCTATAAGACTTGTTACTGTGCAGAAAGCAGATTGTTGACGTTGAATTGACCGCGTGGGTAGCGAATGATAAGATGCGTCGTATAGAGATGTAAATTGTAGTTGAATACTCTAATTTGTAAATGGATAGCTAAGACCGAGTGGCTAGACAGCTATGGGTAGGCTAGCTCACGGAGAAACTATGGCATGTTGTATTTGGGATACTTCCTGTCGAGTATGTTTCTCTTCTCTCCGCTTCCCTCAAACTTGATGAGATTCTGAAGACTGACTTCTTTTTGTTCTTTCTAGCTGCGGTCCTGTTGACCAGTGTCGCTGCAATCTCTATGGATGGTGTGGGCCGAGCCCAGAAACCGAGAGCGTAGTCTTAACACCTATTTCTTAGTTATGCACAACCCAGGGCGTTCTCCAAGTAAGTCATACATTTTATATAATACTATTTATTTGGCGTTTGCAAATACATTCGAAGGGAGTGATATGATCATGATGCACGAGTTTTGAATCTCGCCGGCGAGGGACCGTCTGGAGACCAGTGACAAGTCCCATAGTGCTTCTCTAACATGTTATTTCGAGTGTTTTGTATGCTCAACAATCTAGCATATCTGTTTGGTGCCAATTTCCTTTCTAGGCGTTGACTGAACGTGCTAGAAACTCACAGGCAACTTAGCACTCATGAATATACCTATACCATAATTTACTTGAGTGGCTAGACCAGCCGTCATTAGATCAAATACCATGGACTTTGGTGCACGAACCAGATCACCATCTTCACTTCCTCTATACGCGGAGTAGATTGACTCGGATAGGTGTTGGAAGGAGACAAGAGCTGGGGGAAGCTCTAGATGTGCGCCTCCCACCAGACGCAGCATTTTCGTATCATACTGAAAAAGACACGCGTGAGAAAAGTGGGAGACGGTGTAGATTATGCTCCGGACGAAACCTACAGGTGGAGACAGAGGATGCAGGTGCGACGGCCTTGGGGGCGTGCACGGAGGTCAGGGGTGCGTGGCATGAGACTTAGGAAGTTGATGGCCTAAAACAACCTCACCTTGGCCATTTCTATCAGCCTGTAGTTACCGTCTGCTAGTTTATAATAGTAAAAGAAAATGAGAGTCAGCATTGCTTTTATTAGGAAATTTGCCATGTAATTGCCTGTTGAATGGATACCTTGCTATAACAAGCATATATAAAATAGTGCCCATTCTCAGAGTCTTCAAAGAGCGTAACTTGCGGTCAAGCTATGGCTGAAGCTAGAACATGAATCGACCAAGTGTTGAATATGCAGAGTCCCGTCAGACTAATCATATCGGCTAGCAACTAAATCCTAGGGTTGACAAGTGCATACTTTGTAGTAGAATACAAGAAACTTCCTGATTTTGTTTCTAATATTGGTCGCCAAAGTAACTTGAAATGAGCATTTGATTAACTTCCAAGGTTGTAGTTAAGGCAATGAGCTCAGACGACGGAGATCAAGCGACTGGACATTATATTATTATTTAAACGACATATTATTACTGAGGATGGAATATATGCTCAATAGGGTAGTGAGGCAAATGAGCTTATGTTTCTAACGCCAGCCCTATGAGCATGGATCTGTTAGCGTGCTTATGGAGACACCACACTTCGCGCATCTAGCGGGGACTGTGCTTTAGCCTTGAAGATCTCAGCCCCGCGAATAAAGCAATTCCCAGCCATGCATGGTCCGAGCGATTGTATCAAATATCTACCCCCGGGGATAACCTGTACACGTGAAGGGCTGTCATGGCACAAAGCTAGAAGACACTAGTAGTAAGGCGTTGATTAGGTCGATTTAGAAGATTGGATACGCGTTTTAGGCTACGCTATCTGCATACGACCGAGATGCCAAGCTATCTGATACGCAAAAAAACGATGCAGCCTAGAGATGCCCCATAAGTTTACCAAGTTGGGAAATGAATTGGCGTTCATGACGTTACAGCCCTACAAGAGGCTCTTGAAAGGTCTTCAATTCACTCTAAGAAGAGAGAATGATATAGCAATAGACTGAATATGTTCAAGGTAGTCAAATATAAAGCTTCGAGGGCATTTTTATACACAATAGAAAGCAAAATAAAGAAGAACAGGAGAAAAAGAAAACAAGGCGGAGAATTCCCAAGTGACCCGCCTCAGCCCTGTAGCTTCCAAGCCCCCACCTGGACCCGTGCTTACTCATCTAGAATCAAATGGATGAGAACACGTTGACTTCCCCCACTGGAGGTTCCCCATTCGGTCTTCGATCTGGATTTCTTGTTCTTGATCTTTTTTTTATATCACCCGGTCCCTCGCGTTGGGTTTTGTTTCTTTTTCCCAACTCCGTGTTATACCGGGGTATGTATCTATCCTAACGACAGGCACCCATTTTTTTCTACTTTGTTTACCCCAACTATTATTCTTCACCTCTGCGGCTATTGCAATTGATCCCGCCTATTGCCGTTGAGGGTGTTCGCGATCATGGAGAACGCCTTTCTCCGTACTCCAGCGCAGTCGCTGGAGCACTTCAAGGTGTCGGAGCAGACTGGTCTGTCGCAGAACGCGGTTTTAAAATCCAGACAACAATATGGACCGAATGGTTAGTATACACCCCGCGATAATGATGCAATTGTCAGAACTGACATCTGGTGTTCACTTAGCTCTTGCGGAAGAACCTCCGACCCCCATGTGGGAGATGATTTTGGAACAATTCAAGGACCAATTGGTTCTTATCCTTCTTGGCTCGGCCGCCGTGTCCTTTGTCCTAGCTCTCTTCGAAGAGAGTGACGACTGGACTGCATTCGTGGACCCCGCTGTTGTAAGTGCCTGGATATTCTACATCTCTGGATACCAATGTGTTCTATCTTGCTGATCAATTTGTATTTTGTTCACAGATCCTTACTATCCTAATCCTCAATGCCGTGGTCGGAGTGACTCAAGAAAGTAGCGCAGAGAAGGCAATTGCCGCGCTCCAGGAATATTCGGCCAACGAGGCCAAGGTTGTCCGTGATGGAATGACACAGAAGGTCAAGGCCGAAGATCTGGTTCCCGGAGACGTGATCCACATTGCTGTCGGTGACCGTGTTCCCGCTGATTGTCGACTGATCGCCATTCAAAGCAACAGCTTCCGTGTCGACCAGGCTATTCTGACTGGCGAGAGTGAAAGTGTTGCAAAGGAAACCCCGGCTATCAAGGATAAACAGGCCGTCAAGCAGGACCAGATCAACATGCTCTTCTCCGGTACCACCGTTGTCAACGGCCACGCTACAGCTCTCGTTGTGTTGACCGGTGGCTCGACTGCTATTGGAGATATCCAAGAGAGTATTACTTCCCAGATCTCCCAGCCGACTCCCCTGAAGCAGAAGCTGAACGACTTCGGTGACATGCTCGCCAAGGTTATTACCGTCATCTGTGTCCTTGTTTGGGCTATCAACTATGAGAACTTCAACGACCCCGCCTTCGGTGGCTGGACTAAGGGTGCTATCTACTATCTGAAGATTGCTGTCTCTCTTGGTGTGGCAGCTATTCCCGAGGGTCTGGCAGTGGTCATTACCTCCTGTCTGGCTCTGGGTACTCGCAAGATGGCCCAAAAGAACGCAGTTGTCCGGTCTCTTCCTTCCGTCGAAACCCTGGGCAGCTGCAGCGTGATTTGCTCTGACAAGACCGGAACCTTGACCACTAACCAAATGAGCGTCGAGAAGATTGTTTATCTGACCAGCACTGGCACTAGCTTCGAGGAAATCGACGTCGAAGGCACTACTTTCACTCCCGAGGGCAAGCTCACCAAGAACGGAAAGGTTGTCGAGAACTTGGCTGTTTCTTCATCAACAATCGCACAACTGGCCGAAGTTACTGCCCTTTGCAATGGCGCTACTCTTTCCCACGATGCCAAGACCGGAGTCATCTCCAACATCGGTGAGCCCACCGAAGGAGCCCTGCGTACTCTGGTTGAGAAAATTGGAACCACCGACAGCGCCCTGAACCAGAAGCTTTACCGTCTCCCCGCATCCGAAAGATTGCATGCCGCCAGCGCTCACTATGAGTCCCGTCTTCCCCTTAAGGCTACCTATGAGTTCTCCCGTGACCGCAAGAGTATGTCTGTTCTCGTTGGTGAGGGCCACGCACAGAAGTTGCTGGTCAAGGGTGCCCCTGAAAGCATCCTGGACCGCTGCTCGTACGTTCTTCAAGGCGCCGATGCATCTCGCGTTTCTATCACCAAGAACCACTTGAAGCTTCTCTCTGAGGAAGTTGTTGAGTATGGTAACCGTGGTCTTCGTGTCATGGCCATTGCAAGTGTTGACGGCGTCTCTGGAAACCCCCTCTTGAAAAACGCCACTACCACCGAGGACTACACCAAGCTGGAGCAGAACATGACCCTCATTGGTCTTGTCGCAATGTTGGACCCCCCTCGTCCTGAGGTTGCCGCTGCTATCAAGAAGTGCCACGCCGCCGGAATCCGTGTTATTGTCATCACTGGTGATAACCGCAATACCGCCGAGGCTATCTGTCGCTCAATTGGTGTCTTTGGCGCCAACGAGGATCTTACTGGCAAGAGTTATACCGGCCGTGAATTCGACGCACTTAGTAAAAGTGAGCAAGTGAAGGCCGTTGAGAATGCTTCCCTTTTCTCGCGCACTGAGCCTAGCCACAAGTCCAAGCTTGTTGATCTCCTCCAGTCTTTGAACCATGTCGTCGCTATGACCGGTGACGGTGTCAATGACGCTCCCGCTCTCAAGAAATCTGATATTGGTGTGGCTATGGGTACCGGAACCGACGTGGCCAAGATGGCCGCCGATATGGTCTTGGCTGATGATAACTTCGCTACCATCGCCATCGCCGTCGAGGAAGGTCGTTCCATCTACAGTAACACTCAACAATTCATCCGCTACCTGATCTCTTCCAACATTGGAGAGGTCGTCTCTATCTTCCTGACTGCTGCCCTTGGCATGCCCGAGGCTCTGATTCCCGTTCAGCTGTTGTGGGTTAACCTTGTCACTGACGGTCTGCCTGCTACTGCTCTGTCCTTCAACCCTCCTGACCATGATGTCATGAACCGCCCTCCCCGTCGTCGCGACGAGGCCCTTGTCGGCGGCTGGTTGTTCTTCCGTTACATGGTTGTCGGTATCTACGTTGGTGTTGCCACCGTGTTTGGTTACGTTTGGTGGTTTGTGTACAACCCCGCTGGACCTGGTATTTCTTTCTGGCAATTGGTAAGTTTAAAAATTTTTCCGGGTATTAACTATGTGTCGCTAACATGGCCATTCAGTCCCACTACCACAAGTGTGCCTCCCAGTTCCCCGAGATTGGCTGCGAAATGTTCAGCAACGATATGGGCAAGTCTGCCTCGACCGTATCTCTTTCCATCCTCGTGGTGATTGAGATGTTCAACGCCATGAACGCGCTGTCCTCCAGCGAGTCCCTCCTGACTTTCTTCCTGGGCAACAACCCCATGCTCATCTACGCCATCACTCTGTCCATGCTCCTCCACTTTGCCATCCTCTACATTCCCTTCCTCCAGAACCTGTTCTCGATTCTGCCTATGGACTGGAATGAGTGGCAGGCAGTATTGGTGATCAGTGCGCCTGTGATGTAAGTGCCTGTCTCTGCTTAGTGGTGAAAGAATTTCTTACTAACCCACACTCCTAGTCTGATCGACGAGGTCCTTAAAGTCATCGAGCGTCGTCTCTACAACACCAAAGCCGTGAACCCGGTCGCCCAGAACGGCGCCCTCGGCAAGCCTAAACGGGCTTAAAGGATGGGACTGGGCGAAAGCCTAAATACGACCCTACCTTCCCGGATATCTGCCTAGGTAGGCGCTAGCCGGTGTGTAATAGAGATAGATTTTACCTGATTGGCTGGATATTTGTCGCGCATTGAATACGAAAGTGCGTGGATTACTTACATGTATGTATCATGGATGCCCATAGATCGCCTTGAATGAAAGATTTCAATCTGTTATTGTTGCATCTGTGGCTAGTAAGATAATATGTCTTTGTGTCTTTGTAGAACGCCAGCCTTATTCAACGATGAGTCGATATTGCCGCATTATTCCCCTAATTTCCAGGTCCTCGTCTACGTAGCTTCAAATGTTTGGAGGCTGTGATCCTTGGAATGAGAATGAATGATGTGATCTAGTTGTAATGCGACTCATATCTACGGCCATTAAAGGAGAAATTAACCTACTGTGTAAGTTTGTAGCTCCTAGCTCCACGGAAGCATAATATATTAAGGGCTCTACTGGCTGTTTCTAGGGTAGTATATAGCCTAAACCAAGATCGGAGTAGTATTCCACCAGACACGGGAGAGAATAGCCCGTCAGACCACCGGAATAACATCCCGCTTTTCCCAAGATGTATATAGCGTGGGAGCAACCATGCAACGCTGACACCACCCCACGGTCTCAAAGCGGGGGAATTTGATCAAACGACAGGGGACGACAGGGGGAGAAGATAGAGAGTTACCTTCGAGCCTCGGTGCAACTCCGTGTCGCGAGGTGTGATTGGTGGTGGACTGACGTTTCCTTGTCTTTCATGCATTTACCCCAGGGATCGTCTGTGGAATTTCCCCGGACTGGGGGAAAGTGTGGAGTTTGCGGAGAAAAGAGTGTTACCTTGTTTTTTTTTTGTTTTTTCCTTTTTTTTGCTTTTAAATACCCCCTGTAGTCCCTTCCCTGTCTTTTATTTTCGTCTTTGTGGGCTTTTCTATATTTTAGTATGGGCGTCAAGGAATTCCTCAAAAGCCGTTCGGGCTTGCGTGTTGATAATCGCGCGACTACTTCCGCTGCAACTTTGACTCTGAGACAGAGTCTGTGGCCTTTGACTTTGGTTACGACCTTGTTCTTCTTATGGGTATGTACTATTTTGTTCATAGGAAACCCTCATACTCATACTTCAATTAGGGTTTCGCATATGGTTTGCTGGATACCCTCAACTCGCATTTCCAGAAAACCCTACATATCGACCGAGGTCGCTCAGCTGGTCTTCAAGCAGCTTACTTCGGGTATGAATTCTCTCCATAAAACAAATGCATACATAGAAAACCTCTCTAACAAACCCAGCGCATACCCGCTAGCCTCCCTCGGCTACGCAAACTGGATCCTCCGCAACTTCGGCTATAAAACCGTCTTCATCTTCGGTCTTTGTCTATACGGCGTCGGAGCCCTATGTATGTGGCCCGCAGGACTAAACCAATCCTTCGGCGGCTTCTGCGGTGCTACATTTGTTATTGGATCAGGACTGGGATCTCTCGAGACAGCAGCTAATCCCTACTTAACCGGTAAGATACACATTTACATTTCACACAGAATCCAGAATCAAGCATAGATACTGATCATTGCTCCCTTGCATCCGTATAGTCTGCGGTCCGCCCCGCTACTCAGAAATCAGAATCAACTTCGCCCAGGCCTTCAATGCTATCGGCACAGTCGTCGGCCCGGTGCTGGGATCTTATGTCTTCTTCACAGAGACAGAAGATGACGTATCTGCCCTGCAGCGCGTGCAATGGGTCTATCTCGCCATCGGGATTTTCGTCTTCTTGCTAGCCGGCGTCTTCTTCCTATCCAATATCCCTGAAGTCACAGACGAGGATATGGCATTCCAGGTCGCACAGACGCATGTCGATGAGCAGGACAAACCTTTCTGGAAACAGTACAAGTTGTTCCATGCGACGCTGGCACAGTTCACGTATACAGGCGCACAGGGTGTGTTTATATCCCCACTTCTCGGCTTCATCTTATACTTTCGTACTTCCTCCGTTATCACAAGCTAACGATTCCAGTCGCTATCGCCGGCTACTTCATCAACTATGTTAAGGATACATGGCCCGGTACACCGAATGCCACAGCAGCGAAGTATCTCGCCGGTGCGCAGGGCGCATTCGCCGTCGGTCGATTCCTCGGCTCGGGAATTATGAAATTTGTGCGTGCGCGCTGGGTCTTCCTGGTTTACTTGTCGTGCACGGTTGCTTTCCTTGCTGCGTCGGTGAGGCAGAAGAAAGAGGTTGGTGTTGCCATGCTTTTCTTGACGCTGTTCTTTGAATCTGTGTGTTTCCCGACGATTATGGCGCTGGGAATCCGTGGTCTCGGACGTCATTATAAGCGCGGCTCGGGGTTTATTGTCGGTGGTGTTTGTGGTGGCGCTGTCGTGCCACCGATCCTCGGGCACGTTGCTGATATGCGGAATAATACGGGATTCGCGTTTATTGTTCCGACTATGGTATGTCGATACTCTTCTCTTGGATTCTTTTCTTTTGTTCGTCGCTAATGCTGGTTGCAGTTCATGGTCGTCGCATGGACGTATGCTGTGGCGGTGAACTTTGTTCCGTCGTATACAAATACCGTCGATAAGGTCGGTGAAAGTGATATTGGTATTGGTAGTCGGGAGACCAAAGACGAGGAGGCTTTGAGCTCTCATGCTATTGATGAGACTGTTGACGAGAAGCACCAAGCTGTTCATGTGGAGCGGGGGATGGGTGTAATTTGATCTGCTTTGGGTATCTCTTTCGGGGTAATGGTTAATGGTTAACGGCTAATGGGTGATGGGAGTTTTTATTTTGTTCTACTTGCTCAGAATGATTCTCTTTATAGAGTTATAGGTGACGACCAGATGATACAACGATGTTTGATTTCGTGCAATGATTAAATGATATTTCAAATACCCCTGTGTGGAGAGTACTGGCAGTATCTACAAAATAAAGCAGATAAACTGGAAAATACTCAAGTTGCGTGAGGAGAGAGAAAAACCAACTACGAGAAGGATAGCTAAAGCTAGGAGAAAAAGGTGGTCATGTGCCCACCACCAACACCCTGTTTTCAAAATCGCAGCCTAGAATTATTTTTTGGCTGAGAATCAGGCTGTGGCGCGGCTATTCTAAATTTCCCTGAGGGGTGATCACCTGGCTCATTTTGTCCGATTCCATCCGTCGACTAACTCATTCATCCATTGTCGGTCGATGATGGAACCATCAAGTCTTGCGACATCATGGCATAGGCTACCACTTGTGGGTAGTGCAGGATGGTGTCTGGCTCTGATCTGGGAAATGTAATGGCAATAGTTGGGAACTAGGTTGTCTAAGTTAACAACAAGATCTTGGACCTCGGAAATGGCCACGACCAGGTTCCATGGTAGAAAGACATCGAAAAATTCGCAAAACTCGTTCTCCTGCCCAATCGTCGCATCGAATTTCCCTCCGTAGATGAGAAAAAACTGCTCAGCCCAAGGTAGGTGAGATAGTAACTCAAAGCAGTTCCCAGCTATGTCGGAAGGGAGCTTGAAATAAACGAAGTCAGCACGACTCACCCTCCCAACGAGACTAGGTTAACAACATACGGAGTTGCAAACTTTGACTTGGTAGGCATAGTGAGCACAGCGAGCACAAGACTTGCTGTTTGGAGTGTCGGAGATATGGGTAGTCCCAAAGGGGAGGCGGAGTTCTTTGGGTTGACCTCCCCCTTCACGGTTGGATACACAGAGACAGCACATGCAACAGGTATTCTTCTTCACAAGGAGAATGAAAGTTTGCTTGCGGCGATTATCAGGAGAGCCAGCAGTACGATTTGGTTTCCAGACCTAACACTGGCAGCAAGACTGATTGGCTCATTTGCGCATGACGCACAGATATCATATCTGTATCCTCCTTCCAGTGTATGCTGGAGTGTGTCATGAGGAAACCGACTGGGTTGGGTTACACGGCCGCTTTCTGGGCTTTCTCGCAGGCTTTCAGAATCTCGGATTCTTCTTCGACTTTTTCTTGGTGGCCCACACGGTCCTAGAATTATGTTGCAGGGTTGATCATTCTTAGTGTAGAGAATGGGGGCACACTTTGTGACAGCAATTCTGTGACCCAAAGATATTGAGATCCACACATAACTCATAGAGGACTTCATTGAGAACAACATCTTTTGGTCTTCTGGAATTTCCTCTGTTGCCGTGGGTTTGTTGACCTCGGGACTTTTCAACCAGTGCTTTGTACCTACCAAAAGGACAAAGATAGGTGATTTGTTGTGAAAAGACTTCGGGTATCTATCGCGCACCAGTGTCCACATGCCAGTTCCCATCATTTACCGAGGCAGACAAGTGGTTTCATCTGAGATGATTATTGTTTCCTATATCCAGTCGTGGCAAAGTTCTTTCGGTCACTCCTTGGATATTATTAACTTAGAGGGTATTCGCGATCAAACGTCTCCATCAGCTCATACTGGTGCAATCCAGTTTCAGATTTTGCGTCTTGCTCAGTTCGATCTTTCGGGCATTTGACGACAAAGAAGCAAATGGATCCTGGCTTGTGATACCACCGGAACTTATGGCGAGTCGGCCAAGACTGATAGGGACTTAGCAAAGTTAAACTAGTTAACAAGTAAGAGTGTCCCTAATTTCATTCTCGATCGATGGAACCATTAGATTTTGCCGCATCGATGTATGAGCGACCAACTGCAGCGTGAGAGTATCTGACCCTCATCTGGGGAGATATGCCAGGATGTGCCATCGGGAAACCGATGGGCTTGCGTGACACGGTCAGCCCGCTTTCTGACCTTACCACCATTGCAGAAACCCGGTTCATGGTGTGCTGGGCCTTGGTGGCCAGCCCTATGCCTACGTTGTGCTGTAGGGTGTCGATGAGGGAATTCCGCGGTATCTGGATGAACGACCTCTTCGAACAGGAGGTTGTAGTGGGCGCTTGGGAGCTTCCCCCATTTCAATGTCGGATTCATTGCCCTGAAACGCATGAAGACCTTGTATTCGCATTCGATGTCACTCCACTCCACCCATTCGGGAGAATTACAGCCACCATTAGCAAAAGTTTCTCAGGAATCAGAGAAACCCTCCCTTCTGGGCCAGTCGGATCCATATCCAAATGGGCAGTAGCAGGATAGAAGACAGCAGGCCGGAGACTTCGTCGTAAAAGCTCCATCGTTGAGAATGGTTGTAGAGTTATCGTGATCGTCTTGGCAACTGGACACCGAATGGCTGGAAGTCACTGTGGAGTTTGGGATTCCTGAAATCTGAGAGAAAAGTGAGAGCAAAGTTTGGCCTCTTCCCCCATGGCATGTCGCAATCCAAGTATAACTTCTCCAGGGGAAAGGACTGTCCCTGGAAAGCTTCCTCGTACATCTATCGAGTGTATCCTTGGTATATATCCTCCTCATTTCCACGACATCCGCCCTTGAAATTGAAGGTTTCCAATGTATGCAGATCTGACATCAGCCTCACGAAGCTCGGTGCGCTGATAGAGTTGAGAAGCAAGTAGTGATTGTCCTGAAGACTACCTGTCAAATGGCTGGAAGACGAAAGTGAGATTTCTCAAAACTGAGAACGAAATGGGAATGAATGGCGTGGTAAGAAACGACTAGAAAGACAATGAAATCGGACACGCGGATGTTTGGATGTTTGCTGGTGCGTTTATTTGCCGTCGCTGTCATACTGGATTTCGTTTCAGATTAACGGTATCTCTCCATGGCGTCGATTCGTTAGGAATACCAGCTGATGTCCGGGGTGGCGCAAAGTGTTTTGCCTTGGTCGAACTTTGAAGACCTCTGCAGAAGAGGTGGTTTATCCGGTCGCTTCGGAGGTATAAGGCTATGACCGACAATGCTATGAGAAGAGCTTTTTGGAGTGAGGATAAAATATGTGACCGGGTGGCACTCCAAGTAAAAGTGTGGATTGGGCTCGATGCTTGGTATAATTTATATAGAAGGCAGACGCCATATCGGAGCTTTGGCTTATGGCAGTGTTAGTAGTAGGTTGAGAAACCTGAAGCCTAGACAACGAGTGAAAAATATGTAGCACTTTTGTCCACGGCAAACTCGTCATTTTGCTAATGACAAGCAATGACCGACACTTTGCTATATGGTGTAAAATTTATCACATTGTTAATGAATGTCAAAATCTAGGAAAACTGCTGTATCTTCTTCTTTGTTTATCAAATGGATGGTTTCATCATTATCGTACCTTCAGAGATCATGATTTAACAAAAGCCTTCTCGGCATCTTCAGAAAGTACATTGAAGTCAGCACTACCCAATAACTGGAGCACTCATACGGGGACTTTCAGTTGTAATCCCCTAGCAGAAAAGCCGGATGCTCGGTCATTACTAAACTCCCAGCATCGAAGGCCTGGGCATGTTCAACAGAATCAGAAGCTTCGAGTTGGCTTAGGAATGCCCCTCGCAACATTTATTGTAGATATATATAGATATATACGTAGAGAGGGGGAAAGAGGAATTAAACCACACATAGACAGACACAGAGACAGAGATAGAGGAAGGAACAAAGAACAATCTCCAGGGAAGGAGTAGACATCCTATCCGCCTTAGGCAGAACGCTGCCATATACATTACATCAAAGGAATTATACATATAAAAGTCGTTTACACAGTCTGTGATTTTTACCGTCTTCATATATATCTAAAAAGACATTTGGAAAAAATATCTAAAAACACGTTAGAAATTTCTTCCATATAACACCCCAGATATACCCCAAAGACAGGGGCCGACTATTACTGTTATGCATCCATGGATACACCCAGTCTTAGACATGAATTTGGGAAGCAGAAATTTTTATTTTTTCAAACTTTTACAGAGAAATTTCCTTCGGTACTACCTATCTCTCTTTCCCAAGTACTGTTGGCGTTTCACGAAGTCTACTTTTATACATCCGGAATATCAACATGAACAGCACTACTCCAACCCCAAAGCCACTCTACGCCTTTACCAGGAGTGTCACCCGGCCACAGCAGACCAAGCTTGTCTCGCAATTTGAATATGAGCTTTGTTGGGCATACGATGACTCTTCTTCCTTCCGGTCCTACGACAAAGTGTCAGTGTTAGCCTTCCACTGGGCTAATGGTAATCTCAATGTTGAGCATCTGGAGACCGAACTCCTCGAAGTGTTCAAAACGCATCATGGGTTCGAAACAAGCTCATACACCATTCCGGTGGGCCCAAATATCAATTCCCACATCGAATTCCTCCAGCATCTCATCGATCATGGCAATAAGTCAGCCGGTGCCACCACACTCCGGGTTTATATTTACTCGGGACACCCATATAACCCTAGAATGATGAGTTCCGTATGGAACCTACGGTAGTAATCATATCCCCGAGGTCTACATTCATTGGCTCTTTCACCTTATGAGTTACATACTAATATTGATATTATAGTGGAACACTAAAACCCCGTGCCCCCAAAGTCAACTAACTGGTGGGCAATAGGGGGTAACCTTGAGCTCTTTCCTGGGTCCGTGTGTTACATCTTTGATACGTGTTCTGCCGTTGCTGGTGTGTCCGAATCGACATCAGGGACGGAGTTTATGGCTGCAGCCGCGTGGAATAATACTCCGGCTTCCACCTATAACACTTCCTCTATCCGAGCCCTCATTGATACCCTCGATGAAATGAGAGATGAGAATAGTATACTTGCTACAGTGTACAGCCAGCTTCTACATGTGGCTCGATCAAGTCAGGTACATATTTCTCCATTCTACAGCAGAAAGTCCCCCACGCGAAGTGTCACCATTAGCTACCAGGACTACCAGGCGCGGCCTCGATCTCAGGCTGCAACAAGGAACCAAATTAGGGTCCTGCTTAGTGTCAGCGTTGATAATATCAATGATCCAAGGACATTGGACATCGATTTCTGGAGACAGTAGTCTTCCCAGGCCTGTGAGGGTATGCCACCTGGTACCATCAATGTTGAGGCAGTGTACACCGAGCCTCTGCTCATGCTATTCTAGCTCCCAGTCAAAGTATGGGTAATTTCACCAGACGAACCTGCGTAAAATTACGTGTCACACATCACTTCAACAAATATATTGGCGGCACGCTAAATCGAGCTTCCAATCCACCCTCTGGGCGATATCAAAGAGAAAAGAAATCACCGACCCGCTGAGCCCCGAAGCCTCTCTAGCAGTGACGTGACAGGCATCAGCGATCGCAAGTTTGTTGATGGCGTTTTTCTCTTCGCTATCCCTTTTCTTGCATGCCTCTTTCTATTTGTTCTATTGACCTATCGAGTCAGTAAGAATATGATCGCTAGTCCATTTTCTTTGCAGTATCTTGCTCCTGACATACTGCAAGTGATACAGCCCTTTAAGCTATGACCAAATGAATTTGCTTGTTTCAAAGTTATGCCTTTCTTTCCCTAGCTATTTCGTCTTTTAGTGAAACCTCATAGTCTTTATTGAAATGATATACATGGAAAAGTCGGTTTGAATATTCTAAGCCATTTTTACCGCCTATACACCCTACATATTTTATGGCGAACTCTTATCATTCTAGCTATGATAACAATAAAGGGAAGAAATATCCAAAACAAAGTTACCCAGGAAAGACTACTGAAAAACGACTTAACAAAGCCGTATAAGCGGCCAACTATTCTCGTATAGGTATACATAGAGATGGAGGAAGGAAGAACAATACAGGAAAGAAGCAGAGGCCTTATTCGCCTCAAGCAGGAAGGCTGCTTCAACAATATATATGTAGTCTAGTATGGCCTCTCTGGCATTATACATTATGTACATATCTATTTGTCTTTAATTCTTCATCTAGCATAGGCAGCCATCTCGCCATCTCTATACGTATCTATTCTACTAAGAACTGAATAACTATACATATGCATACTGCCAACCCAGTATGTCAGGCCTACAATAGTCAATTTATATACTCTTCAGACCAATTACATTGGACTTTACAGTTCCGTACGGACTTTATCGATAATCCAAGCTTGTGTCACTGACACCCAAACAAAAGATATTCCTGTTAACCCTTACAAGACTTAGTTCTGGCTTTTGAGTCACCAAAATTTGTGAGGAGTCACCTCAATTTGATAAGCAACGAGCGAGCGTGGGCAAGGGCTCTCGTGATTTGGTGACACTATGAAATCATGGTTGTGCGACAAATAAAGATTGACTCCCAAGTTGTCGAAGGCCTTAGTAAATGTTCGTCTTCCCGGTGGCATGTAGAGGTTCAATCCCAATCGTTGTGTGCTTTGACATCTGATGAACAATGTTATTGCACTTTATATAATAACCGAATGCAAAACCATATTGGAGTGTTGGTATGCAGTAGGGCTTACGCGAGAGGAGAGAAAAGGGAAAAAAAAAAAGAAATATGTAGTTCTCTACAAACGAACTGAGGCTAGGTAAATAGCGAGTGAAACCCGGGCAAACAGGGCATTAAGATATATGTCTCAACAAGGGTTGATATTAGAGATATCGGTGCCACGTTCCGGTCCGAGAAACCTTGAATAGGGGTTGGGGATGTTGTTGTAAGCTCCATAGGATACCGAGCAGGGCATACCAAATTCACATCTTTTTCTTCAAACTTGAGCCCCCAGAGACGCCGCCTCAGAAAAAAATATTTCTTGGCATCACTAGGAGTATACCTAGTGGACTCTACCATGAGTTGGACAACTGGCATAGCTGCTTGCACTCCTCGATCTCTGGCATTGTAATTGGGTTATCGATTTTCGATATCATAAACTGAACTCCCAACTCATCAAACGCCTGGGTGAAGTTTCGAGTTACATCACCATCAACAGTTAGAGGAGGAGTAACGACACACGTAAATCGTGAGAGACGAGGAAGCTTACCCCCAGAAACAAGCCGGTAAACGTAAGGAAGATAGAAATACTCCTCAAGATGGGGATTCCTTTGAAGGCGGTTATGGTCATAATGGTCGGATTGTAAATATCGGAATGTGAGACGCTCGAGACTTCGTGGTAAAAGCACAACCATGGGCATTAAGCTGTAGTCGAGATGGTCGCCATTATCAGGGTCGATTGCCAAATGGCTTGGTGAGATGGTGAGATCTCGCAGAAGCGATAATGAAGCAAGGTTGGTGCCTTTCGGCCGTGAAAAGGGAACGTCCAAATCCAGGCTCTCAAGCGAGGAGGCCTGGAGCCCAATCGCTTTCACATACTCCTGTGCGGTTTGATTTTCGTAGCTGTTGAGTTTGAATATCCGATACTCGTCTTTGAAAGTGATAGGCTTCAACGCGCGCGGATATTTCATAATCTCCGCGAGACTGGTTGCGCCAATACAGCAGTTCAACAGCCAGAGATTTTTCAATGGTGTAGAATGAGTCAGGCTATATTTGAGTCGGTTTAGCGGATTTGCTTTGATCAAATATTCGGCGAAAGTGAGATTTTCGAGATTTGAGTAAGAGAGGACGGAATCGAGTAGTTTGCTATCCAAGGGCTCCTAGACCGAGGAGTAGCGGAGTATACAGACATCCCGGAACCAGGAGTCATAGCCAAGTACACCTAAAATGTTAGAGATAATAAAAAGCATCAATAATAAGCATGTCTATGGCCTGATAAGAATCTTACATGAACGAAGGTTTGGAAGAATGCCAGGTTGTCGAAACAGTCTTGGCTTGATCAATTTCGGAAGACAGTCTGTCTTCATTACTAGAGATTCCAAATTGACCAATTTCGCATTGGCTGCAAATCAATGAGATCGAGGAGCTGGAACAAACGCAAAGATTTCTCCCCGACATCTGCAATCTTATGGTGGTGGACTTGTAATTTTCGAATAAGAGAAATAAGGTATGGGCTTTTCTTGATAATTCTGGCAAAGCGCTCCGCGTTGACTGATTGACATATCACGACTGTTTGATAAAGGCTGGGAGTGGCAGCTGAATGAAGCTTGCGACATACACGGGCGAGAGCCGCAATGCTTGCACGGTTTGGTTGAAGCTCAGCGAGGATAGCACCGATGATTTCCTGAGGGCAGCTCAAGAGACCAGTGAAAGGAGCAGATTCCATTTTGATACAGGTTGGAGATGAGATAGTTGATGAAGCTGATGAGAAGTGCAAGAAGGAGAATACCAGAAGCTAGTTTGGATTTGAAAGAAAGATATGGCAAGTACAACGAGACTGAGGATGTTTAACTTTAACCTTAGTTTGGTTTCCGCACCACCACCGTGACCGAATTTTGCGAGTTATTCTTTGTACTTCCTCTAAATCTCCAATCAATATCAAACTATCCAGTTTCATCCCCGAAAAGTCTATAGCTATTAGTTCAACAATTTATCAGCAGTTAGTTTATAGTTTGGAGTCGGGGATATCGAAGCTGGTATTGGTCTATGCAATTTCATTATGCAAAGTATTCTGTTGCTGATAAATCCAGCGAGATGATATGGATGAGACAGAGTTCTATATGAAACAGGGGGATTCCAGGAAAAAAGACATCAAAATCAAGCGAGGGTTGAATGGTCATAAGGATTTAAAGGAAATGGAGGCAGGAGGAAGCGCTTCATAGAGATAGGAAAACGCGAAGGAAAAGGGCGCAAGAGAAGGAGAAAGGCATAGGTCCAATGATGGATCCAATTATGCCGAAAAAGACAGTCCAAGGAAACGAAAAACGAGAACACGCTGTGTAGGGGGGTATAAAAGTTCTATCATCTAACCAAACATAGGAAGAAGGGATTGTGGGATGGACAAAGGAACGCCCGAATATGATGCACAAATGGGAAAATTGCGAGGAAGCTGTCGGGTTAATATCGGTATTATTCAGGGCTGCCAATCTTGTCTGCATCGGACGGCGAGCGCAAAGAGGAGGAGCGAGGAGGTCGAAGAGGACTGGTTTCATGATTTGAAATAGGAGCGAATGGCGTTCTGCCGCTCGAGGGAGAGCTGGGCTCGTCTCCTGGGTTACCATCAGGGGTGACAATATAACCTGGCGTACCAGGTTCGTCGAACTCGTCGACTTCTTCAATGTCTTCCTCCATCTCCTCGAAATCTTCGTCTTCCTCAATAATTCGGCTCTTGCGTGCAACAGGCCGCCCTGCTATGACGTCGATACTGCTGGCATTCACTGGCTCACCGGGAACGGGGGAGTTGACTATCCCACCAGACACCATCAAGTTAGTGGTATGGATCATAGGACCTTTGAAGAGAGATCTCTTTCGTCTTGCAAACACTAGGCTTGAAGATGGCGAGTAAAGTAATGGGGCTGGTGCCGCCTCATTAAATGACGACGACACCGAACTTCCGAGGTTGCCAATCTCTCGAGGTGTTCCACCTGGTCCTCTTACCAACCGAATATTGCTCGGAAAGCGGGAAGAGGCGCCTGGGGTGGTGGGTAGGACTTTGATAGATGAGTGAGGCGATTTGGAGGCTCTGCCAGTGGGCGTCGTTATAGTATCTACACTGTTGGAGGAAATCGAAGAGGCTTTGGAATGAGCACGAGTGTGATGAATGCTGCGGATCGATGATACCGAGGAGGAGGTGGATTTCCGTCCTCGCAGTCCCGCTGATGAACGCCGATAAGATCCACGTGGTGTAATAGGTGAGGGCGAGAGAGAATTTCGATGACTATTATGACTGGTGCTTAATGGCCGTGGCTGGCGAGGGTAGGAGTGCCGGTTTTGGCGGTATGAGGCACTGCTAGGAGCGAGGCTACTAGCATTGGAGATTCGTTTGACCTGTGTGGGTGTCGCAACATCATCTCCTGCTATCTCGCTTGCTGGGGACGACAAAGCTACAGATTTCTTTCCAGTATCTTGACTCTTCGCCGGGCTCAACTTATCAGAAAGAAACTTGCGCGAGCCTGTGGATTTGGCATGGGGCGACCGCGCCCTCTTCGCTGACTCTACAAACCAATGCTTGAGAGATGCTAGCTGGCTGAGTATCGGATACTGGTGACGACGACTAGTGCGGCGCCGGAAGATGCCTTGATGCTGTGTCAACTCCGGCTGTGATGCGCTAACATGTAGTATGCTTGGCCGTGATCGGCGCCTGTCTTTTGGCGGGGGAACTGGGCGGCGTCGTGTCGAGTTGTGGGACCGTATCGAATCTTTGTCGAGCGGCAATGGCGGTGTGGTGACCTCGATTGGGAATACAGGAAGCGGTTCAGGAAGCGCAGGGAGATCTGGCACTGCCAACTGGGATGGTAAGCTTCTTCTGTCCCGTCTCCCACGATCTTGCAATCCAGAGCCTTCTTCTGCCACCTCCATTAAAGCCGATGATCGCTTCTCTAGACGACTGCTCGCAGCGCTCAGACGGCGCATGTTTTTTGCTTCGACATCCCGCTCGCGACGTTTACGCTCTCTCTTTATTTCCTTCCGTTGTTCTTTTTCAATCAGTAGGGCCCACCAGCCAGCCAGTGGGTCGCACCGCTGAGCCAGGACATTTTCAATGACCTCGTCAATATTGACTCCAGCGCTTTTCATCCGCTGCAAGGTAGTCTTCTCCAGCGGTGTAGTAAATGGAGATGGTCTTGGAATTTTCAGGATTGCAAGCTGTTCAGGAGCATGTTCTGCAAGGAAAGGGTGAGCCAAAATCTCATCCAGACTGGGTCGAATCAAAGGCCGTTTGGACAGCAGAAGATTGATTAAAGCCTTGGCATCGTCCGTGAATTTATCGTTGAAGGCCGGCTCGTCTGACAATATCCGCTTTTTGGTGATTTGATCGTCGTCGTCGTCGTATGGCAGCTCGCCTGCCAAAAGCGCATAGAGAATGATCCCCAGGCTCCATACATCCACTTTTTCACCCGCATATTTCTCGCCTTTCAGCATCTCAGGTGCACTATAGCAGATCGTCCCACAGAATGTCTGGAGATAGCTAGCCTTCCCTTCATATTCACGCGTAAACCCAAAATCGCACAGCTTAACGTTTTCTTGTTTATCCAGCAATATGTTTTCCAGCTTCAAGTCACGATGCACACATGATTTACTGTGGACGTAGGCGACCGCTCCAACCAATTGTGTAAATATCCGCTTCACTTTCTCTACCGGTAGTGGGCCGTGTCGGAGGAGGTAGTTGTAGAGTTCATCGCCTAGAATTTTTTTTGTTAGTATTTTTCCCTAGGCGTCTACTACAATGCGCCACCCAACGTACCAGGACAATACTCTAGCACAAGCCAAACGAGGCTCTCCGTCACAACCACTTCGTATAGCCGTGCGATATGAGGATGAAGGAATTGACGATGGTGATGGATCTCGCGCACGAGATTGGTGTCCTCCTTGCTGGACGATTTGAGCACCACCTGCCGACTGATCAGCCTTGCCTCCACAAATTTGTTCTCCGCACATGACATACCTTGGAGCCATTGGTGAGCTTGTGTGAGGCGAGATAGACCTTGCCAAAGGAACCTTTCCCAATCAGCCTCCCCAATGTGTAATTCCCTACGGTCCGAAGATCCTTGGAGGAGAACTCCCTGCGGAGAAGCACTATGTTAGCGCAACTGGCCATCTAGACCGGAACCGAAGAGATCACTTACTCGAGGAGTTCATTGTAGGAGTTGGCAAGCTGTCGAGAATTTTGAGTTAGCCATATTTCATGGGGTCTGCGCAAGGCTCGAACAAAGGCAACCGGAGCTCCTTATGTCGCATCCCTCATGACACACCTTCTCCTTTTGTTTTTGGCTTTGAACCCCCGCTCTTGTTCGGGGCGGCATATGTTATGATTGCCAGGTTTCGCGGTCGAGAGGGTCTCTGCGCGTCAAGGGGTGGGAATAGTTGTGCCGGGGTGCCATTCAACGGGACCCGAGATACGCGGATAAGCGGTATCCGGACAGTGGTCGAGAAATTTCAGAAAGGGGTTGGCTCGGAAAGATAGCTGGAGAAATAGAGTAACACCACGAAAGATGAAAGGAGATGGGAAATTGCATACACAAAGGCCTTGGAAGATTCCAAGACGTCAACGGGAACGTGGACCGTGTGGAGAACCCGGGACTTGAACGGGCTCTCCTTTTTTGGGGGGGGATTCTTCTATTATTATCTCTATGTACAATATACAATATAAAATTATATATTTCAGGCAAATTATGTATCCCGGACTCCGTTCCTATCTAGGAATTTGGATATGACGCTGTAATAGTCAGCAAGTCTGCGTAATTCAATTGGCTAGAACGCCAGACTTCGACTATAGCCCTGAAACAACGAATCATGATCGCCATCCTACGTTGTAGGGAGAAAATATGGGCTATTAGTGCCTTACTGCCTAAAATTCAACCTGATCCCTTACCTGTGTACGGTACCTGTACAACGTACGATGTACACCGGCGCCCGATTAATTTAGTCGAGTGCACCTATTGGCTGGTTTGTGCTGACATGAGCCAATTGGAGAAATGGCTGAATAACCATCGTCATATTATATGCATGGGTATTATATACTTCATTGCCACCAAGGCAGTGATTCAAGATGTCGGACTGTGCGTTCACTGGAACCCATCGTGGGATCGACGGGGCTGAGTCCTGCCTCACCCTGGAAAGCCAGGGACACCATGCCAAAGTATGAGTGAAGAAGGTCTATATGTCTGGTCAGCAAAACAGTCTTAATATCAGCATGCTATCACCTTACCAGGAGGATCCCCGGGTGCTTTCCCAAACCCGCCGACAATATGTTGTGTCTTTTCAAGCAAGTATCGACGATTGCGAACTTCATCTATCACGGAATACCGATCCAGCATCTGATATCCGTGTTAATAGATAAGCATAGACAATCGCTACCACCCAGGACTTCACATACCATCAGTGTCGCTCCGTTCCAGAATGAATAGCATGTGTCTGCATATTTATTGCATCGGCCATTGAACCCGGCGCATGATATTGTGTCGGCCATGATGGGTTGAACATTAGGCAACCCGTGGACTCTATCATCGAGAGATCTCGTCTCCGTCACCTCAAGCTGTCCATCATCATCATCTTCATCTTCCTCGGGTTCCTCCAGCTGGGCGGTCTGCCTTGAAGCGATCCATGTAATCAAAGCCTCGAATTGATTAGACCCTGCCGATAGTAGGGGCACTGATTTTAGATCGTTAGAAGTCCGGCGCACGAAGTCCAGAGACCCAACCGCGCAATATGTGTGTCCACCTATCAGTTGTTAGACGATTCAGTTGGCGGAAAGGGATCCACGAACTATGCGATTCACAGAAAGGTGATTCAGCCATGCCGCCGTCGTACGTCTGTTCCGTCAGTGTTTGAATTGCGGACACTATCTCAAAGTAGTCACATACCTGGCACCCCTGAATAAAAGAAATAAAACCCAGCACATCAATATCTGTTACCCCCTCAAGCGCCGTCTCATTCCGCCCACGCAAGACATACCGTATGCCAGCAGCACAACAGCAGTATCGCAAATCACGAGCCCCCCTACACTCCCCTCAGGACCAATAATCTCACCGAAGCTTCCATCGGCGCGCTGAACTTTGGGAAGCCACTCAAGACACTCCCGTCGCTTGACACGCGACAGGTCGTCCCCGAGGACGAGCAAGTTGACTAGCGCAAAGAATGTCGCGGGGACATTAGCTGGATCCCAAGCTTCATTATCCTTATTTCGCTTTCCCGGCCCAAAATCTGTGCCCGGGAAGCCACGGAACCCGCCTGAGGGCACCTGGCAGTGATAGAGCCAGTCGATGTACCCTTGTCTTTCTTCCGGTGTGGTTTTGCTCTGGAGGACGCCGAGCACGTCCAATCCTGAGAGGGTCAGGTAGGCAAGAAGCATGCGATTAGAGTCATTGGATGTGTAGGCGGACGGGAGGAAAGTCTTCAGGCATCGGAGGTAGTATTTGACATGGCGCTCTGTGTTGAAGGTCGGGTTTGGGTCGGTCATCGTAGAGGTTGGTCGCGGTTGGACCACAATGTAGTATGATAAGAAGTGGGAGATATGACAGCGGTACTACCTATTCCGCTTGATTTAACCAAGAAGCATCAAGTCGTAAATTAGATCCAACAATCAGCGCAGTGTTGTGCTAGTGGGGGAATCTCGACCGGAGCTGCTTTTCCCCACATGGCTCACAACCAAAAACACTCGGACCAACTCTCCAAGTTATCTCCGTGACTTTTGGAACTTCCTCTTGTCCACAACCCTTTGCCATTGTGACTTGCCCATCATGGTTCTCATTTCTTCTAAGACCCTTATCCAGATACATGCTGTGTGTCTGCTTGTGGTCGCTGGCTACCTGGTCAAGAGTCCGGAGGTTATTACGGACTGTGATCTAGTGTTTATGATGGGAGAAGCCTTGCAAATTGTAAGCCCACACCAACATCCCCGATTCACAACCCCATTCCTATCATATCGGCAATGGATCTACCTAGATGTACTTGAATTATTGACGTTGACTGCTAACACCCACAATACAGGACTTTCCATCCCTGTCAAGCCCGCAACAATCCCCCTTCACCTTCTGTGCTATACTCCTCTTCGTGGAGGCCCTTATCGACCTCGTCCTGCTGTCCAACATCCCATTCCATGAAGCCCTCGATGAAGCTCTCCCCTATATCCGGCCGTTGCGAAACGGCAACCTCCCCGCCGAGGACCTACAGGTTCTACAGCGTCTGCCTGAATATATCACCAAGTCCTTGACGGTTTACTGGAGCGTTTGGGTCGCAGTTGCTGCGTGCCGTTTTGCTGTGTATGCCGGCATTGCATTCTTTATCTACCAGGGCAAAGGTGAACACCTGGCCTCATCTTATACAAGTGCTGCGAGTATTGGAGGCTTGAATCGCCTGAAGAACCGGGTGGTCTTCAGCTTTACTTTCTTCGAAATGATGTTTTGGTTCTGGGTAAGTGGGAGTTTTTTAATCTGGCAGGGTTGATCCTGTTGGCAGTTTTTCAGGCTAATGTGCTACTCTATAGACTTTCACCACCCTCCGTGAGGAGCGCCAGGAACGCCTGACCAAGCTGCTAGAGGATACCCGTGAAATGTGAATATTGTCATGGTTCCTCGGTATTTATTTCTACAAGTGTATTATTATTATTACGAACTATTCCATCGCCATTAAAAAGCGATGGCAGTCACACACTGTGTACCTGATCAATTAAAACTATGTCGTGGATAAAATAAGACACAGGTGCCTCCTCAGCCAGTTTTTCGTGTTTCCATCCTCAATATCCTTGTGAAGAAATTTCAACGTTGCTAAACATAATATCTCTCCTGAAATCAGAGATCATCCAGCACGCTTCATTCTAGATCAGAATGGCGAACGCGGCCGCAGCACCGGCAGCAGCCACGAACGAGGAATCCTTGTGGGAAAACGCAGCAACGCCAGTGCTAGTCGCAGCAGCAGAGGTGGACGAAGTAGTGGACGACGCCTTGTGCGTGGTGGTAGAAGCTTTGGCGCCCGTCACAGTAGTCAAATTATCAGTCTTGGTCGCCGCCGAGGTCTCAGTGTTAGACTTGGTTCCAGTCTCGGTGGAGTTGGAGCTAGCACTGGTGCTGGTGCCAGAGCTGGAACTAGACTTGCTGCTCGAGCAGACAACCTCGGTGGGTAAATCGGTCACACCACCCCGGGCACAGATTGACTTGGCGACCTTAATGGTTGCTGTGGTGAAGAATAATATATCAGCTCACTGAATATATTCCGCTATCCATTGTGCTAGCCACTTGGAATAATCCTACATTTGCACACTCGATTGGGGACAGATGAGAGGGAAGAAAACTTACTATCCTGGTCCGTTTTGGAGCATTTATCGGCGATGCAGCAGGCAACATCGCTCAGGAAGGACTTGGATTCGCAGACACACTTGAAATCAATGCCACAGCTCTGGGGGATTGAACCTGTAGCACATGCTTTCTATAGAATGGGCTGTTTAGCAGACGGCACATTTGGCACAGTTATAGATTGACTATAAACACATACCGAGCAGTCGGGGAGATCACCCAAGCCTTGAGCAGCGGTAGTGGTCAGCAGAGCTGCCAGGGCGAAAATAATTGTGAACTTCATGTTTGCAGGTGTAGATGGGCTGTTGGATGAAGTGAGTAATTGGTAGGGGAGGAAATGTGAGAAGTTTTCTTTCTCTTGGTCAGGTAGTAGCCACTGGCAGGTCGTGGTAATACACCAATTGATAAGTCAAAAATACACTAGTACGCGCATGTGCAGATCAACCGTCGGTAGCCAGATTTCCCCGCAAAACAATCAGATTTTGGCTTGGATTTCTCCACAAAATTCAGTATGGTGGTATTTTTGAATGATTGGATATTAAATATCATAACTCCTGGGTATTATACATAGGGGGGTATTTAACGGCACCCCACGTCTATCTCTCCCTCTTTCTATGTCAAATAGCCGCGATACCTACCAGTGCAGATGAACAAAGGGGCCCCCACTTAGACTTGCGTCGAGATCAATAGTGCCGGGGATCTCCAGGACATGCAGCCGATATTGAAACTAGCCGCAATATCCCTCAGCTAACCCCTTCAAATCATGCACTAGTATGACTCGCCGGCTGCGCCGTTGTGAGACTGGCCAACTATGGGCGGATAGCCGTAGGCAGAGGCGTCTTGCTCGGACGGGTCAAGGTTGAGGTTCGACATCGCATTTGCGCCTTCCGCATTAGGAAACCCCGTTGGACGAGCTAGCCCAGATCCGCTTCCGCCCTGGCCACCAACCGGTCCTCCAGCTCCGGCTCCATACCCAGCACTTGGGGGTCTCTGGTTGTCGCCGCGGGCAGATTGGGTCTCACGATATTTGGATAGGTAGATCTTGAGAGCTTCAGCGTAATTCTCAAAGCCAAGCGAGGTCATAGCGAATAGGATATCTTCGCCGTTGACTGTTTTGCGCTTCTCCTGCTGGCATTTCTCCGAGGCTTCACTCGTGATAAATGAGATGTACTCGCTCACACATTCCTGCATGCATTCCTTGGCTTCTTTTGCGATTTTCGCATTGTCGGGAAGCGCAAGCTTCATTATACGAGCCACATTGGCAATTGGAAGCCACCGATCTTGTTCCTTCACCTCAAACTCGCCTTGGTGTCCCTGCGCGTCATGGTGATCCTTGTCTTGCTCTTCTCCCGATTGCGTCTCCGGGTCAAGATCATGTTCCTTTGAAGGAGAGGCCGACATGGTTAAAATTGGACTGAATATGTGTAGTAGTGGATTTTGGGATTGGCGTCAATGCTTGTGCGCGTGCTCGCTGCACAGTAGTCTTAGGTGAGGAGAGCGTCAACCCGGTGGTTGGGATTTGGCAATGATGCGGGGTATAGCTCTTCAAAAAGAAAGATCCAGCTTCAATATATAACGCGATCACGTTGCAACCGCTTCTGTGGGAATACTGCGTTTCACAACTTGAGAGTCTAGCTAGCTCTGGAAGCTACGAATGGTGATGTCCAATGATACTGATCGTCACATGACTGTCACATGATACGTTACGGTCACGTGATGGTAAGAACGGCGGTAAATACAAATTCCTGCTCTGCTCCTGTCTCTTCCCCTAGATATTCGTGCTATCGATGCGTATTGTAGACAGCAAAGTCCGTATCCGAAATTGGGCCTACTGCATTCAATATTGGGACCTGGGCTAAGGACCGTTGTGGTATGTAGATCAAATCGATAGGTCCCAAATGGCCTGAGAACACCATGTATTGGTATTACTAGAGATCTTGGCCTAGCTGTGGATATTGGTGTTTCGGCGGCTGTGGCATTTATTTACGAACTATATTCCAAGAACAGACCTCTCATCACCTTCTTTTCCTACTATACTCCGCTTCCACACCGTTTATTTTCTCTTCAATGACGATCATTCGGGTTTTACGGCGTACACTTTATACCAATCACAAGGTGCCAATGGAAAATATGCAAGCTCCCCGTTAGAATTGGTTGTCCTGTTTACACCACAGTGGGCGGGTCCCCGATCAACACCGAAGTTGTGGGTTCTGGCATGTGTACTACAAAGAAAATCCACTTCTTTAGATCTGTTTCGTTCTTGACCGCATAGGTCCATCTGCACGCCGAATATTGGATTCAATGTTCAAGCCCGAATGTGATGCCTCGGTTCAAGCTTAGAAGCGCCGTCTAAGCTTTTCCAACGTTTTTCCAGGCGCAAACATCGTCAGTGGCTTTCCCCGCGTTATGTGCGTGTTCTACTGCTAAATTGTAACGGCTTCCGGTTGGCCTAAATGTACCTAGAATAGAGTCTTAAATATACTAGTAGTTTTCAATGTAGTATATTGTATCATAGAAAATAATTTGGAATTCGCCTTATCACATTCAACCCTGCAGGTTACGCCCACATCCGGGCCTTAATATATCGACCGAACTGCTTATCTTTCCTAAGGTTGGTCTTAAATTTAGGACTATATTAAGTCCTAAAAGTAAGAAATTTGATCTTTGTTCATATCTACTATTTATTCCTATTGGCCCCGAGAAGACTTCCCATGTAGCTTCCATATTCAGAAGGCTGAGACTTGGTCTGAGCTGCTGTACTCCATACCCCTCCTGCCTTGGTTTTGCTTTCTATTAAGCCGCTGCATTACCTACAAGCACCGCCTCTCTAGCTTCTTGCAATCATGGGTCTTGGAGTACTGGAAGATACGAAACTTGCGCATGTCCCAGGTAAGATTTACCTACCCTCGCCTAGGCGCCAACGAATCCAAAGTGGCTCATCATAACTCGGAACCTCCAGGCACCATCGATATCTACGAACAAAACAGCGATGCGAGCGATCAGACCCCAGGCGGTCCAGGTCTCAAATGCGACTGGTCGGGCAACCAGCCAATTATCCTCGTTCCGCAACCGAGCGACGACCCAAACGACCCTTTGGTATGTCCCAGAGAGCACAATATCCCAAGTCTTGGTTCCACAATCACACAAAAGCTGACCCAAACGGTTCCATCAGAACTGGCCATTATGGCGACGCGATATGATCCTTGCTATCCTCTGCTCCGTAACCATCCTCTGCACATCCCTCAGCTCTATCCTCGCCTCGAATACAGTTGCCATTGCAGATTACGAAGAAATTAGTTTCACAACAGCGGCCCTGTTAACTGGGTATCACCTTTGTGGTGTTGGCGTGGCGGGTATTCTCATCGTGCCGACGGCTCGAGTCTGGGGTAAACGTCATCTGTTCCTAATCGGGAATATCTTGATGATTATCAGCTGTATCTGGGCTGGGGTTAGTGGCAAAAACGTGAATAGTCTCATATGGGCACGGATATTCCAGGGTGTTGCATTGGCTCCGTTTGAGGCGCTGGTCAATGCCTGTGTTGGCGACCTTTATTTCGTTCATGTGAGTCGGGCCTTATTCCCTCCGCAGGTTTGAGATATGAGGAGACTGATTGAGATATTACAGGAACGAGGAAAGCGAATGGCTGTATCCAATGTTGCACTCTTTGGCGCGGCCTTTCTGACTCCCGTTGTAGTGGGCAAGATCACCAAGTCCATGGGATGGCAGTGGTCTTTCTACTTTGTGGCAATTTTCCTCGGTGCTTCATTGCCATTGATGTTCTTTTTCGTGCCTGAAACTGCCTTCCGGCGCTCTGCTTACTTGAATATCGACTTCAAGCAAAGCGATGGGCAGGGTGAGTCCATGGAATGTCATATTCCGCTCAATGGAGCTTCTAATAATGATACCAAAGAGCTTGGATCAGACTCCAACGGCCTGGACGCAATCTCGAGGACCGAAGCCGTGAAAAAAGTACCCGAGAAGGATTCTTTTGCTAAATCGCTTAGGCTTTTCAATGGACGAAAGACAGATGAAAGCTTCTTCAAGCTGCTCCTTCGTCCATTCCCCTTGTTCTTCCATCCAGCCATTCTCTGGGTAAGTACCTAATTTCGCATTTAGTTTCACCCACTGATTAAAGTCCAGGCTTGTCTGATCCAAGGCGCTGTCATCGGATGGGCGGTCTTCGTGGGTGTGGTTCTAGCAATCGTGTTCCTCGGACCTCCAATGTGGTTCCAGGAAGACCAGACCGGGTATCTTTACACAGGTGCTTTCATTGGCTCCATTGTGGGTCTCATATTGTCTGCTCTGCTTTCTGATTCTATCAACAAGTTGATGATCCGACTCAACTGCGGCAAATACGAGCCTGAATTCCGGATCCTCTTGGTAATTCCCCAACTCATTTTCTGTGGCATCGGAATCTATGGGTTCGGATGGACTGCAAACGATGTGATGCAATATGGCTGGCTTCTACCAGACGTCTTCTTCGCATTCTTGATCGTCGGTATGGTGATGGGCGCTGTAGCTGCTTCACTATATATCGTCGATGCTCACCGTACGTGAATCATCAGGCATTGGGTAGAAATGACGGCTAACAGTACTAGGCGAGATGGCCGTCGAGGCATTTACCTGCATGCTGGTTTTCAAAAACATGTTCAGCTTTGTTCTGACATTTTTCGCTTATAATTGGTTTGCCCACGGGGGAATCAAGCATACCATGACTATCATCGGTAGCATACAAGTGGGCATCTGCCTGTTGAGTATCCCCATGTGTAAGTTTTACTAAGTCTGCGGCATTCATCTTCATTTCCACCTGACTAACCATTTCCCCGATATAGATGTGTTTGGGAAATGGAACCGGTCTTTCTTTGCGCGTTATGACATCCTTGACATGCTTCATCTCCGGTAATATCCTGGCAATGCGGGAAGTTTCAGCAGTACAGGGGATTATGAGTAATAGAACAAGCACACCTGGCCAGGCTACAAGCCTTAAACATTTTTACACAATTCGGTACCACAAAATTTACACTCCCATCTGAACTTGCGGGGTGATAATATTAGCTGATGATAAATGAATGGGCACTTTTGCAATAAGGATGATTGTTAACACGATGAGATTCCAGGTTTTCTTCCAAGGTTGTTCTCTTAAGTGTTATGTGGTATGGTGCAATATTCATTGGGTGTTGCTTTTGCGCACTGGACGAGAAATATCAAATTTCGTTTAGCGCTCTCGCAAAGGCACATACAGCTATATATGTGCCTAAATCCTAGGTGCACTGTGCAACGTAGCACGCCTAGAGAATCCGAAACTCCTATACGACTTTCTTGGCTCATATGAAGAAGCCAACGTCTTAGGATTGGGATTTTCAGGATCTCTCGACTGAAAATAGCACATATGAATTCTTTCACGTCTTCAAGAAAAACAAACAAGTTGAATTCTAGCATGAAAACGAAGAAGCCACATATGGTAATTGGAAGTGTGCAAACGAAGAAACCCCAGATCTTCGGATGTGCCTCCCATTGTAAATTTTGCGTCGTGCTGTTGGTTTGGAGGATGAAGAAATTCATACCGAAAAATCCTTGCAAAAAGGGGTAAGTTTTGTTCGAAAAAAAGGGTTGGGATTATAGCCCACCGAGATAAAAGTGTCTGGTAAAAAGAGCAATGTGAGGGCAGACACGGTGTCGGACAATACTTTGCCTTCGTTGCGAATTTGCTTGAGAATGCCTTTAGAGATGTTATTATCGGCAACGGCCACAAAGTTGGAGGCCTATGTTGAATGTAATTTAGCAAGGTCTCAAAATACTCCTTTTGTAGGTACCACTCACACATTTGATCTCATTGTCCATCCAACTTGCAAATGACTTGGCCCGGAAATTCAAATTGGAAATCATGTTTTCACGAAGCAGTAGGGCTTTTGAGAGTCTCTTTGTTGCTGTAGAAGAACGAGCAGTTGAGTGGATCCAGAGATCGTGATCTCGCACAATGGCGCAAAGGTTGTTGGAGGCCGCATCCATTGCCTCGGAGATATGAATCACATGTCGTGACAATTCGTGAAGCCGAGTGTATCGTTCGACAAGAGAGTCAAATGTTTCATCGTTGTCATGAGAGCTGGTTTCTTTGAATAGTTCCTGACCTCGTCCCTATTGAGGTTGTCAGATATATAAACCGCATTCTGTATCATATTTTTAGACGCAAATACCTTCTCTCTATCTCGCACTGGCTTCTGGAAACTCCACAAGTCTTCTTCGCACTGGTCTACTACGATACTCAGTGCAAATTCTTAACCCCGAACCGTGAATTGTATTTACAAGGGTCGGAATTAACCCGGAACAGCAATGGCTGTAGTAAGAGTTGACCATGACTCTCGCCAAGTTGAAAAAGATTTGATGCACGAAACTCTTAAGGCATACATCGATGGGAAAATCCATCCGCTTCAAGGAGCCGCGTTTGGCCGCGCATTCTGGTCTGTGGCCACTATACTCGAAGTGCTCCCAATGTATATATTTCACATACCGAGAAACGGGACAAACGATTTAATTGGTATCGACCAACAGCGGTTATCGTCAACGAGACGCTGGAAATCAGGTGTTTCCCTGGACAAGACTACGTGCAACATTATGCCCTCCTCATCGCATATCACCTTAATCTGAATTCGATTAAGGCGCCTGCATTGGTGGTAGAATATATTCTACCTTCTTCAGAAGCTTGTATGAATATTCTCTGACAGTCAAATTTGCAATTTATGGGTGCTGTCGATACAGTCATCCCCGGATATGTGGATCATCTGGCCACCAACGAGGATTATACTTGGGAGACGGGGACAGATATCCCAAACCAGTTATTTGCATGGAAACGCTTCTACCTGGCTGACGGAAGTGTTGTTGCCTGTGTGGGAAGCATGATGAGCCTTTGGGGTGGTATCATTGGAAATGCCGTTCGCACAATGCGAGCCCAGAACAACATATCCAACGTTCTTTACATGGGCAAAGCAGGTTCATTGAGAACCCAGGATGTGCAAAATCAGGTGCTAGTCACTGGCGAATGAGCCGTATGCATGGCAAGCTTATTTCTTGGGATAGCCCACTCAATACGACACTATCGACAATGAAAATTGAACACATCTACCAGGGGACTCATGTTACAGTGCCAAGCCCCTTGGTCGAAACTGAGGATTGGTTCGCCAGAAACAAAAAGGATGCAGACTGGGTGGACTGCGAGGTCGGCTACCTAGCAGAAACTTGCCAAGATAACAATATTCGATTCGGATATCTGCGCTTCATTTCAGATAATGTGGCACAAAATTACATATATAGTCTTGCAACAGAACGCCAGGAAGCTGTCATAAGTGCGCGGAAAGATATTTGGGACAAAATCAGACAAGTCCTAGCCGCGCATTTAGGTATAGAGGACTTGGGAGGGAATATGCAGGAGCATCTTTGTAAAATAAAGACAAGCATTCAAGTTCAATACGTTTCGTTCATAGTATATAGTTGATGGTTCTAGAATGGGAAATTATAGGTTAGACTAACGTGCTGTCACACAGTAGGTTGTTATCCTCTATCTTTCACTAGGTGTAAATTATTTTGGGTCTGGGAGAATTCTTATTTGCATATGAAGTTGAACTTTACCACTAATTCAAAGGGAGAGCGACCTCACATTTGGACATTGTTCGCAACATCGATAGATGCTTCTACGTATCAGATAACCTTTGTGCACCAAGTGTACCAAGCGCACAACACATAAGATTTTTTATTTTGCCTCAAGCAGTTAAGAAGTTGCTCCTTGTTTGGTAGTATGGTGTCTATTTTCTAATTGGCCATCGTCTGTTTGTTTCCTTCTCCCATCCCTGCTTCCTCCACTGGATCATTTGTTGCTGATTTCGAACGTTTCTGTCGCCATGACATGCCTTTCATTTCTAGAAGATAAAGCGGTAATAGGGTGAGAAGGGCGAGGGCAGCAAAGAGAACAAAATACCATCCCGGACCAAGCTTCCCAAGAAGCAAATCTAGCAGCGCAAGCATACCTGCAGACATTTCACATCGTACAAAATTATTTGCCGCTTGGGTTGTGGCGGGGCATTCAGGATGAAGGTCGACGAGAAGAATACTTGCAGAGGTAAAGAAAACCTGAATAGTAAGGCCAATGAAGAATTGAAGAACAAGAGGCACGGCCATATGCTTTTGATTATCAGCGTTATCTACAAAAGAGAGAACATTGCTCATGAAAGGATGTACTCACAGCTCGGTATTGAAGGGACCAACCGTAGCCAATTACCAGGAAACAACATACGACAAGGAAGTATTTGACAATTCGCAAACGAGCCTCTTCCACTGGAAACGATACAAGATTATGATCCTTGCTCTGGTCCACAGGTATATTGTGCCTGAAGGCCGTGGATCGATATTCAGCATCGAGAATTCTACCTACACCCAAATCAGCACAAATATCAAGATCATTCGTAATAAGTAGCTATACCATACCAGCAGCAAAGGCACTGATTGCACATGCCACCCCAAAGGGCAGGTATGTCAAGCCCGAAACTAAGCCTGAAGTGTGATAGATTTGAACAAATAAGCTTGATAAGGATGCTTGGAGACAAGTGTATAGCGTGTAATAGACTCCAAAAGATCCTATCACAATGGCAGTACCTGGTCGGCCTAGAACAACCAGGGATTCCCAAGGTTTAGGGATCTGACATGAGCGTCCTTTTGAGATAGGTATTTGACGGTCGATGGTAAGGTTTGAGGGAGATAAAAATGAGAAAAAAACTCGATTTGCTCCTGTCGCTACTATGCGGCCATCGCCAACAACTTGTCTAGACGTCTCCGGCAAGAACAGCAGAATAGCAAGGAGACAGCATGGCGAAATAGCGGCAAGAAACCAAAATATTGATCTCCAGCCCCATCTCGACATCAACAATCCGCTGATCACGGGCCCAACACTTGGTGGTGTATTAAGAAAAAAGGATACGATTCCTGAATACCCGCCCCGTTCAGAAGGGGTAAACAAATCGCCCAGGACACCATATGTTACAGAGTATGAGCCTGAGATACCCGCACTCTGGACCATTCTTAGAAAGAATAGAAGGCCGAAAGAAGATTGCAGTGCTAGGCCTATTTTAGCTCCGACATAAAGGGCCAGTGTCACGATAAAGACGGGCCGCCGGCCGAGCGTGTCGGCGGCATTGCCCACAATGGAAGGGAAGATGCCGGACATGATGAGGTAGGCCGTAACGCTCAAATTTATCCGTTCAATAGAGACATCGAGATCCGAAGCAATGGAAGGGATCGCTGGGAAATAGATAAAACTGCTGAGAGAGGAGAACCATCCTGCAAAACCAACGAGGGCGATGATCCATATTTTCTGTGAGATGCTGAACGCGGAGTAGGGCAAGGACTCCGAAGAAGCTGATGTTGTCTCTCTGCTGTTTTCTGTCTCTCCAATGTCTGGATCATGGTTGAATGGCCCTTGGGCATGCTTTGCGCTCATTATTCCCACTATTCAGGCGGATATCAACAATCCCATGTTTTTCAAGAAACAAAGTCGGAAAGTCCAAGTTGGTTCAGTATTCTTTTGGCATCAATATAGATACGGATATATAGAGTAAGACACGATAAATAACAAGAGAAAAAAAGAGTCGGGATTCGCTGATACTAGTCACCCGCGCGTCGCGCAATCCCCGCAGGGACCTTTTCACTGACCTATGGTATATATAACATTTTTGGATCGCACTAGTTTCCCCTGAAACGCTCAGTAGCTTGACATATGCAAGTACTTCTATTCTCTACACCTTATATATATATATATGAGGTGTATGCATATGAGCATGCCCATCAACTAGCAAGCTGTAATGTGTGACATATGACCTGTTGATAGGAGGATATATGTTTTCAACACGATGATTTTCTTCACATATATTGGTCAAGGTTTTCCCTACACCGTTATGCAAATGCTTAAAAAGATGGTTCTATATTTACTACCAATATCTAGACATAGTCAGTATGAAGCCATATAAATTGCTTCAAGGCCCTTGTTCATCATGAATATGTGGAGAAGGGGGAACTATAATAAGAGTAGTCTATATTACTAGCAAGGCGACTTGAATGATGAGAAATGAGAATTAAACTATTATCAAAAACTTGAACTTCGAATTGTGCTTCGACATTTTATATTGTTCTTAATTCTTAACCTGCTAGTCCGAGTAAGCCTGGAATTAAGTCACGCACATCTGATATCAATGCGAAGTTGTAGAAGTGAGCGGGGGACGAGTAGGATGTGGTTATCAAGACAAAGAGAAAGACCCTATATAAAGCGAATACTTCCCAAGGTCTAGTCGGGATGGAACAGAAAATCGACCTGTCCACGGTTGTTTGACGCAGGCCATATATAGTTATCTTTTAGCCATTGAAATAAATAGTTCTGCTATGTACAATAAAGCCGGTGCTGCAAAGCCCCCGCGATCATAAGGCTTCGGGCAAGCATTGTGGCTGCACTATGCACGTACACATGACATACATAATGCACAGAAATATATGTACCACCTGGTAGTGGCCAAACAAAAGTTATCAGTTCGTAGAACTATATCCAAGTATGTATACATATATTTATATATTGGTCATTCATGGTCAACATACTTATCAACCAAGTATAGCATATCATCCAATGCTTCGCCCCTCGCCTTGGTACCGGGAATATGTGCGGAGTACATAATCCTCTCCTTGAGAGAGTACAAGCGATTCCGATCGTCGTACTCATCAACTGGCTCATCCGGCCTGGAGTGCCTGAAATACGAGTTGCGGTATTTTGGCGCGTTCATGAGGTGATGGTTCACCCTCCACATCCCAATCGCCATCTCATGATGGGCATAGTACGCGCATGCGTCGAAAATGTAGATGTTCTCCGTGCGTGGGTCCGTGCCCATGTTCTGCTCCCAGAGATTGCCATGGATCAAGCACGGCTTGACGGTCCGGTTATCTTCATATAAGCGACCAAGCAGCCGGGGAACAACTTTATCCAAAATCAATTTCATAGCGTCATCAAATCTTGTCCAATGCCCGTTTGCCTAGATGTCAAGGTTGTATACTCCTTCTAGTAGCTTGCCATAGAAAGAGACCCAATTGCTATCCCAGTTGGTCATCAGCGGGAGCCTCCCATCATAAGTAGTGACATGGAAGCCAAACTGGCCTGTAGGAGAAACGCTGGTACGGTGAAGCTCAGAAATACTTGCCGCCAGCTTCGCTTCGTTAGGCGTCCGATGATCCATCTCTAGGTAATCGCAGAGGAAGAAGTGGTCGTCGGAATCCAGGCACTTCCCGTACCCTCTTGGAACAGGAACAATAGAAGGCATAGTCTTGTACAGCTCAGACATACACAAGAACTCTCCTAACACGCGCGGCCCTGCGAGTTCACCTCTGACAATCTACGAGATCATATCAGCGAAAGCGATCCCAGGAGGCCAATTGTTGCCCAAGCCCACTCACCTTCACAAAATAAGAGTGTAAAATGCCATTACTGTTCTTGGTCGTGATCTTTGCGGTTGATGCCCAGGCAGAATTACCACTTGGCTCTGTGGATACCACTGCCTGACCCTTGATGAGAACTAATAAAACACCGAATTAGTAGCCACGAGATTTTAACGAATTGACCGATATCCGAACCATTGACCACGGCCTTGTCGAGTACAAAAGTGGGACATGATTCCACGCCCCCGGGGATACTAGTAGTCATTTTGATATAATGAGCAAACAGAAATCGAGACACCTAAATGAACGATCTTAAGGTCCAGAAATCACCTGAAACTTATATTGCGTACCGTGAGCCGCACCCATCATTTTAGCCCCATTTGGCCAACTTGATATGAAGAGTGCTAGGAGAAGGGTAAAGAGGAAGAAGACTGGGGTGAGCGAGTCATGGCAGCAGCCAGACCCAATCGAAAGCCAACACGTCGGTGTGACTAGTCTAAGATCCTAGCTCAGAGTAGACCTCCCGGAATGTGACGATGCACGGATTACAGTAGTGGTTTGAGTAGACGCTTTACTGATTAGCGTATGGATTTGATAGGCTAAGGTGGGTGATACCAGGCGACCCCGTCCAAGAATGCCCGCATTTGCAGGCGCCTACGGCATAATTCTGGCTCCACAGTAAGTCGTGGGACAGAGCCCATGGCAGAAATCAAGGTTTATTGCAAGAAATGATAAGTTCAATGTATATGCATAACTCTTAACTAAAAATGACAAAATCCGCGTTTTTCACAATCTGTGCGGACATCGATGACTAATTGTAAATGCACTCCAGGGCTTTTGTAGGTATGCCCACCCGGGCAGTATGCCGAGTACCGTCAGATGATTTTCGGCTATGATACAGGTTGGTAACGATCGGAGCTAGCGTTGGTCATGGAATCTGCACTTTACCCTGTTTTCACCCAGTATTTCAATGTACACAGTTATGTACAAATGTATTTCGACACCCCATTTGATCCTGCCCATACCGCCGATATTAGAACCCAACAATCTTGGAAATAGCCGGGCAGATGATCGACCGAGTTATCTAACTGAACGCCCAGGTTAGGACACTTAGTGCCACTATGGCGCTAGGATTAAAGAGGCGGCAAGGCCAATTGCCGGAAAAGCCGTTGAGCTGCCACCTGGCACTCTACCAATCCTTATCAACCGCCTTCAAACTCATGAAACTCGCGAATTTTACCCGTAAAACGGTGGAGGCTCTCGGTGGAAGCCAAAATGGTACGTTGAAATGGCCCTTTTTGCCGGAAACCCAGCCTTTCCAGACACGAAGCGTCGGGCGGGGTCTTAGATGCCTCACCCGCCCCGTCCAGGGTATTTCAACGAATTTCATTTGTCAAAAGAAGGAAATGAAAAGCACATATTATATCCAACGCTGAACCTATCTCAGTTGATGGGAGATTGCTGACACTCGTCAACTTCGCCTGGGTAGTGGAGACGACTTAAATCAAAACAACCAGCCCAGACTCCCCGACTGGATGACCTGAATGACCAAGTCACTCAGAAACATGGTTCACCGATATCGACTTCCTTAGAACCCTCACCCTATGATCGACGACGGACATCCCAATTCAGTGAGATTTCTAATGCACATAATCAACTATTTCCGTCGATATCTCCAGAACATCAACGGCGCCGCTCGCAAGATCGCCGAGATGACCCAATGGGCCTCACCGTCCTCCACGCCCCAGAGTCGAAAAAACGGACCGTGGATATCCTCTTCATACACGGACTTGGAGGCACTAGTCTACGAACATGGTGCAAGAATCGGGACTTGGAGTTTCTCTGGCCCAAGAAGTGGCTGGCGGAAGAACCAGACATGTCTACAGCGCGCATCTTGACGTTTGGCTACAATGCAAACTTTGCCGCGAAAAAGGAGCAGGCATCCTTGTCGATTGGCGATTTCGCAAATGATCTACTGTTTCACATGAAATATGACGATGATGGCGACGACAAGATGGGCGAAGTACCCATCATTATTGTCGCACACTCGATGGGAGGGCTCGTGTTCAAAAAAGCTTGTATGTGATCGAATGTGGAAGAGTTCCCGCCGAATGATCATGCGTTAAATTTGCCTACTAAATTCATTGGCAGTCATCCATGGGCATCTAAACGAGCAGTATCGCGAGATTACATCTTCCATCAAAGCTGTCCTCTTCATGGCTACTCCGCACAGGGGAACCGATCTCGCAGAGTCCCTAAACCGGATTCTCACGAGCTCCATTTTCGGCCATTCCTCGAAAGATTACGTTAGAGAGCTTACGAAGGGCAGTACTACCATCGACGAGCTGAATGATACATTTCGCCATCATGCGGCAAAATTGCAGATATTTTCGTTCTACGAGACTCTCACTACAGCTATTGGTCCGATGAATATGATGATTTTAGAAAAATATTCATCCTTGCTGGGCTACCATAACGAGACTCCAGAGCCTCTCATGGCAAACCATCATGACGTGGTGAAATTTTCCAGTCGGAACGACCCGAACTACAAGTCAGTGCGAGGCGCTCTGCGTAGCATCGTTAATGCATTCCGATCCTCCAAATTACACGAGAATGATACGGAGAAAGATTTCAACATCATTAAAAAGTGGCTGGGAGTGACGGGGCCGGAAGAAGACTTGGCTTCGCTTCGATCAGTGCGGAAGGCAGGAACATGTGAACATCTACTGCAAAAGCCCAAATTCAAAGATTGGCTTGATTCGGATATTCCTCATATCCTCTGGGTACACGCTCCCCCGGGGAGTGGAAAATCAATTCAATGCTCCTTTCTGATCGAATCCCTCCAACTGCGCCAAGAAAGCTGTGCGTACTGGTTCTTCAAGGATGGCGATGTCCAGAAGCGTTCCCTAAGCAATATGCTTCGCTCAGTGGCTTACCAGATTGCGGTCAAAGATGAGTCGTTTCGGCGAGCTCTCATGGAAGTCGTCAAGTCCGGCATGCATGTCAACAAAGCGGATGCGTGGACGATTTGGCGAAATATATTTGCTTCTAGACTTTCAGCCATCAGCTCTAAGCTGTATTGGGTCATCGATGGGTTGGATGAGTCGGAATCGAGCAGAACATTTATTGATCTAATCTCAAATATTAGCATGTCCCAGAGCAATATCCGAGTCCTGTTCTTCAGTCGTCCACTGTCAAACATCAATCAAGCCATCCAGAGAGCAAGGAGACACGTTACTATCACAGACGTGGCTTTGACAGACAACTTGGAAGATATCCGTCTCGTGGCTGCAGATGAGCTGGAATATTTTCTCTCCGGCGATGAGTTTGAGCATTTTAAACACGAAACCATTGAGGAAATTACGTCCCGCTCACAAGGCAACTTCTTATGGGCTAGTCTCATCCTCAAAATGGTCGTCACCTGTCATCGTCAAGAAGAAGTGAAACAAGTCCTACGTGCCACGCCGGATGGCATGGACAAGCTCTATTATAGAATGGCCGAGGCTATTGCAAAAGTAGACCGTGAGGAAAATACAACTCTTTGTAAGATGCTGCTTTCTTGGGCTATGTACTCGACCAGACCTATTGGAATTGAAGAACTCATGGAGCCATATGCCACGGAGCTTGACACCGTCATAGATCTCAAACACACAACCAGCGAAATATGTGGTCAGTTTGTGGTGATCAACGCCCACAACCAGGTCGTGTTGGTCCACCAGACGGCACGACAATACCTCAGAGCGTGCACCAGGCTTCCATTCTCCCTCGATGCGTACGAGGTGAATGAAGAGCTCCTCTTTCAATGTCTCACTTTCCTTTGCGATATGTCTTTAAGGATGAAAATCAGACAGCGCAAGACTCCCATGTTCGTCTCATATGCATCTGTTTCCTGGGCCCTTCACCTGAATCGCTCATCTATTGAATCTGACAGGGTACTTAAGATCCTTGTTAAATTCTTCAGTGGTAGCTTCCCATTAGCTTGGATTCAATTCCTAGCTATAAATGGGCATCTTTTGCATTTGGTGGCAGTATCTTCCCATCTCATGACCTTCGTCCGGCAACGGAGGAAACTCGACGCGATCAAGCCGCCAACACTGCTTCGCTTGCCAGAACTAGCGTTACTGGAGACATGGGCTTTGGATCTCTTTAAAATGACAGCAAAATTTGGGATTCATTTGGGTGATGATCCCGATGCGATCTACAAATACATTCCTGCCCTCAGTCCAGAGAACTCAGTGCTTCATCAGAAGTACGCGAACAAATCATCATCTGCGATATCTGTCTCTGGTATAACAAATACGGACTGGGATGACTGTCTCGCTCGAGTGTCAAATGGTTCTGATTCTGCATTATATATTGCAGTTTCGGCGGAGTATCTTGCTCTTGCGGACGGCAGACCGAATGGCAAGATTCGGCTGTGGAGTAATGTCATCTTCCAAGAGCATACTGGCTTCGATCCCGGCGAGCCAATATGTTCCATTTCCTTTAGCGAATCTGGCTCGCTCCTAGCCTGTTACTGTCTGGATAATACCTACGTGTGGAGAGTACGTGACCGAACTCTCGTCGCCAAGATCGAAAGCCCCTACCAGGAACGACCGAAATCATTGAGGTTCGGACAAGACGAATCATTTCTCATCATTGCCACTGACTTTCGTCGTCTGTACCGGCTGGAATTTGATAACAAGACCCCAACTTGGCATAGCTATGACCCTTCCCTTCTCTTGGAAACTTCACTACCGGAAGGGGCTTTCATCAATGCCCCATCATCGGTTGACTTCAACCCAGACTGCACACAGCTTGCTGTCGCCTATCGGAACTTCCCCCTGGCCGTTTGGAATATTGACCCACCGGAAGTGATTGCCAGGTGCAAGCAAAAGGGAAAACAGGGACAGACAACGAACACAACATCCTGGACAGGTGTCAACCGTGTAGTCTGGCATCCTTTCAGTGGCCAAGTTCTGGGAATCAACCGCGATGGCAATATATTCAAATGGAGTCCGATGGACGATAGTTATGAAGAGGTGAAACAGGAGTCAGATAATACGCCGTCGGATATCCAGTGTTGTCCCAATGGGCTCGTCTTTGCCACCAGCGACGTCAGAGGCTCAATTAGAATTTACGACAACTCACAGATGATTCAGATGTATAAGCTGACTTCGGATTCTATTGTGACGAATATTGCATTCAGCCCGGACAGTCGTAGGCTCTATGATTTGCGAGGGTCCTGTTGCAATGTATGGGAACCAAATTGTTTGATCCGGCTCAATGACACCAGCATAGATCCGTCTGAGGATAGCGAGAGCGTGAAGAGTGACGAACAAAAAAGGAAAAACAGTTGGGCCTCGGAACTAGACGACAAAAGCGGCTCCGTAGTCTCGTTGCCGACGTCCGAAGCGTATGCTGATACCAAGCCGCCGATCACGGCAGTTGCAAACTGCGCGAGGAACCAGAATATGTTTGCGCATGCTACAGATGATGGGACAATTGAGATATGTGACATGAGAAGAAAATGCAAACACGTCATTACGGAGTTTACTTTCGGCATGGATATTGTCCACTTCGCCCTAGCACAGGGTGGTGAATATGCCGCGTACTGCTTGCTTGATGGGCATGTCACAGTAAACAGCATCCACATGTCCTCAAATCCGGAGAAAATTTCCACCCAAACAGTCTTTGCCGAGAAGAAGTCCTTCAGCCGCGGCCTGATCAGACATATTCTTTTCGATAGCAGATCTGAGCGACTGTTAGTCTGCGGCACAGAGAGACTTCAGATTCTCTACGTCGCAGATGGGAGCATAGTTGCTGATATAGAAATCGACCCGGCAGATCCACCTACACAATGGGTTAATCACGCAACAAATCCGAACATCCTACTGGGCTTCACAGCTCACGGAGTTCGCACAGTATCTTGGGAGGCCTTGGAATTCAAGTATAACCTCTCGTACAACCTTGGCAGCGACAGCTCCGATGGTCAGCCGGCCCCATCTCTAAAATTGGAGGCTTTGGCACAGTCATACCACCCGAAAATGCAGTTGGCGACTGCCTCAGAGGACACCGTGCATGGCAGGCATTTTCGCTTTCTACTGCTAGACACCTCTGTGCTAAACGAAGATCACATCCACACCCTCTCTCCCGAACCTTTGAATGCTGTCCACATCCCGCTTTCTATCACCGAATGTATGGAGCAACCGGTCGGAATTCTTGCAGATGGCCGTCTCGTTTTCCTTGACAAGGCCTTATGGGTGTGCACGGCACAGCTATGGTTACAGCCCGCGCGTGGGTCGGAAACTACAGTGACCAGACACTTCTTTATCCCTCGCGACTGGCTAGATAGCGCCGGTTTGATATTATGTAAGGTGCAAGAGAATGGGAATTTCTTGTGCCCCAGTAAGGGTGAGATGGCGGTGATTAGGAGTAACATCGGAACGGACTGGTAAAGCACAACACTTTTGGTGTGGTCATGATACGTTGGGCTCTATGTATATGCCCGAGAATTAGATCTATATGTGGTATACATGAAAATACTACATAGCAAATAGAACTTGACATCTCACTCCAATATGTAGTTGCATACTAGTGGTTAATGAAATGCTTGGCGGTCGACACCTTATTATTAAGGCTTCAGGAGCCTAATCCGGTGGACTTTGAAGCCATCACCGATCACTACATATATACCTTAATGTAGCCCTGTAGAGTGTTATCGTCACTATTTGAATTTTGGAATGGGGAGGATCAGCATATGTAGTGTATATCGACGTAGATCGATGTAGATCAGGGTTCATTTAAAAAAAGTCCTTCGAGTCCTCACGTCACCACACCTGAAAATGGGCCCTCCACTTGTTTAAATGCGGAATGTTATTTGATCCTTTCACTCCACTTAGATCTCGCAGTTACCCCCTACGGCCTAGCAAATAACTCCCGAGGTTCGGGGCAGATCAATCTTCCCTCCGCTTCCCCCCAAAATCCCACGATGATGATGCAATGGCTTCCATATCTACGTCACGGGGATGAAAGAAGCTTTCCGGACTTCCATTCCACATCCACATCATATAGTTTTTGTTCTCTGCTGTCTTCTTCTTTTCTTTTCTCATGAGTTCTGTTTTATCTAAATTTGTCCCTGAACTATGGCGGCAACTGCGCAAGTGTCTCGTCAGCCACGACTAGCAGATGATGGTAAGAATGATACATCTCATGATCTCCCTCTGATCGCTAACCTCACGTGAGAATAGCCGCAACAGCTGCCCTATATGTGACACACCCTGGACGTAGGGCGTCTCTGCGTGCCCCGGTCGCAATCAAACCCCAATCCTCCAGTAAGTATCATCCCTCGATAGCATAGTCGAGTACACCCAAGCTCACAATGCGTCTCGTCGCAGACACACGCGCGGCCGGCGGTACTGCAAATATCAGCCATGCCTCCGCTGCCTCGGCTCTCGCACACGCGAATCGCAAACCTGTCGAAGTATGGCGGCCCCCGGCTAGACAGCCTGCCGCCGAAAAGGCCGCGTTATGCGTGAAAGACTACGCTCCGCCACAGCAACCCCAACCCACCACCCAGCACAGTGCAGAGGGACTTGGAGCTGCAATGCTCGCTGTTCGTGAACAGAGAGCCTCGGTAGACCAGACCGCTAAGTCTGCTGTTGACAGACGTGGCAGCTCCACCGACCCTTACCACTTTACAGCTGTCGGCGGCAACCCAAGAGACAAGGCACTGAAGGCCGCATCTGGTGCCTACACTCTCTCGCGTAAGAGAGCCGACTCAGCACCCAGTGACACTGGAGTTACCTCCGAGTCACCATATGGCAGTTCGACCGCTAGCGCATCGCGATATGCGCGTGTGGAAGAGGAGGACCCCCTTGGAAAATTGGACCCTGCCATGGAAGCAAGCCGGATCAAGCATAGGGCTAATGCTAACGCGAAGCTGTATACATCATCGCCACCTATCCGAGAACAAAACTCCAAGAACTCGCAGCGTGCTGCTGCCATCTCAATGGCAAAGGACATGTATAGACTTACCGATTCCAAGGCACGATCTGGTGAATCTCCCGCCGTCCTGGCAGCCCAAAGGGGACAGGGTCAATTGGGCTACCGCAAGACTGTATCCACCGCAGATGGGGCTGCCCTCCGGCGTGCGATTGCCCTACAAGAGGCAGCACAAAAGCGAGCCACCGAGAAACTAGCACTAATGAAGGATGAGCATGCCGACTACCAGCAATATTATGGCACCACACCTCAACCGCAACGGTCGCGCTTGGCAACCCGCCGTAAGAGAACTTCGAGCGATGCGGACTCCTCTCAGGTCGATGTAGAGCAGTCGCGACAAATTCGGAGCCAGATGACCACGCTGCGGACCAAGATGAACCAAGTAGATGGACGCAGGACACAAGATCGGGAACTGCTTATGCAGGCCGCCCGCCGCAATGTGGAACAAACCATCCAGGCCATGGAGGCGCGAGTTTACGCGGACACCGGTCGCGCTCCGCCTTCCGTACAGAGGGAGTGGGATGAGGTTACCCAGGAGCGCGTGCGACTGGAGGCAGAATCATTTGAAGCCGCTCCCACCACCGGGGACCGAGTGAATATCGGCGGCCAGACGTATATGGACATGGCCGATGTTGACGCTGTCGCTCGGTCTCGTCTCCAGCCTGCTCTCGATGAGATTACAGATAACGCCGAACTACGGAGAGCGCATGAAATTGAAGCTCGTCTGGACGCTGAGGAGGAGCAGAGACATGCTGCCGTGGAGCGTGAGCGCGAAGCTGAAGTGAAAGAGTTGGAGAAGCAAGAAAGAGGTTAGTTACCCGATCCTTCTCTTTTATGGGATATCCTCTGACTAATAAATCAGGTGCAAGCAAGCGCGAAAAGTCCGAGGGTATTATTCCCAAATTATTCTTGTGGAGGAAGAAGGGCAAGCGGGCCCGGGTTGAGGAATCCGACACCGAAGAGGCTCAGCCTGTCTCGCCTGTGGCTCAGGGAGCTGTATTAGAGCGGCCTCCGAGTACAGCTCCGGGCAGTATGGTCTCGACGGAGAGCATCCTCGAGCAAGCTTCTGTGACGACAGAGCCGAGGAGCTCTATCCCCGACGAAGCTTCTGTTGAAACAGAGACAGCCGGTCCCACAACCATTGCTGCAGCTGCCTCCTCAGTTCCAGAGACTGAGCCTTCAAATCCCGAGGAAAACGACGTTCCCGAGGAAGACGACGTGCCCGTGGCAATCCCACGGCGGCCAACACGAAGCCAGACCGAGCCTCTCCAGATCGAGCAGCCAGATGCAGCCCCCTCAGGCCCAAATGTCGTGCACTACTTCACGCCACCAGTCACAAGCCCGCGCGCTGACGCCAAGCTCAAGAACTGGTTCCGCGACCGTCTCGTCCGCCGTTCCAGTGGGCCAGTCGCCATCTATCCCCGCCAGCCAGGCCCGGAAACCAACACAGACAGCGAACCCGCCTTTCAAGGAGGCGCCAGTCTAACTGGCGGCGACGAGCCCCGCGGCACAGCACTGGGCTCACACCCTGTGGCTGAAGCTATCCCGACCCACAACAGATCTTCGAGCTACTACAGCAACGACTTTAATGTGACCAAGATTAACAGTGCCGACACTTCCCCCGAGTCTATCAAACAAAATGGTAATGGCAAAAAGAGAAATCGCCTGAGCAGGACGTTCTTCAAGACCGTCTCTGGTAACCATGATGAGCCTAGTTCGAACGACGGTGACTCCCGTCGTGACTCGGGAGTTCCATCTTTGTCCAAGGATGCCGATGGCACTGATACTCAGAGTGTGCAGGATGGTGCTATTGACCAGGGTCTTACTGTGCCACCTACTATTGGTGAGACGGTGAACGGAAGAAGAGAATCGAGATTCTCCGAGATCCTGTGATTCTCATATTGAATTTTGATGTTTATGTCTATTTGAAACGTTAACCTGATGTACGACTTTGTTATTTTTGAATCTTATGGGTGATTTACTGGTGTTTTTAGAACTTGAAATGGTCTGGAGGATACTGGTGTCGGATTGTGTACTTGGTAGTAATTTTCGGTGCTTCGTATATAATCAATCTAATTCACGATGTCTTTATGAAGCTATAGCAACATCATTGAACATGTCTTTCAAGATGAGCAATAACACGCCGAAGCGGATCAGTCACAGCCTTGTCTCCCACTTCCTCATCCCCATCCAAATCAATAACCCCTTTCGCCTCAAACCCGTGCCCCTGTCCTTCTGCACGCTCGAACGAAACATCGACACCAAGCGCCTCTAAAGCCCCAGCCACAGCAACACTCTGATCAAACCCAACCAACTCATCCGCATCTCCATGAACAAGAATCGTAGGCGGGAAGTCCTGATTCAACCCAAACTTAACCGGGAAAAGCACCCGATCCTCCACCGAAACCGCCCCAACCCCCTCACTAGCAATCCTCCCCGCCAACCCCGGCTTCCGTGCAAGCACATCCGGATACTGCGCCGCCTGATGCAAAACCCTAATCCACCCAAACCGACGATCAGCAGGCGGGTTCATAGGGAACGGATACCCATCAATAGCATCATCCTGCATAGCAGCCTCGACATCCTTCAAAGTCTGCGCTTCATCATCGACAGGAGCAACAAGTGGCTGGCCAGGATGGATATACCGCTCGCTAGAGGAATCCATCATTCCATAAATGGAAAGTAAGGCGAGCGGTCGAGGTGTAGCTGGGTGCGCGGTTGCAGCGAGGGCTAGATAGCCTCCTGCGCTAGAGCCGGCGATTATCACCCGCTTACTGATGTTCGCATGAACCCAGTTTACGGCATCGATTGCGTCTTGGAGGATTTCTAGACCTGGGGTTTCGGGAAGGAGCCGATAAGAGGCTGTTGCATATGTCCAGCCGCGTTTTTTACAGGCATTTATCAGCCAGTGCGGTGGGAAGGTGGTTTTTTCGCCAATAAACTGTAGGGTGGATGTTAGATGGGTTTCTTTTGGTTTAGATTCTGGTATTTCCAAGGTTTGGACTTACTAGGAAGCCTCCATGGAAGTGGAGGAGGACGGGGCTGTTTTCGTCTTTAGTTGGTGGGGAGAGAACATCGATCTCGAGTGAGAGGCCGTCTACGACCTTGAAAACATGTGTAACCGACATAATTGCGTGTGGGAGTTTCTACTTTTTTTTTTGGAATGCAGGATCGTCTTCGTATTTAACTATATACCTGGTCAAGGGTACCCCCGCCGGCCCCCTCCCCCGGGGAGAGCCGGCGGGATATCTCCACGCTATATATAGTGTCGGCAGTTGAAGAGAAAAGACGGAACAGTCTATATCCAATACGCTAAGCCGAATTTGATTTTAGCTTGATAGCATCTTGTGTATATTGTAAGTGGTCTTCCCAAAATTTTCAATGTATGTACAATAGGTGGTGATAATGTATAATATTATAGTATAAAGGGCTGTGGGAAATCCCGCGGCTTCAAAGTGTGGGGGTACTCAATCAGGATGGCAGTCACGGCAGTTACATCTCACATATATATTCTACTAGTAGCTTACGGGCTATTGGACTATCATATTATTTGCAATATTTATCTGAAATGCTCGAAGTGCCACTTGCAGCATTCTCGGTGCTGGGACTGGTACAAACAACCAGCCTGGTAATCGGTGTTGTTCTCATAGGATATATATCATACATGTCATATTTCCACCCCCTTTTAAGATATCCAGGTCCAAAGATAGCTTCCTTGACAAACCTCTGGAAGGCCTACTACGTTTACAAACTTGTTCTCCACGAAAGGCTAGTCGAACTACACCAGCAGTATGGCCCCGTCGTCCGAATCGGTCCTAACCATCTCCATTTCTGGGATGGCGAAGCCATTGCTCCAATTTACAAAGGGGGCAGGAAGATGGGAAAAACAGAATTTTATAATGCCTTCACTGCATTTAACCCTAATCTCTTTGGAGGCAGGGACGAAGATGTAAGCGATTGTGTTTATACTTATCAAGCAACCTGCTCAACAATAACAGATCCATGCTCTTCGTCGACGACAACTAGCACACGGATTCTCACAGGTATCAGTCGAAAACTTCGAACCTCTAATCAATGGTCACATAGAGATATTGCTCGGGAAACTTAACAACTTCGCAAAGACTGAAGAGGTCTTCGACCTCAAGTCTACCATCTCGTACTTTGTTCTTGATATCCTAGGCGAAGTCGCCTTCAGTCGGCCATTCAATGCTCAACTCAAAAGCGAAGCAGATGAGATACACGCAATAAACGATCATCTCCTCCTATCATGCGTAATTGGTGAACTTCCCCTCCAGGCACTGTCAAAGTTCCTAGCACGGTGGTCGCCCGTTCCGTGGATGCGAAAACTGGTGAAAAGCAGAAACAACCTCAAAGTAAAGTGCTCTGAGTGCGTTAGAAACAAGATCCACAATGCATCCGACCGCCAGGATTTACTTCAAAGTCTTGTCACGGCGAAAGACGTTGAAACCGGTGCCAGTCTGACCGAGCAAGAGATTAATTCAGAGGCGTTTGCTATGCTGTGAGTATATCTCTGGTACTCAAGAATCATCGATTGTTTATTTAATTGTACTAGGGTAGCAGGCTCTCATTCGACCTCGGGTACACTGACACTGCTCTTTTGGCACCTCATCCATAACCCAGAGATATATACTGCCGTCGCTGCAGAGATAGTTGGCACTCTTCAACCACTGCAAGATGGAGAAATTTCTTATCCTATCAGGCGACTGGAGATTTCTTTGCCATATACCATGGCATGTGTGAGGGAGAACTTTCGTCTGAATCCAGTGTTTACAATGCCTCTGTGGCGAAGTGTCGGGTCACCAGGTGGAGCGAGAATTGGAGAATTCGATGTACCATACGGTGTAAGTTTGCCTACCCTTCTAACTACTAAGGTCATGGGCTACGGTTCATATTGCTGACCCTTGAATCTGAAAAATAGACCAATGTTTGCATCTCGAATTATGTCCTCCACCATAACCCCGAGATCTGGGGTGAAGATCATGCAGTATTTCGACCAGATAGATGGCTGGGGAAAGACGAGTCTAACCGGAGTCGATTCCTCATTCCGTTTAGTATTGGACACCGCATGTGTATCGGTCGCAATCTCGCCATGACAAATATATTGAAGACCCTCACTACTTTAATCAGTCAGTTTGAGTTTCATCCGATCTCTCAGGATGACGAAGTCCGAGTTCGCAGCTCGGGGATTGGGGAGATGGAGGGGTCTTTTCAATGTAAAGTTTCGGTAAAACGCTGAGGCATGGCTCATGCACGCTATTGGAGAAGTCTACAATATATGTACTACATATGAAGAATACATGTAGGTACTATTAGGGCATCAATATATCCGGGGTTATACTACGCGCTTGGCATGAGGCTGCAGTATGGTACTGTAATAATACATATTTATGTATGCATATGGCATATTTATGCACAATAAAGGGCAAGTGTGCTTGTTTGATATGGTAATAATACCCGAGCATGTGACATGCACATCACCAATACCCCCCAAGCCTTTCTCCACCTGCACCACCCCAAATCATGAGAGATACATGTACTCAATTTGGACACACGAATTCAGTGAGACTCCCTGAAAATGGAGGCTCAAACTTTATCAAATGACCAGTTGAGCCCCGCGCCTTTTCAGTGTTCAGTTTGCTCCCAAATCTTCGGGAAGATCCAACATCTCAAGAGACACAGATCAACCCGTACGATCCAAATCCCTATTAATATCCCTTTTCTTGTCGCCATCTACTGAATTCTGACTTGGTAGATATTGACAAGAAACCACATCTCTGCCAGTTCTGTGGTTCCGAATTCACACGCAGGTAACGTGGGGCCAACTTTCAGATGACAGCTCGGCCATTTGACGAAACCAAATCTTGATAGCGATGCCCTTTGCCGTCACTGGAAGACTTGCACAGTTCGCTTGGCATCTGGCAGCCAAGTTCCACAGCGTACTCGGTCTGGAAAGAGAAAACATGCGTGCGATCGTTGCACAAAGCGCAAACGTGCCTGTAACCAAGGGAACCCTTGTGCTGAGTGTGCTCTTCAAGACTCCAAATGCACATACCTTCAGAAGAAGCAGAGATATTCGCAAATATCTGAGAGCGGAATAAATTCTCATGATGACAATGACGGGAACGACGTCCCTAACGCTTCCAAACCCCAACAAAAGTCAAGTATCCGAGGCCAACAGTTGATAAATAAGATTGGCATTGCCGATCGGTTCCGGTTTGATTTTCTTTTGAAATTTACTCGTGCAGCTGGAATAAATGAAGGGTACAATTGCAATCGCCTGTTTATGGCAAATGAACTATCCGGCCGCAGTGCCACTGAAGATGGTACCTCCCAAACGAACCTAGATCCATGCCTTTTGGATGAGAACTACCTATGGCTAGATGGAGATAAAGCGCCATTTACCGAATCCAACAGTTGTACGACAGGAGGCCTCGTCAATGATGCCCTAAGGCTTCAGTCCGGTCGCATTTGGGACATGATTCTCCCTTTTTGTGATGAGAAAACAGAAGGAAGCGTAACCATGGCCGATGTCATATCATTCTTCTCGCCAGAAAATATACTTCGTTTTATTGATATATTTTGGGATCGCTGGTATCCCCACTGTCTAATCTTCCATAGGCTAACATTCCAAATCGACTCCTGCTCGCCTCTCCTTCTTATAAATATGGTACTAATGGGGGGCTGTACATCCTCATATAAGGCTGACCGCCATATTGCAAGGTCACTACTAGATATTGCAGAAGCGATTGTGTTCTCTCAGCCTATGTTCTCGACCGCAGCGACCAGGGTCGAATGTACGGATCAAAGCCATAAAACCCAAATCAGCACTTTGCAAGCAACATATTTGATTTGTATCATGCAAAAATGGGAAGGAAGTAACGAATCAAAGGTTCGGATTCAGCGGGATCAATTTATAAAATTCGTCTCAGTACGTACTGTCCATCAAATTACTTACTATTCCTCAGCATTCGTCTCTAATTATTTTTAGGCAACGCGGGCAATGGGGTTGTCGAGGGGTAGACATACTCATCAACCCATTACCTCTACCTTTGACAATTCTCAATGGCGAGCATGGATTGAAAGAGAAGAAGTCAATAGGTGTGTTCAATGAAGGCAAACGCGCCAGTTGTATACTAATCTCAACACAGAATGTGCAATTATGTTTTTCTTCTTGACTCTGCCTTCGTGATTTTCCACAATTCCTTCCCACGAATGGTTCTCCAGGAGATGCAAATCGATTTGACATCACCAGAATCATGGTTTCAAGCATCCTCTCCTGCCGACTTTTTATTTGCTGTCCAGTCAAACCCAGGCCTACCAGAGAAGCATCTATCTCTTGTTGATTCCGTTCGCAAATTGTGCAATGATAGTCCAAATCACAACACAGACTTTTTGGACGGTGCTAGCAAGCTAAATCTATTCACAATCGCCACAGGTGAGCTCTCACTCGATAGTATTCCCAACCATTCAATTAACTCTCGGAAAACAGCGGTGCATGGCCTTATATTTCATCAAAAGTCCTCGCTCTACACCCTTCCACTTTCTGACAACCCGCTGGGCAAGGCGCTCGACCGGTTGGAGATCGCTTGTAGATCAAATCAGCGCCAAGGACTATCTACGCGGGCATCGGGTGATACAAGCTGTATAGCCGATGAGCAAGATGGATTTATGCAGTACGCTGATGAATTTGCTGTCTTGGCACGTATATCTCTCGAATTATCATATTTCTCACCGACGGAATGGTCGGGATTTATCGAGGGATTTATCGAGGGATTGGCTGACAGCTCTTCTTGTGGTGCATTTGCTACCTTTGATCAAGCCGGCATGGGCCCGATTGGGAATTTGATGCTGGCGGTGGAAAACTTGAGCTTGAATAGGTAAATCGCTTTAGGTATACTTAATGCCAATTCAAGGTCCTTGGGCGTATCCTTGATGGCCCAAAAAGGGAAATTTCGAGGATCTTTACGGAAATTTCAATCTCAAAAGGCACACTGATCACTGCAAAGTTTTGACAACAATGCAAGATAAATTCTCGTTGTATCTCGTCTTGCCGTTATCTCATTTAGACCGCTTCATACTTAGTCGCCCGTAAATGTATATACCTATATTAATACCTCTTCCGTCGAAAGAGGCTGCAATTCTTCAGATATTCTATCCCATCTCAAGCGGGACTCCTCCAAGGAAGCCTCAACTCGATCCATTCCGTTCTCCATATGGCCTATTTCATAAGGTATACTCGTAAACTAATAAATATAACCTAAAAATGAAAGTGACCCATTTGGATACATTTGCTCCCTTTTAATGAGAAAATACCAGTCAAGACTGCACCTCCAGTCTTCCCTACTTCAGTAGATACCAGGGCACGCCTATCCCAGTACCTTCTGGAAGTACCTATGTAGGCATATGAATCAATTTAGCCCCTCACTTATGCGTGCAACGCATTGGTCAGCCTTGGCGTGCGGCTCTACCAGAGCTGGAAGGCACTGCCCCAAAATACATATGACGGTCATCGCTTATCCTGGCCCTCTTCACATTCAGGTATGATCGCACATCCACTCGCCAGAGATCCATAAGTTGCTCAAGTATTGAAAATATCTTGACGTCTAAACATGGATCCTCTCTCTTTTACGGCTAGCCTTTTAACAGTTGCTACCTTGGCCGCCAGTGTTACATCGACGTTGTCGAATCTCAGACATGTTGGTGAGCTGCCGGGCCGACTACAAGCTATCAACAATGAGGTGGCCGATCTTGAGGTCATTCTTCGTCAAATCGAGTCGAAGTTTACCGACCGCCAGTTGTCGCAACCAGACGAAAACCCTAATTCCCTCCAGACGAAAACCCTAATTCCCTTGCGGACGTGCTGCGCCGAGCAGAGAGCAAGCTTCGAGAATTGGAAACCATCATCAGCCTGCTGGTGAGGTCTTGCGTTGGAAACGGCAAATTTCTTGTTCGCGCAAAGGTTTGGTTGACAGAGAAGCCCAAACTGGATGCACTCCACGAGGAGCTGCACTCCCTCAAGGCTACCCTGAATCTCATTCTGGGAGTTATCCATTCGTAAGTGGGCTGTAGAAACCTAGTTGCTCTAGTAGTCACCTACTTATTTGCTCCCGCTAGCCAAGACATGATGCGTGTCCAGCTGGACCTCCAGAGCATATCACTGGTCTCTGCCAGGATGACCAACGCCCAAATTGTGTTTCGAGACGAGATAAATTCAACCATTGATAAAAGCGCCCACCGTGTCGATGAAAGGCTGGCCACTTTGGAAAGGGCCCTTAACGAACAGCTTTCTCGACTCCAGCTCCGCCTAAACTCGGATATGGGCGCCAAGCTCCACGGACAAGCGCCAAATTTAAGCACCGTCCAGCAGAACCGAAAATCGTTCGCTCCTTCCAACCAAGGCATTGTTAGGATCCGTGCTGCTCATTACATTGGCAAGATATGCGAGGCAGATTGTAGATGCGCCTGTCACCAACGCGTCAAATATCATTCTCCAAGTCTTGTTGGCCCCGTCGTGGGGCAGCTGTTTTTTGGCTACGCGGGATTTCCTCGTATCCGCAGCCGTTGCGACGATGACCGCTGCGGACGAAGCAGAGCACGTCATGTCAGCATAGAATACTGGTTCCCACTGTGGTTCTTGTCACGGATTCTAATGATCATTCTCTCACTTCAACGGTCCGGCCCAGAGCTTCGGCTTCGCGTTGTCCGGAGGATTCCAGACGCCGCCCAATGTATTGATTTTGCAAGAACTGGCAACATCGAAGGCATCAAACTACTCTTCAAGGAAGGGCTGGCGTCCCCGTTCGACGTCAGCCAGTCGCGGAACTTCTCCATGCTTCGCGTAGGTTGCTTCAGATGTTCAGCCATCGCCAATCCCAATGTCCTAGTAATTTAGCTAACCACAAATCAAAGTGGGCGGTCTTCGACAGGCAGTACGAAACTTGCAAATTCCTTCTAGATGCCGGCTCGGATCCCAACCAAGCGTATGTCGTCCCTATCGCCCGACATTTTTTTTATGTCAAGCTAACTTGGCTTGACAGAGGCGCAAGTGCAATGATGTGGGATTTTTTTCTCTGGGCTACCATTAACGATTCAGATCTGGAGGCTGTCACAAATCTCCTAGCTGGTAGTGATTTTGTGGACGACCAGAAATTCCCCATGATCCACAAAATAATTCTCAAGATGTCGTTGCGAAGTTTGGAGGACGAATTATTTTACAATGTAGATGCTGTATTCCAGACAGACGCCAGAGGTCGCACCGCCCTGTTTTGGGTGGCAGCCCGGGGAGATGAGCGCTCCGCGATCACTCTTCTCGCATGTGGGGCTGACCCCAATGCCATGGACCAGGACGGCAGAGTCCCCCTTCATCTTGCAGCAGAGTCAGGACGTACTGGTTGCATCCGCCTCCTTCTAGAAGCTGGAGCGCAAACCGATCCCATCTCGCTTCAAGGCACCCCGCCTCGTACACCGCCACTCGTGCTTATCGGGCAATTTGGGGACCTCTTGGCCCTGAAGACCATTCTAGACTTCAACCCGAACATTGAAGCTCGAAGTCCGGATGGGGAAACTGCGCTGCTGGCTGTGGCGCGTCGCCAGACGGCGGCGCATGCCCTGCTTCTATTGGAACACAACGCCAATCCCAATGCCATGATGAACGACGGAAAGACACCGCTAACGGCAGCCATCACATATAACAATGGGGGTGTCCTACGGGTCCTGCTTAATGGCTGGAACAATTATATCACTTGTCCCCGCCTCGCCGGTCCGAACCTACTAGACGTCGTGGCCGACTTTGCCGACACCGAGACGATCCATATTTTGGCCATGGCCGAGCATCTGCGATTTAATAGCGATAGACAGTATGTGCTTTCTGCAGGGGCATCAGAACGTATCCGAAACCGCCCAAATGCGTCGGAGAAGCTCATAGCTGCATTTGACGAACTCTTGTGCCTCATGTCCCAGAACGATATGGAAAAAGAAACCAGTGTCTTGATGGAGAGCGGGCTCTTGGGCTACAGGACAACTTCCCCAGAAAGCTGCTGTGATATAGATTTTGAGGATGCGCTTGACACCATTGACAATATTGACATAGACTAACTTGTGAGGGAGAGGGTAAGTAGTAAGGGGCCAAGGGGTTGGCGAGCTCTAAATTTCCGAAGATACGAGTGAAAACTAGTGCTGGCTGCACACCGACCCTGAGAATTGAAGCCAATGGGACCAATTCCTACTTAGTATCCGATTCACTTGAGATGTGCTTCACCCATAGTATCATTACATCCCTATAATAGCCACAAGAGCACCAAGAGTTTCACTTTTTCTAATTGGGCTTGATGGGCATGCCGAATATAAGGCTTTATATCTACCCAGCACCTGCTAGTATGCAAATGTTTCAATGCCCTGTTTATTAATCTTCTTGGGTAACAGGTAGAGGTACTGGTGACAATCACTAAGCGATACCTACGCGTTATGACCTATCCTGTGCGCAGGACAGCAGCCATAGCCAAATATGGCAACAGAAATTGCACAAAGGGTACTCCGTATATCAAATACAACTATAGACTATACAAGACATTACGACGCAAGGGAGATGATCAATATTGAATATTGATGATGACCTACCTACTGCCATGAAGCTCTCTATATATCTTTATTGAGATAAACGCAGAGGTTTGACGCAGTGCAAGCTAGCAAACCTGGAAGCCACCTTGGAAGGCCTTGCTGCCTCGCTGCCTACACGCATCGATAGGCCTTAGTTTATTGTCGATTTCCATTTAGCAATTTCCTCTAAGCATACATCTTGCTCAACGAAGGCCTCACTGTCTCCAAAGATGTAAAACTACAATGTCCGTTGCCATCCTCGATTCCACCAAAATTTACTGACCAGGGTGGCGATGCTAAAGTTTCACCCCACATCACCGGCCCTCTAACGGCATTGTTTAAATCTTCGTCTCTAGGCACATGGCATGCAGCACTAATCGCAGCACTACAAGCCCCCGCCAGCGGCATTTCAGACTTGAACCTTCTGAAAGATAATCCGAGCAACAAACAGACCATGAAACCACCCACCAGAATAGAAACAAAGATAGCCAGGGAGTTGTAGCCCATGGAACTGACCGAGTACTGATATATTGGTCGGTCGATCCAGTCATAGGCTATTATGCGAACATAAAAGACACTCTGCGAAATCAACCAATGGAGGACCATATAGATTACCATTAGAGGGACTCCGTACTGATAGGGCATAGATAACCAGTACGTTGACTGCTGCTCACTGTCTTTAACGGGCCATGTCACTCGAAGGGGCTTCGAACTTTCCCCGTAGGAGCTGTATTCGGCAGTCGCGAGCATGCTGGTCAGAACGCTGTTGTAGAAGAAATAGCTGACTGTGATGACTAGTTGTGGTATATTGGCTATAACCACAGAGCTTAAAGTAGACAAACTCCTTTTTAGATCGACAAATCGAGTGTACCCAATGGCGTCAGAGAACGCTTCGTTCCACAGGCTATGGAGCGTGCTGGTCGTCAACCAAGGAGTTCCTAGTGGGATGATAGCTTGCTCGAAGAGGAAGGCTCCCACGGCAATACATGCTATGCATCTAGATGCTCTGTGATTAATATAGAGTGAACAGGAATTTTGGAATGTAAGCTCTTACAAGACGAGGGTCGTTATCCAGCGTGAAAGACTCGAGGCTTGCATCCAGCGCTTGCGTCGCGATAACCGCTTGTATACTTTCGGCTCTCGCTCACCGACCCGTGCCAAGGGCTCTCCAGCAGGGTCTTCTGACTTCTGAGGTACCTTCCATGCCCCACGACGGACATCAGCATTAGATAACCAACAAATTCCCTCTGTGGTAGAATCTGGCTTCTCCATAAAGGATGCTACAGCATCGCCCACTGTGAGCAAAGGTGCCGATCGGTGACGACTTATTCTTGCTGCCAGAAACATTGCGATGACTTTTAGGAAAGTCGTAAGAGCAATAATAATGCAAATCGGAGGACTATAGAGCAGCTGACATCGCTCTTTTGATTTGATCACAAGACATCCATCGATGCTGTATCTCTTTGACTTATTCATGGATGTATCATCGCAAGTAATGACATAGCCACTGGCCACAATATCAGATGTGGTGTTAGCTTGGATATATTGATTCACTCTCTCAACAGTCGGCTGATCCGCATCGAGCTTCAACCAGTTGAACAGATCGTTGGCATCCGAGCAGGAAGTGATATCCAGGCTATCAAGACAGGCTTTCTGCGTGAAATTTTGGTTCGTGTAGTAATGGGCTCGACCAGAGTTAAGGATATTGATCATCAAAGTCTTGCCAGCGAACTCGAAGCCCTTTACTTGATGAGTAAGTCTCGTATCGCTCTCGGCTAGGCTGCCTGATACGGTTGTCGAGAGTATCGCGGTATTCCCACCTTGACTCGCAGACAATTCGTTCGTGAGCACGACGACCACCCTTGCTCCCCCATTGCTTCCAAAACTGTAAAGATTGAAACATTGCTGAACATCTAGGCGCTCATAATCTCCCCGCCCAATGTCAGAGGCAAAGTCGTGCCATTTCATTTCACCCTCTGAATACCCATCAGCCGAAATATTTGACCAATATGAGTCGCTGATATCATCGGTATCAACATTGGCACCCCGATATACAGCAGCATCACCACCAGGATACCTCGGAGTTATGCTAAAGCACTGATCAAGGGTAGGAGTCTTCAAGGTCGCGATGTTGGAAGAATTTAAATCCCCAGGTCCCACAACAAAATCTAGTTCGTTTATGGCTACAGATTCAAAAATTATCGCGTTGTACCTGCCAAATTAGTATGTCAATTTCACATCCATACATAGTCTCTTAGGCTTTGTCAGAGAACGTACAACAAATGAAAAGGTGTCGCCGTGACAAGTAACACCAGCCACAGGGCGAGCCGAGACCGTCCAATAAGGAAAAGATTCCTCACACTCGAGCACCCTATGTCAAGCCATCGACCTCGCGCGTGGTATTTGTCAATCTCCTCCCGACTCGGCGCGACTAGTGACTGCATACAGTAGTTGCTAGCACCCAGAATTCCAGTACTAAGTATGTTGATTATCAAGTGCAGGGCGATGTTCCATCGTTTGGACAGAACGCAGCTGCCCTGGTACACTATTTGAGCGCTGGAGAATGCACTGTTCTCTGCATTTCTGCTAGATAGTCCAGCAGCCACGGCAATGAAGATAATATTCAGCAGGAGCAGAACGGTAGACGCCTTAGCACAGAGAAGAACGCCATTAATCCAGCGTGGCTTTTGGAGGCTTGATGGCTCTCGTTCAATAACATCTGCTTCGGTATCCCACCTGGCCGTTTTCTGGCCTTCTATCCGATTTGGTAAGTTAGCACCTGCCTTCTCGGTTTGACCGTTAGGAAGGCCATGGTAGCGTTGACCAAAGAACACATATTTGACACGGAGCCATTGATGCCATACAGCCTCACTCCTCATACTTGGATTGGGTGCGTTCTCTGTAACGTAGGATGGGTCTTCACTCCGGGCTTGGGATGGAGACAGGTCCGCAGATAAGTACCAGCAATGGGGGTTGAGGTAATTTTCCGACTTCGTATTGCTTGGGCAAATGGGGCTGAGTTTCGTACCTGTTCCCGTGAATGTGGAAATTATGTTCAGTGCTTTTTTTAGCCCCATCAACCCCATTGGTGGTGATACCCGCACGATGCACTTAGTGCTCTTGGCATATGTACTTCGCCATTGGCCCCAAGCCTGTGTTTCAAGGGATTGAGAATCTTTCACGAATGACACTTGATACTAATAATGCTCATCAAAACGACTCAGGTAAATGTCGACAAAAAGCCCAAAGTTGAGAGGTACATCTCTTTCTGGATTAACTGGCCAAATAAGTAGCCAAAGAAGAGTTCTTCAGTTAGCAAGAGATGGGGAGCAGTGAGGAAAAGACTAAATGCAGGGTTGTGGATCAATGATAGAGATTCCAGCCAATATAGAATATACAAAATTGTTGGGTTGATCTAGGGATCGCTACACAGAGAATAGCTCTGTGGAGAAAGACTGGGTATTCCTTTAGCACGAATTCGACGGAGGAAGGAAGGAGGAAAGTACTTTACACGTGCTATTACTACTAGTAGCATGGGGTGCCTTATACGCCTGAAGCTATCAAACAGTTGTTGTGTTCTTTCCGTAACACGAACTCCTCGTCTAGATCATAGCTACATGATCTGTCTATTTTGAATATACGCACTCCATGGCTCCAAATCTACACTAATTTTGAATATGATCATGTTTGAAATCAGAAAATATTTGTCATTTGAATAGCCCGCATTCTCTCCACAATGATCTAAAGATCGATATCACTAGACGGCCGAGCAATGTTGAATCGCCAATGGTGCAGGTTAACTGGGTCCTTCTGATACAGGTTGACTTCGAAGAACTTGTTGTGCGTTTCGCATTTGAAGTTCTTGTATCTATGTCCAATTAGATATCTGTACATTTCAATACATATCAGATGTTGAACGTACGAATTGAGCTTCTGAAAATTCCCAGCGATCAAATCTTGCTCGGCAATCTCCACAAATTCAACCCGACCCCCAACTGATTCGGGAAGAGGAATGAAATATCTTCTGGCCTCAATAGCACCAAAATTGATTTGTCGAACAAACTGAATTGCGTAAGGTGGCGGATTATTCGGATCCTGAAAGAACGAAGCTGAAATAGCGGAGGGGGTTGATTCGGATCCTTTAGCCCAAGCAATAAACGGGCTAAACTTAGCCTCGTGTGTTAGATGGGCCGGTCGATAAGGAGATGGAGAAGAGCAACAAAAAATGGAAGACATTGTTGGATAGAGGTTTATTGACCTTTGTAATTTCCTGTGAATGATCATAAAGATATTTCTGCTCTAGGGGAGTGACTGTCTTTATATGCCTTTCAAGTTTGTTTAATTAACTCGAATATCAACTACCTTCGAGGTAAGCAGATTGATTCTAGAGGGAATTGTGACGAACCAGACATAGAATGACGACTATATGCATGCTCTAACCTGTCGCTTTATCAATAGATGTCGTATTCCCTAGGCTGACCATTCAATCATAGCTCTTCATTTTGAGGCCCCCTCTTATCGGCTCTGCTGAGACCCAATCCATATCTCCTTCAAGATTTCTATGCCCATCGTGGAATTGTAAATCGATACCCTACATAAGCAGGTTATGATATGGTCGTCACTCGCCAATCAGGATACTGTATTTTGAGGCCCCCCTCGCACGGTCCCTCCGTAGGGCGATTGATGGAAACCATCTCGGAGTACGGAGTAGAGGTATATACTCAAGACTAGTGGAACAATTCCAATGTGCCATTTGAAAAGTATAAAGCGTTGCTGATTCCCTATTCTTTTTTTTTCTTCTTTCTTTCTTAGGGGCAGCGGGCCTGTTATCCTCGCTCTTTATTTCACCCGCTACCACTGTCACTCCTTTTCCGCGCCTTCGAATCTGCTTTTTTTTATTCTGTCCTTCGTTCGTTCATTGAAAAGAATATTATTCTCTGTGTTGCTTTCAATTGAGAGACTGGATTTTTCATCTATCCTCTCTATATCATATAATCTGTGTTCGGTCTGTGTACTGGGGTTTTGAACGGGTGAAGCTACATATTCTACCTTTTCCCGCGGCGAATACACATACCAGAACCCTCACCAAAAGCCATCGACCGACAGTCCAATCTTCTTGAACAACAACAACAACAACAACAGCTTCTTTTGAATTCTGGACTTGTCGATCCAACGTGGCTACACGTGTCGGACATTACTGGTCCCCATGCATTTCCTGTTTCTCCGTCCCAACCTCAGTTTCCTGATACTACAACACATGATGAAGAGCAACATCAGCAGCAAGTCTTACAACAACAACCAGAAGAATATTCCCAACATGGACAAATAGAAGAATATGTTTCTGACGTGGTTTCTACCTTATCAAAATCCGAGCGATATACCTCATCTTCCGCGGCAACCAACCTCTCTTCGCTACAGTGTGAACACTGCCAAAGGGAATTTGAAAACCGTGGATTGTTAAAGTACGTTTCGTTTGCATGAAAATAGTCCGCTGTGCGTTCCAACACTGTTCTGATGATCTATAAGCAAGCACACAAAAACACATACGCGACCCTTCAAGTGTAACATGGACGCATGCACTAGGGGATTTGCAACTCCAAAAGATCTCACGCGACACAAACAATCAGTACATAAGGCTGGTGGGCACGACATGGTCTACTGTCTTTATCCTAATTGTGACTATTCTGCGAATGGATGGAAAGGGTTAATGCGACAAGACAATCTCCAGCGCCATATCAGAGCCAAGCACCGACTAGAGGCTGAATTTTAGTACTTGAGTCAGTTTTTATGTGTATATAATATTTAGATCAGATACTTGATATAGGCAATCCTAGGTCGAACATAGTCTTTGTGAAGTTAACCTGTAGTCGTCCTCGTCTCTTTTGATCTTACAGACGAGTGGATCTGTGTGATTTGCCTAGTATCACTCTGCGGAACCTTGTAATCCAACAGCTGTTCTTCTTATATTTATAGCAACACCCGAGAGAATACTAGTATGGAAAGAATAAGCGTAATGTAATACAGACGTATAGTTCATTCGTCTCACTATGTCAGTCTCTTCTTCCATTTTCTTCTATTTCTTCGCTTCCTTCTCTAATTTATCTGTTGCACCCATTCAGGACATGGCAAGTGTGTCTCTTCTTTCGTTACCAAATGAGTTGATCTGCAAAATCGCCTAGCACATGTGCATTGGTGACATCCTATATTAGTTTCCATACTGACCTAGCCTTTGTTAACCTTTTCTTTGGTGCTGTCAGTCCTGGCGAAAATACCAGGAGCTGTAATGAGTTCTGATGGCATGTATCCAAACTGGTGATTTGAATGAAACCCGGCTCCCACTCCCAATCAACGTAAATAACGCAAATATCGAATTTATTGAGCACTAATTTTATATCAAAGTGTCCTCACCTCTGGTTTACCGTATCTGGAGTTTCAAAGGCGAAGTCGGAAGTTTATTATTTGGCTTAACCTCATAAAACATCTTGCTAAATTGATATCGAGAAGAGTTTTAAATCAGAGCATATATAAAGATGGATGAACGAGGTCTGTCCCAGAAGAAAATAGATTACACACGTAAGATCTGAGTTCCTTCTAAGGTTTAAAGTCCCGGTGACCTTCACTTTCATCACTTCAATCTTCCATCTTCCATCAGTCTTTTCATTTCATCTCTCCTTGGTCCATGTCTTTGCCTTCGGATATTCCTCTCATTTGACGCGACTTTCAACATGGCAAATGTGTCTCTCCTCTCGTTGCCAAATGAGTTGATATACCAAATTGCCTCAGACATGTGCGTACGCGACATCATCTCTTTAATTCAATGTTACCCCACGCTTCGTCACCCTCTTCTTTGGCTCTGCGAGCACAAACGAAAGAAACAAGAATTGCAAGGGCCTCTAACGGCGTGTATCCAAACTGACAATGCGGATGGAGTCCGACTCCTGCTCTCGGTCAATGCGGACATCGAATACATCGGGGACAACACCAATGACCGACCAAAACGATCAACAGACCGTCGTAACTCGGGTTACTATTGGAATGGCTCGAACGTGTACTGGGCTCTCAAAAATAACAACCAGGAGATGGTGGAGGCCTGTCTTGCACATCTTGCTCAGATGAAGATGGAGATTCCAAGGCTCAGTGTGGACTCTGTTGAAAAGGCACTGCATTTTGCTGCTCGGAGTGGCTATTTTTCCATTTTGAAGATACTGGCTGATCTTAACTCTGATGCCATACAACCTGCTTTGTAGGACAGAGTTTTATCCTCCGCATTAGGAGAGAGAGACTATTGGTACAACGACGTCAGATATTGCCGTTGCAAAGAGCAAGAGATTGGTTCTAGGTTCAAGAAAAATCTACTAATAGACCATTATACTACCGTGAGGCTACTAGTGGATCTCGGTGCCCACTGCAATCTTACCGACGCTTTCCATTATTATGATTCGCACAAGCCGATATTACTTGCACTGTTCAAGTGTAGCTCAATCTTCAACAGCATTTTAAAGCTGCTTGTCGAGACCGGCGCAGATGTGAGCAGCGAAGATGTGCTTCATGGGTTCATCGCAACGTCCAACAGATGTACGTTCTCCAATGAAGAAACAGCAAAGCTGCTTGTCGAGCATGGCGCATCTGCCGGTGTGCGGGATTATATTGCTAGGGCTGTTATGAACAAAAACAACAAAAAAGCCTTGATTGAACTGCTCGTTGCTTGCGGACTTATCCCAGACAAAACCAATGGTTGGGGTCGAGTACCAGTGAATGTTTTCGGACCGAAAGAGACATTTGAGGACAGGGCTTTGTTGATAAAGCAGCTGTTGGAACTTGATGCCAATATAAGACACAGAACTTTCTTTGGGCCAGCACTGCTTCAATCGGGCAACTCGAATGGGTCAAAGACATGTGAATCTGAGTCCGAAACTGAGCAAACTGGTGATGAAACCTGCTTGACATTCATTCACAAATCTGTGAAGCTTCTTTTGGGCTACAGAACCGACGGGAAAATCGGAGACAGTGAACAACGAGGGCCCCTCCATCAAGCTGACAACCGGGGTCTCGTGAAGCTTATCCTCGCCCATGGAGCGGAAGTGAATGTAGTAGACTCCTATAGTCAAATGCCGCTGCATACCATAACATACGGTGCATCAAAAGCGACAGTTGAAACAATCAAATTGCTATTGAAGCATGGAGCAGATATTTCTGCAAAGAATGCAGACGACAACACACCTCTTCACCTGGCGGTACTGACATCATCATGGGAAGTAGTCAAGTTGCTTCTTGATCATGGAGCGGACCGAAACAGCCGCAATCTAGACGGGGAGATTCCAATGGATCTTTTGGCTCGTCGTCGGAGTCATCGAGAGCAGTTCTCGCTTAACAGAGAAAATAGGCGGGGCTTGATATGTTTGAAAACCTTCAAGTTCGTCGATTCCTATTGGAGGGGGTGGCAAACATACTGGGCTCCTCCACCTTTTTATGGGTATTAGGCCAAGTAGTACATAAATCAAGTTCTTTGGTTCTATCACTGGCACGTTTGTTTTCAATGTCAAATTTAAATCTATAATAGTTAATGATCGGCTAGCTCATACGGCCTCTGTCGTCAATGACGTAAATATATTTGGCCAAAAATGTGATGCCTATTGGGTATACTATATATAAGAATAACGGAATCTGTTCTTGGATCTTCGTTTTGGATATCTCTCTGGATGAATATGAAAACCACAAAAAGCACAAAATGTAGGAATCTTCTATCCTACCAGGGGAAACGCACCTTTCAAAGCTATGTTGAAGGGGCGCAAAGAAGAATAAGTATACCCAGCCCTTCGCTTTCGCCCCGTACTAACTATAATTTCACACTAATTAATGTACATGTAATTATCAAAAAAAAGGTACCTTTTGTACAAGCATCCTATACAAAAGGTACATTAGAGGGGAGGGGAAAAAGTCGAAGTCCGTTATAGCTCGACCATTATATTGGATATAGGGTATAAAATTTAATATCAAGAATTGAAACTCCTTAAAAATTGATATTAACTTATTAGTTGTTAAATAAAAACTCTGGTTCTTATAGTATAGTTGGAAATTGAAAACCCCTACTAAAAGATAATAGTGCAAAATCTTCCCCCTCAGCCACTATTCTAGACACTTATTATCTGTAAACTAGTCCCTTTCAACTGTATACAGCTAAAGCTAAGTATCGTGTGCTAGCTTTATTTCCTACCTAGACAATGTTGTGGTCGAGATACAAGGTTTTCTGTTTTTTCCTCCCAATGTACCTTTTGTATACGACACCCATACAAAAGGTACACTTTTTGATAATTATAATTAGTGTGGTGCGGCCCCAAACCCCGAAAGGGTTGCGGAGCGAAAGCGAAGGGCCGGGTATATTCAAATGCTTGCATAGTAGTGTAGTCCTCCAGCAGTTGTAAGAACGAGATTTCTGTTTCAGAAGAAACAGAGAACTGCGCACGATACGGATACCTTTGTGAAATTTTGTGACCTTCGCTTTGCTCACTTTCATCCTCTATCACTCCCTCAATTCCCTACACGTCTCTTTCACACTCTCTTCACTTCCTACAGCGGACCATCTGATCATATTTTTGACTCGCCTCTCACTTTCATCTCTCTCTCTGATCCTCCTCCTGCATTCTTCAGCCTCAGATTTTCCTTTCTTTCTTTTTTCCTCCTCTCACTTGACACCACTTACAACATGGAAAAGGTGTCTCTCCTTACATTGCCGAATGAATTGATATGTGAAATTGCCTCATACATGTGCATACGCGACATAATCTCTATGATTCAATGTTACCGCAACCTTTGCCAACCTCTGTTGTGGCACTGTCAGCACCAGCACCAGAGCCAGGAACTACGAGAAGCTCTAACAGCGTGTATCCAAGCTGGTGATTTAGATGCTACCCGCCTCCTACTCTCCATTAACGCAGATATCGAGTTGATCAAGGACGAGCCCCAAATCCAAAAAGAACAACCGCCAGATTATACATCAGGACATTACTGGGATGATTTTTGGTTGGGCTTGGCTGTTCGAGGTGGCCATGATGAGATAGTGGAAGCTCTTGCTGAACATCTTGGCCGAGTGAAGATAGAGATCCCAGCGCTCAAGGTCAACTGTGTTGGAGATGCACTAAATTCTGCTGCTGAAGGTGGTTATTTTGCCATGACAAGAGCGCTACTTGATATCGATAATGAAATCACCCGATCGTCTAATTATTACGACAAGGCTTTGTATTTCGCATTGCAAGGAAGTCATGGATAAACCCGCAGAGAGGACTGCTCTTGCTCGAAGCAAAAAGCCTGCTCTGCACGGGGTCAGAAATCAGCACCGGACTATTTTGCTACAGTAAAGCTTCTGCTTGACTCAGGTACCAATTCAAACTGGCCTGAGTCTCCATTTGGATCTTTTGTATCCTCTTGTGAACCACTAGCGCTTGCACTAGATACCTGCAGATTAATCTCCGATGGTACTGTGAAGCTGCTTGTCGAGCGCGGTGCAGATATGAGCGCCGAAGACGTGCTTCATACATTCACCGATACATCGAATCAATGCACGATCTCTCATGGAGGAGCTGCAGAGTTTCTTCTCGATCATGGAGCAAATCTCAGCTCCCGGGATAGTCTTGGTCGGTCCATTCTAACAAAAGCCCGCAAAAGAGACCTCATCCAAGTGTTCATTGCTCGTGGGCTCAATCCAGACGATGTGGATGAATCAGGTAAAACCCTGCTGGATGCGCTAGCGACTGAAGAAGCATCCGAAACTAGGATTGAAATGATGAAGGTACTATTGGATCTTGGAGCTAATGTGGATTTCTAGCCTCCCTTTGGACAAACTCCATTACAATCGGTCTTCTCATACAGAGCAAAGTCATATGATTATGATTCAGATGGATATGAGATCGAAGGATTGGATTGAAACGGGCACCCAGTGGCTAAACCCGAGCCTGAGCACCCCGACTACGAAACTCACTTTTCATTCGTTCGCAAAACAGCAAAGCTTCTCCTGAGCTATGGAGCCGATTTAAGCATCCGGGACGACGAAGAGCAGATACTCCTCTACAAAACTGACACCAAGTCTCTCGTGGAACTTATCCTTGACTATGGAGCGGGGGTCAATGTAGTGGACTCTTATGGGCAAACCCCACTACATACGATGGTCTACGGGGCATCAAGAGATAAGGTTGAGACAATCAAATTACTCTTGGATAATGGTGCAGATTTGGGTGCAGAGAACGCAGATGGCAACACATCTCTTCATCTGGCCTCACTCACATCATCATGGGACGTTGTCAAGCTACTTCTTCAACATGGAGCAGACCAAAGCAGCCGGAATTTGAATGGGGAGACACCAATGGATCTTTGAGCACATCGGCGACGCCATCGAGAGCAATTTCCATTTAACAGAGAAAAGCAGAATCGATTGATAACTTACAGAAGCCGAGTGTACTCGAAAATATGGTTCTGAAGAGGTCCCGGTCCCGACTAATCGATCGATACTTCCGAGGTTTTTATTTGGCTTTTTACAATATGTACTAGTATCTGGCTTGATTTCTTACTTCCGGGCTGTCTAAATTATTCTAATTTCAAATGTAACAATGCACCTTTCCCCGGTCAAATTCATTTCCCCGCATCCTCACGGCCCTTGAAACACCATGGAAAATTGCCTGATCTGACATTTGATCTGCAAAACATCCACCAATCCTAGTAAAGTACCGGGAATCTCTATAGCGAGGACCGAAAAAACAAATGCATTATAACAAGGCATATTCTGAGATGGGTACTAGCACAGTGCCTAACAATGCGTTTTTTCGCGCTCCTCCCCGTCCTCCTTGGACTCTTGTCTAGCCATTTTGTCTCTGCGACAGACAATGGCAAGACTACTGATGTAACATGGGATCAATACAGTCTTTCAGTCAAAGGAGAGAGGGTGTATGTGTTTTCCGGTGAATTCCATTACCAGCGACTGCCCGTGCCGGAACTATGGCTCGACGTATTTCAGAAGCTGCGTGCAAATGGATTCAATGCAATTTCTAGTGAGTAACTTGACAATCACTCTTATGCTGCACTTGTCCTAATCTCGATTAGTCTACTTCTTCTGGAGTTACCACTCTGCTTCCGAGGATACTTTCGACTTCGAGAACGGTGCCCATGACGTCCAGAGGGTCTTTGATTATGCCAAGCAGGCAGGTCTATATGTAATCGCGCGTGCTGGACCGTACTGCAATGCCGAGACTTCTGCTGGTGGTTTCGCACTGTGGGCGTCCAATGGTCAAATGGGCAGCGCGCGCACCAGCGCAAGCTCCTACTATGACCGATGGTACCCATGGATCCAAAAGATCGGAAAGATCATTGCTGCAAACCAAATCACAAATGGTGGTCCAGTCATTCTAAATCAACATGAGAATGAGTTGCAGGAGTTGACTCACAGTGCCGATAACACTGTTGTCAAGTACATGGAACAAATCAAAGCCGCTTTCGCTGAGGCTGGCATCGTTGTCCCAAGCTCGCATAACGAGAAGGGAATGCGTTCTATGAGCTGGTCAACAGACTACCAGGATGTGGGTGGTGCCGTCAACGTCTATGGTCTGGACTCCTATCCTGGTGGTCTGTCCTGTACCAACCCGAATACCGGATTCAATCTCGTTCGCACTTATTACCAGTGGTTCCAGAATTACTCGAGTTCTCAGCCAGAGTACCTGCCAGAGTTTGAGGGCGGTTGGTTCTCCGCCTGGGGAGGGACTTTCTATGATCAATGCTCTACGGAGCTCTCGCCTGAATTCCCCGATGTTTACTATAAGAATAACATTGGTCAAAGAGTCACATTGCAGAACCTCTATATGGTGATGGGAGCAACTTCTTGGGGACAGAGTGCTGCCCCGGTTGTCTACACTTCATATGATTACTCCGCGCCCATGCGAGAGACCCGTGAAATCCGTGACAAGCTCAAGCAGACCAAATTGATTGGTCTCTTTACTCGTGTGTCTTCCGACCTTGTACACACCCAAATGGAAGGGAATGGAACGGGGTACACTAGTGATGCTAGTATCTTTACCTGGGCCTTGCGAAACCCAGAAACCCATGCCGGTTTCTATGTTCTCGCGCACTCTACCAGCTCGTCCCGTGCTATCACTACTACTTCTCTTAATGTCAACACCTCGGCTGGTATGTACTCCAGGTTCTGAGAGGAAGAATTACACTAATTTGGAGTCTAAACAATAGGTGCCATCACAATCCCCGATATTGAGTTGGCTGGCCGCCAGAGCAAAATTATCGTCACGGACTACAAGATCGGCAAGGGCTCGAGCTTGCTCTATTCGTCCGCTGAGGTTTTGACCTATGCCACCCTCGATGTTGATGTCATTGTTTTCTATCTGAATATTGGACAGAAAGGAGAGTTTGTTTTCAAAGACGCACCAGCCGGTCTGACTTTCAAAACGTACGGCAACTCGAAAGTAAGCTCTGCTGCATCGGATAATGGCGCCAAATACACATACACTCAAGGAGATGGCACCACAGTGTTGAAATTCTCGAACGGCGTGCTGGTTTATCTTCTCGATAAGGAGACGGCGTGGAACTTTTTTGCAGTGCCGACTACTTCCAATCCGACTGTGTCTCCCAGTGAGCAGATCATTGCCCTTGGGCCATATCTCGTTCGCACAGCAACTGTCAACGGGAACACCGTCAATCTTGTTGGTGATAATGCAAACGGAACATCTCTTGAGTAAGTGCAGTTTTAACTCTCAACCCAGCTATTGGCTAATATTTGTTCTAGAGTCTACACAGGCAACTCAAAGGTTACCAAGGTCAAGTGGAATGGCAAGGAGATCAAAACCAAGAAGACAGCCTACGGCAGCTTGGTCGGCTTAGCCCCGGGAGCCGAAAATTCCAAGGTGTCACTGCCGACTCTGAAATCATGGAAAGCGCAAGATACACTTCCCGAGATCAACCCAGACTATGATGACTCTCGCTGGACCATCTGCAACAAAACAAAATCAGTCAACGCTGTAGCACCATTAACACTTCCTGTGCTTTACTCTGGCGACTATGGCTACCATGCTGGAACTAAAGTCTACCGCGGACGGTTCGACGGCGTGACCGCGACCGGTGCAAACCTCACTGTCCAAAACGGCGTAGCTGCTGGCTGGGCCGCCTGGCTAAATGGAGTCTACGTTGGCGGCGACGTTGGCGACCCCGCCCTAGCAGCGACATCAGCCGAGCTACTATTTGATAGCTCCACCCTCCGCAAGAAAGACAATGTTCTGACCGTTGTCATGGATTACACCGGCCACGACGAGGCAAATGTGTCACCGAATGGAGCCCAAAACCCGCGTGGTATTCTCGGCGCTACGCTTCTTGGCGGTGATTTCACTTCCTGGCGCATCCAAGGCAATGCAGGAGGCGAGACCAACATTGACCCCGTCCGGGGACCCATGAACGAAGGAGGTCTCTATGGAGAGCGTCTTGGCTGGCATCTACCAGGATACAAAGCGTCCAAGATAGCTACAAACGATAGCCCTCTAGACGGTGTACCTGGTGCTGCAGGCCGATTCTACACCACGACATTCAAGCTCGACCTGGACTCCGACCTAGATGTTCCGATTGGTCTAGAGCTCGGTGCATCTGATTCCCCCGCAGTAGTGCAGATCTTCATGAATGGGTACCAGTTTGGTCATTACCTGCCACACATCGGACCCCAAACTAGGTTTCCCTTCCCGCCCGGGGTGATCAATAACCGCGGGGAGAATACACTGGCGATTAGTATGTGGGCGCTGACGGAGCAAGGAGCGAAATTAAGTCAGGTGGATCTGGTTGCATATGGGGCTTATCGCACTGGATTCAACTTCAATCACGATTGGTCCTACCTGCAGCCACAGTGGAAGAACAACCGGGGGCAATATGTTTAGTTGATAAAGGTCTTGACTACTTATGATGTCTTATGACACATTGGAATTCAGATCCTCCCTTGTTTAGCTCCTTATGAATTTTTCCGGGCCTAGAACCAGGGTCTTCCCCCATGTAGTTCTTTGTTTAGCTCGGGTACCTGTTTCATCATCGCTTTATATGGAGCCCTGTTTTCCTTGTTTTTTTTTTGTTAGTTACATCAGAGCTTAGTACTTTATGTACTTTATGTACCAAGAAGTCCAAAAAACACCCTAACGCACACCCCCCAGTCAAGTTTTCAATGTTCTTTAGAAATGTATACAAAAGGACCTTAGAACAGATACAAGAAACACCTGTCTCTACTATATATAGTCAACGCTTTCACCAAGAGTCAATAAACATAACCAATGACTATTGAATAAATTATAACTAAAAAACCAAATAAAACGTTCATTGTCCAGGCGACTATCGGCCACAAAAACACATGTCTGCCCAACGTCCGTGTCCACCGCCATTTGTACATCTCCACACGTTTAAACACGTTGCTCCTTCTCATTTCTATAAACATCTTCTGTTTTGATTTATACTCCCTATAATATCTAATCATGTCGCGCCATAACAGCGTTGATCTAGACTCGCCCGATCGGCCTTTCGACAACATCATCAATTTCCGCGATGTCGGGCGGGCCATTAACCAATTTTGTCGCAAAGAGTGAGTTGAGACGCGTCTTTGCCCTGGATCTAAAGATATTCAAGTATCTTCTAATTACAAAACTAACAATTCGTGTAGAATCTTGAAAGAAGGCGTGTTTTTCCGCAGTGCGAGGGTAATTCTAACCCCGCTCAATTATGACCCTGATGCGTCGATGCGTTGTCAGAGTAAAGGACTACCGGGAAAACAGAAACTAATTTGAAATTTCTAGCTCGACGATGCATCAGAACGAGATAAACGCCGATTAACAGAGGAACTACACATTCACACCGTCATCGATCTCCGTTCCCAGTATGTCAAATCACCAGAAAATCAGAAACCGAAAAAGCCAACCCCAGAAACTAATACCAACACAGGACAGAACACCAAATGGGCACACGGAAACGTCGAGCACAAAACGCCAAATCAGAGTCAGAAAAACCACCCAAAGAACCAATCCCAACAAACCCAAACGAACACCTCCTCGAAATCCCCGGCTCGGAACGAGCTCTAATAAGCCTAACAGGCAAAGGCTTCGAACGCGCCTTATTATCAAAACTAGACTGGTTTACATATCTGTAAAGTTCCCTTCTCCGTGCATGCGCAAATCATCGACATGCAAACAAATAACTAATACATAAACCAGGAAAATTATCGGCCTCGTGACAACAGGCTACCGCAGCGACGCAGTGCGTCTCGTATGCGGGACCGTAATGCAACCGCGCGGGCTAACAGGTTTAGCTCAAGACACGCTCGAATCCAGCATGGGCGAAATGCGCTCCGTGTTCGAGATCCTCGCATGCGAGGAGTCATATCCAACATTAGTGCATTGCACGCAGGGAAAAGACCGCACAGGTCTGGTTGTGTTACTTATGCTACTTCTTGTCGGGGGTGTGCCGGTGGACGCTATTGTCGATGATTATAGTCGGTCTGAGCTGGAGCTTGTGTCTGAGCTTGAGGAAAGAATGGAAGAGATCAGGGCTATTGGGCTTGGGGAAGATTATACCCGTTGTCCACCTGGTTTTGTTGCTGATACGACAGAGTACCTGGAGACTAGGTATGGGGGTGTGAGGGGCTATTTGGAACGAGTTGGGGTAGGGTTTGAGATGCAGGAGAGGATTAGGCAGAAGTTTATGGTTTAGGGGGCTTTTTTCTTTTTCTTTTGGGATAGGGGTTTGACGGATTGTATTTGATATGGGATTTGTAGATACGATAATGAGCTTGGCATACTTGGGATGGGTCTAGCGTTTCTGATTATATGCATGAGATAATAAATGGTGGAGGATTGCATGTTTTTTTATTTCATGTCTGTTGAATAGATTGAGAAAAAAGAAGTCTATGAAAGATTCAAGGATATTAACGTTATTGAATTGCTATATAAGAGGGACTAAATATCCAAGGCCAACGTATCGGCTCTAACAATGTCTGCCCAGCCCGAAAACACCATATATATGAGTATCTATGACAAGGTATAAAAAAAAACATTAACAGAAGCAATGTATAGACATCGTACACGTCGTATAAGTAAATACAGGAATCTGAAATCAGGAGAGAGAATTAGTTCAGACCCGCTGGCCACGGTAGTATCCGGTGCTCGGGCCCACCGAGTCATGGGTCAGCGGCTCTTCGATGGAAACACCTTCTTCGTGTGTTCCACTGAATCCACCCCGGCTCATCAGGTATTTCTCACCCTGAGGCACGTGGTTTCGGGTGCGCACGGAAGGCAATAAATCGGCGACGAAGGAGACAACGTAGCCAGTGAAGACGAAAGCAATACACCACTCGAGAACCGCGCCAGGGTTTTGCTTAGACGCATTCTTGCTTCCAATGCACACACCGAAGCCGATAGCGAGTGCGAGCTCAATGATGACGAAAGCAAGCTTGATAAAGAAGCTGACGAGCAAGATACGATGATCGCGACGGTAGAAGATCCCGATACGGAGGTACTCGATGCAAACCAAGATTGCACTAACCACGTATCCAGCACTAGAGAGTAATTGATTGGTTAGTTGGTTGTTGACTGCATGGTTAAAAGGAGGCGGTGACTCACATGAAAAGACCAAGGAACCCGTCGTGCAATTTCGGGTGGCGGAGGGTATCAAAGATAGAGAGCAGGATCAGACCGGCTGCACCAGCAATCGCAAAGAAGATTGAAAGAATAGCGCATGTCTTGTCCAATCTACCCTTGTTCGAAGCTAACTGGTTGGAGTGTCGAAGCCACCGCTCGGAGAGGAATGCTAAATCAAGGAAAACGACAGTAACCACGCTGCCTGCAATGAACAGTGGCTTCAAGCCTTGCGCTCCGACATCTGAAATGTACCTATAACAGTCCTGTTAGCGCATGGATGGGCTGATAGTGGAAAGAAAAACATACGCAATGGTCTGTCCGTCACTCATACTAGCATAGTGCGGTTTCCCGTCTTTGACCCAGATGACCAACATGGCAATCAACATTGCTAATACCGTGTTAGCTGCAGCCCAAAACAAGATATCTAGTCCAGTCCAAGGATGCCTTACCAACCCACATGCAGGCTGACACCAACGGAAACATCCAAAATGATATAATCCACATGTTTGTGACTTTTGATTTGTGTTTCGAGAACGATTGTGATGCAATAGAGCTATGTGAGAGCTCTGTATGACCGCTAAAAATCCAGATCAACGAGAGTGGAAGATTTAAACCAATGCGAAACGAGAGTCTATAGAAACCTGTCAGTCGCAGCTTCTCCACGCGATGTTTATTCCAGAAAGGTGGAATGTGTGGATTCCCGGAATTTCCCCAATGTAACTCACCTATATCCCTGTATTTATGTACAATATTCCACCAGAATATAGCCTTCCAGGCTCAAATGGCAAGTTTAAAGGAGGCGACAGTGGCGCTTAGATGACAAAGAGATATCGAATTGGAACCGGGACAACAATGATGCGCAGGGGGATCTATTTAGGTGTTTGTGGTACTAGATACCTGGAAAGGAGAAACAGAAAGGAAATAAACATCAGAGGAAACAGTCAATATTATTCTTTCAACGCCCCTAACTGGAGATTACGGATATAAAGACGTCATAACCAGGGCTATGCCAAGGCAGAAAAATTGTGCGCCCCCACAGCCTGGTTGAAACGATCGGCCTCAATATTTACTACAATAGTCGATTCTGCTTACCATGTAGTTGTATTACCCTAAATCGTAGCCATTGTACTATTAACATAAGCGATATCCATGGAGTGCCTGTAGGGATCTACGGATGAACCGGGTGGCTGAATACTTGGCATACTAAAAAACCAAGGTCAAGGGGGCTCAGACGCTTTCAGCCACGCTGTATGTACACAAAGTAGTGTAAAGAGGTCCACTTATGGACAAAATTAAACTTCAAGATGAATTCCATGTTCTTACGATTTATCCACATAGAAGCCAAAAGCGGAAATAATGTGTTTGTATCACCGATCTACCTAAAACGCCGCGGAAAGACCGCATGGAATCGGAGAAAAAAAGAAATTTAAGAGAGCACAAAAAACCCCCCCCAAACCGAAATTTTTAGAGGGAGCTCAGGGACAGCCCTGAGAGACACTTCAGCTGCATCTGCTGGTCCGTTTACGGGTGGTTCCAGCAACCGGACGCTTCTGCGTAACTGCAACTGGGACCATGCGCTCCACCTTGCCCACTTTGACGACCTGCACTTCATCTTCGCTGCTCTCCGGTTCATCTTCACTAGATTTCTCCAACCCTAACTTGACTGAAGCAGCTAGGTCTCCCCGGACCTGCGGTGTGCCTTGCGGGCGTTTACCCGGAGATTCATAAATTGGGTATGGAGGTCCTGAGGGGTAACTCATTCGACTCTGCTGCCCAGCCCGGAGATCGGTGGGAACCTGCGGTTGGTATGGGGGTTCCCCGTGTGGGCTCATCTGCATTGGATTGTAGTAGGGTGGGACCCATTGAGGGTCGTCTGGCAGTGGCCGTTGAAACGTAGGCGGTTGTTGCATCGACTGTGGTCGGACATTGGGGGCAAAGCGCTCAGGAGTGTATGTTGGATAAGTAGGTCGAAGTGGTGAACTAGACTGCTGGGGACGAAGAGATTGTGTCGTTGGAGTCCGGGGACGAGCAGAAGAAGAGCTAGACGGCCGGCTCCCAGCCGTCCCACGAGCCCAGTTGCCAAGTCCATCAGGTGCGAAGGCCGAATATGCGCCAGGGAGGTGCTCTGGCGTACCAACTACTGCGCTCCGTCGGGACGATGGGCGCGACGTCACTTTGACAGAACCGGTGGATGGGCGCCGGCTTCCGCTTGAGCTGTCTGTTTGTTGGCGTTTACGCTCCAAGGCATCCAGTTCCTGTTTCGACAACCGGACATTTTTCCTCCCCAGAGCTTGAGCGCGGCGAATCCGCTCGAGCGCTGTGTCCACTAATTGATCTTCCTTGTCCCGCATAGCCAATTGGATCGCATATGCCACCGTGCTATCCTCATAGTCGTATAGATCGAAATCTCCCCCATCTACTAATTCAGGTTCATCCATCAGATCCTCATAATCCGCAGGTCGTCTCCGTGGCCCTCGCCCTCCATACTCCATCTGCCTGTGTCGACCGCTCCGTACAAGCTCCCGCCCATATGCATCTTCCTCGCTATCCACCTCCTCCAGTCGTGTCTCCTCCCACACCCCACGTCCCCTGTTATTTCTCCCCGTTCGTGCCCCTGGTGGTCTTCCCCATGGGGGCATGTCAAAAGGAGCTCGCGGCCGACCACCTAGACCGCCTCCTCGGAAAAAGCATTCTCGATCGGTTTATCCAGAAAAGCGGCGTGGCCGAAAACGGTCACGCCGGTTGCGCCAATCAACCACAGGGCGGTTGTGAAGGGAGAGGAGAAGATGCCGACGGGCACACCGATGATGAGTAGTCCGGTGTAGAGCTGCGAAGTGGTGAAGCGAGCGAAGCCCAGATCCAGATCCCGACCTTGTAGCATGTTGATTCCCCAGAGACCACAGCTCACAAAGATCATGTCGAACAATAGCCACATGTTTGTCAGTAAGCTGTAAATGCTGAGCATCACGAACACAACAGCATAATTGCTGGAGAAATAAGCCAGGTTGTAATTGACTCGGCTCTGAGCTTCGGCGAAGTTGGCGGGCTTGGATACACGCTTGATGTCGAGGAACTCAGAAATCGGGCGTAGATTGGCGAAGCGTGAGCTCAAAGAGGTGCTGCGAAAGCTGTTGAAACGATCGCCAAAACGCGAAGTGAGCGCGTCAATTGGAATAGAGACCATTTTGAATGAAGATGGTAGGAAAGGGGTGGAAAAATCAAAGGTTGAAAATGGGACAGGTAATATAGGTGATAGAGTGGAGAGGAAAGAGAGGGCCGGAGAGAGACACGTCGGAGAGGCAGTCACTTTCTTTTTTTTTTGGTCTTTTCCCCTTTCGATTTTAGTCAAGAAGCACGGTCGTTTCACCAAGAGTTTCTCAAGTAATAAGACGAAATAGACAGCAGAGTTAGATAGAAATAAAATGACAATGTCAATTGTCTCTCTAATGATAGTAACGGGTTCCTGAGGTCAACCAGTTCCTGGCTCCCTGGGCAATTTGCCTAGGAACTCCTGCAAAGAAAACAGAAGAAAAGTAAAAAGAACTACACATAGAATCTAGATCTCTCTCTATATATATCATCTTCAGATGCAATTATTCATGCAGAGCCCAACTGTATTTCTCCTCAAAGTAAAAAACAAAAAAACACCAATTCAATTGGGGCCACGTTTGATCTTCGTGGTGGATAAACGCCCGACCGCTTTTTTTTTTCCCTACATGTCCTCCACTAACACACAGCCTATTCGTTCAGTATACTTCACTCGTTTCTGGCTTCTGCGGCATTGACCGCTCCATCATCATGAAGCTGTTTGCTTTTCTGTCGCTGTTCGTCTTCTGCGGCCTCGTCTCTGCCTGGTCCAAAGAAGGTGGGTATCGTTTCCCCGGGCCAGATCCCCATACTGACATTGAACAGACCATGAGATCTTTGAGCTACAAAACGACGTGGCCACAAATGAGGGTGCTAATGTGACCTTCTACGGTACGTGTCTTCTCCCTAGCATTGCCATTGTCATTGCAATTGTCATTACTTTCTTTTTATTTTTATTTTCAGGGATACGTATCTAACTTCTATACCCGACCCACTGCAGACCTCCTCGAGATCCGCCCCAATGCCAATCAGGAACAAATCACCAAGGCCTACCGCAAGAAGTCGAGAACCATTCACCCGGACAAGGTCAAGCGCGCCTTCATCGCCAACTATGCCAAGGACAAGAGCAAGGCCACTTCCCACCAGGGGGTCAATGTCAACAAGGGTCCTTCCAAGCGCGAGATTGACGCCGCAGTCAAGAACGCCGATGCCCGCTCTGCCCGTCTGAACCTCGTCGCCAACGTCCTGCGTGGCCCCAACCGAGAGCGTTACGACCACTTCCTCAAGAATGGCTTCCCCCTGTGGAAGGGTACCGGATATTACTACTCGCGCTTCCGTCCTGGTCTGGGCTCCGTGCTGGTGGGTCTGTTCCTAGTTTTCGGTGGTGGTGCTCACTACGCTGCGCTGGTCCTTGGCTGGAAGCGCCAGCGCGAGTTTGTGGATCGCTATATTCGCCAGGCCCGTAGAGCTGCCTGGGGTGATGAAATGGCTGTTCGTGGTGTCCCTGGACTCGACTCGGTCGCAACCGCGCCTCCTCCTGCCCCTGAATCCGGTGATACTGGTGCCGTGGCTGTCAACCGTCGTCAGAAGCGCATGATGGATAAGGAGAACAAGAAGGATAAAAAGGGAGGAGGTGCCCGTGTGAGCGCTCGTGCCTCCTCTGGTACTTCCACCCCCACTGAGCAGCCTGTCAGCACTGGCGAGCGAAAGCGCGTCGTTGCTGAGAATGGAAAGACCCTGATCGTCGATTCTATTGGCAATGTCTTTTTGGAAGAGCAGAACGAGGCTGGCGAGCGCCAGGAGTTCCTGCTCGACATTGATCAGATCGAACGCCCTACTATCCGTCAGACAATGGTGTGCCAGCTTCCCATTTGGTGCTTCAACAAGACTGTTGGTCGGGTCTTGGGAACTGGAACTACCGAGGAGGAAGTAGATTCCGATGAGGCCGAGGAGCCCCTAGCTGAAGAAGCCGAGACCACTGCCACCTCAAACTCCCGCTCTCGAAAGCGTAACAAGCGGTCCCAGCGATCATAGAGCTGGGCAGCTGTGTCGCTGCACCTCGGGCGTTAGTTGTTGTTTTCTCTGCCTGTGGGATCATCACAAAAGTTCCCCAAGGTTGCTTTACTATACAATTCCTGCTCGAATTGTTGGCAATACCCAAGTAGAACCAAAATGTACACATAAGTTTTTTTTCTCAAATTCAAAATCTTAGGGCAAAAATTAGCTGTGCACGGTCACAGGGTCATTGGTGATCCTATTTGTGTACGATATGTACTCCATACTTGCAGATCCATCTCATGTGTGGCACTCCATACTATGGACTATACCTGCGAAGACCGGTTTGCCACAGTAAGATCTGTACATCATACTTGTTTGGTGGGTTTATAGGCGGGTCCGCCGTACAATACAAGGGATAGTGCAGTGCACACAACTAGTGCGGTGTACAGCTGTCCGACGCCGTCCTATCCACCGGCTTGGGCACCAACACTTGTCTAGTTTAGTACAAATAGGAGACTTCAACATATCTCTGGACTTGGTTCAAATTTTCAGATGTTTCATTGTCGATAAAAAAAACAACAGCTTTTCCAAACAAATCAACTCTATCGGATTCAGACAGGCCTCCCAGCTCATGGCAGCATCAAAAAGTGACATAGTCCAACAAGAAAACAGAGTTAGGAGCAAACAAGCAGAAAAAGAAGCAAAGGACAGTAGGTGTATCATCATCGTGATCGTCATGTGTTGAATTTCAGCAAAGCATTGCAAGTCGTGGAAAAGGACGGGACCCGGAAAGGGACCTCAGGCGCTCGAACAGAGCAGCCAGTTCAGGGATATCGCCTACGCAAACATTTTGGCGATGTTCACGAGACTGCCAATGTTCTCAGACATACCCCTACCGCCACCATTACCTCCACCAGAAGACTTTGCCGCACCACCAAGCGCACTCGTGACAACATGCGGCAAGCGAATCCCAATCATGGCAAGCAGCTTTGGCAAAACACCGCTGGTCAGGAGCGGCACGATAACCATCATCAAGACCTTCATGGGGTTGCGACGAGCCCAGCGATAAATATCGCGGAAGAGACGCTTGATGTCGCGGATCATGCGCTGGACGAATCCCTCACGGGGGCGGGCCCGTCGCGACGAAGATGAGAACGACGACAACACAGATGGGCTTGATCGGCCTCCTGCTCGGCTTCCACCAAACCCACTGAAGAAAGATGGCGCTGATCGCGACTGGTGCGTGGAGTGGCCGGATTTGCTGCGTCTGCTGTGCGTGCTGTGGCTGCTAGGCGTGGGTGATGACCGTCGCCTCACGTATCCATTCGACGACACTGCGCTAGATCTACCGTCGAACCAACCCATTGTATTGGTTTGGTGATGTGGAAGCGGAAGTTGAAGCTTACGGGTGCAACTTTGCGCACTTGGGGGCCAGAGGTTTCTGGTCTGAGGGAATGTGGGTGTTATGAGTGGGATTGCGGTAGGTTGGTACACAAAGAAGGTGGGTTTGAGATGTTGCTTCGTGACAATGCCCCTGATGATCTCTTTGAAACTTTTTTTGACCCTCTGCGTGGCAATTGAAAAAGTGAAAGAGACAGATGCAAGTCAGCCACTAGCTGCTGCGGAAATGCGCAATTTGAAGTCTAGACCAATGTGTGCACCCGCTTTGCGGATTTTCTATGCAGGAAATTTCTTTGACAGCTGGCACAATCGAGATTCTAAGGGGGGTTCGTAAACAGCGCCGCATGCTAATTTCAGACGAATCAATGGGGCCTTCAGATTGGACTGATCGGTCACCCCTAGTGGAATAAAGGTGGCTGGGGTTTAACCGGCTAAACTTAGTCTTAAACGACATTCTGCGGTAGACAAAGTACCCAGAGAGTAAAGAAATCCACTCTCGGTGGTCGAAATAAGAATTATCCTTCAAAATTATTTTCGAATATTACTGTTGTCTCTTGGAGTATAAGGATGTACATAGTTGTTTAAAACCTGACAGTTGGACCATGGAACTTGATGGGGATCAATGCCTAAGGCGATAACGACGTCACTTCATGTGATAGCTTTCCATGGAAGACTCTCTCCAGATTCTTCTTCGAGTCTATCATTAGTCTAGCATACTACGGCTTTTTCTTGCTGAACCCCAGAAACAGGTGTGATCATGTCGAGTACGTTAACTATTCCCACTCTCTTATCGAAATATATACTAACTTTTGACTAGAGCCCGATTACTGTAAGACCTCTCCCGAAGGCCCAACTGACTGTTCTAACTAACACATACCAGACAAGACTCTAGGCATCGCTCAAGATGCTACTCAACAACAGATCCGCAATGCATATAAGAGGTGAGTGCACCACAACCAGCCTTGGGATAAAACTCTAACCAGGTCCAGGGAATCACTGAAATCCCACCCCGACCGAGTCCCCGTCGACTCTCCGGAGCGACCCTCACGCACACAGAAGTTCCAGGAAATTAACGACGCCTACTACACTCTCTCAGACCCTGCGCGCCGCCGGGAGTATGATGCTACTCGCGCATACCAAGCAGCTGACGAGGAAGCCGAAGCGGAAGTCCCACCAACCGGCGCCGGCGGTTTCCCCTGGTCCAGCTTTGGATTCGGTGGTAACCGCGATGAACGTGACAGTGACCAGTTTGGCTCCGTCTTTGAAGAGATGCTGCGCGAAGAGGGTCTGGCTGAGGAGAATGAGGGACAAGGCGGGAGGCGGACTCGCCCAACCGGGCGATTTTGGGCGCTGGTTGGCGGCATCAGTGGTGGTGCTATGGGCTTCATTGTTGGCAATTTGCCTGGTGCGCTGGCTGGCGCTGTTGCGGGTAATCGTATCGGCGCGGTCCGAGATGCTAAGGGCAAAAGTGTCTATGAGGTTTTCTTGGACCTTCCAACGCAGGATCGGACGAGGCTCCTGAGTGAACTTGCCGCTAAGGTTTTCCAGTCTACTATGGGACGCTAAATTTGTCTAATTCTGGGTTTCTGAGCGGTTGGGCGTTGAGGATTTAGGGATTTGGAAGCTGAGTCTTACAGGCCTTGGTGGGAATTGGGTTGGGTTGGATATTCAGACTATACATGTCTACGTGGCTATGGACCAATTATTACAGCATGACATACATGTCCCAAGTATATAAACAAGTACCTAAGTTAAGATAATTCTCAAGCATGTTTCCAAGACTCTGATGATTCCAGACCCCTCCATCTCTTATCGATAACAGTCAGGCACAAGAGTCTAGGTAGGTAGGTCTGGATGTCAATGCTGCACAACATAGCATGGTCCAGGACGGCAACGTATACAAGATCAATTTAGTTCAATGATCAGCGTGAGTCATTCTATATAATAATCAGTCCCCCTAAACAAGTGAAACAGACCAGGTGGCCTTCTATCTGCATCTGGACCTCACGCTAAGCTCCGCCTTCGCTCACCGCTTGCGGCCAAAATAGGCCCCTCTCTCTATATTTACCCCCAAGTTGCCCGCAATTTTCATCTTTGAGAAATTCCTTATTGAGATTCAATTGAACAAATTCTTCAAAATGACTGAAGCTACCAGTGTTTACCCCACGTTGCAGGACCGTCCCATCAAGAACACCGTTGTTCTGTTTGATGTTGATGAGACTCTCACCCCCGCGAGACGGGTACGTCGCAATGAGACTCACTGCTGTTCAGTTATCCTAATAGATTTCTATTACAGCATGCCTCGCCAGAGATGCTCGAGTTGCTCTCTCGATTGCGCCACAAGGTCGCTATTGGATTCGTTCGTCTCCTCCCAATCAATACACCCACCCTATTCCTAACATGATTCAGGTTGGCGGCTCAAACCTTGTGAAGCAGCAAGAGCAACTCGGATCACCCACCATTGATGTTACCACCATGTTCGATTTTTGCTTCTCTGAAAATGGTCTCACCGCATTCCGCCTCGGCAAGCCGCTTGCCAGCAACAACTTCATTCAGTGGCTCGGGGAAGACAAGTACCAATCGCTGGTGGATTTCGTTCTCATGTTCATTGCCAAAACCAAGTTGCCCCGCAAGCGCGGTACTTTCATTGAGTTCCGGAATGGAATGGTTAACATTAGCCCCGTTGGACGTAATGCTAGCATCGAAGAGCGTGATGAGTTCCAAGCGTACGTGCTGATCTTGCATTCACTATATCAAGGTGATCATGGATACGACAATGGGCCAGCTGACTGACCTGCGCTATAGATTCGATAAGATCCACAACATCAGAAAGACCTTGGTGGAGGCCTTGAAAAAGGAGTTCCCTGATTACGGTCTCACGTAGGTCTTTGTCCAGCGGGTTTTGCCTTTGGTATGGTGCTAATTGATCCGCCAACATAGCTACTCTATCGGCGGCCAGATCTCTTTCGACGTCTTCCCCACCGGTTGGGATAAGACCTACTGCCTGCAGCACATCGAAGCTGAAAAGGGCATCTCGGGTATCGATTACAAAACCATCCACTTCTTCGGCGACAAGACTTTCGTCGGAGGAAATGATTATGAGATCTACGAAGACCCCCGCACTATTGGACACTCCGTTGATGGTCCTCTAGACACCATCAGCCAGCTGAAGAAAGCCTTTGACCTATAGGTACGAGGTTAGATTGAGTGTCAAGTAGCCGAAAGGGCATGGATTTGTGATAGCGTTTACATGCGAAGTCTGATTTGGATATTTTCTGAAGACAGCCTTAGGTAATGATCGATCAAAATAGTCCTCTAATTGCATGAAAGGAGAATATAACTCTTAAGAAAAATGTTTTTCCAGGCAATGCGGGTATGCGGGCACCGGGACCGGGAAACTCCAGGCTGGAAGCGTCGATCTTTCCCGATATCCTTTAGTCATCCTGATCATTTCAGGCCTCGGAATCTTCCAAGCTTTCCTTTTTTTTTGGCGTCACTCTTGATCAGTTTCAAGCGCAGTTATTGAATAAATTATACGCTTGCCCACTGTCATTGACATGGCGCCACAAAAAAATATCGCGGATGTCCCGCGCAATATCCTTCCCCGCCTGACTTGGAACAGCTCCTCTTCGCGTCCCTCCGTTACCATCACCCACCATCCTGCGTTTACCACAAGTCCAAGACAACCACTTCCTCAAGGCTGGAGTCCTTTAAAACGACGATTTCATTCTCCAAGCCCACCTTCTCAGTCTTCTCGACTCATCTCAACATCCGCCCGGGATGTTATCTCTGCATACCTTGTTTCCCGAGGAACCTCTATAACCACCCCGGCAACGTCTACAATCCAACGCGGCAATCCGATCCGGCACAATGGTGTATACGTGGCTACCTATCATCCCGCTCGTCGCGCCTTTCATGCGACACCAGTTCGGGCCCGCGATCATCACTTTGACACCCTGAAATTCGTGAAGCGCCTGCAGGCGGAGGGCTTCAGCGAGGAACAGTCCGTAGCAATGATGCGGGTATTGAACGATATTATCCAAGAATCAATCCAGAATCTTACCAAGACAATGGTCCTCCGAGAAGGTATGAGAAGGCGCATCGCGGCTTTATAATGCTTGTCCGGGTATCTAACGGGAAACGCTTTAATAGATTCAGAGAGATCAACCTACACCCAAAAAGTGGATTTTGCTAAATTGCGCTCCGAACTACTCAACGCAGACTCCACAGAGGCACAGTTGACCCGATCATCACACGAGAAGATCGCAGCGGACCTCGCTAAACTTAACTCACGACTCCGGGATGAGATCGGACGTACACAAGCATCGGTCCGGTTGGATCTGAACCTTGAGAAGGGTCGGATTCGTGAGGAGGCAAATAGTCAAGAAATGCGTATCAAGGAGACTGAAACGCGAATTGAACAAGAGGTTGCTGGATTAAGGGAACGAGTGGAGGCTGTCAAGTTCTCTACGTTGCAGTGGCTTATGTATGATCCCCGAAGTATTTTGAGACCCGAGATTATGCTGACTTTCTTTTCTTTACAGGGGTGTCTGTACCGGTACTGCGGCCCTTATTCTTGGTGCCTGGCGCTTGTTTATGTGAATTTGGGACAAAAGTCTGCATTGGATATGGAGTGATTTTGTTTTTGGCTTGCTTTACATGAGACATGTATTGTCTCACAACTGCTCTTTTTTGTATACTACATGTACTCTCTACTCGTCTAGCCATGCTATATTTCTAAGTAGGTCAAGACAACCAAGCATTTCTTGGTAAATCTCAATGAAAATTGTTGAATAATTCAAATGTCGGGTACAATTGAGGTGTCGGGGGTTACATAAGGCTTGTGTCAGAAGTCCGATGCACCTTCCCCTCTTTATGCACCTTATCTCCAGGGGCAAGTCCAGCAGAGTACACATGTCATGCATGAATATTATTCCGTTGCATCGCAAGAGCCACTTTCAAGGTTACATAGCCTTTAGCCACCCGTCTTGGATAAAACCCAATATCCTGACTGGTTCATCTGGGTAGAGCTAACATGTTAGTCCCTCTAAGGCACTTGTATCAACTGATGATGGATCCCCGACCTCCAATGGAGTATTATTTTACCCGACTAGCTGCATGGCTGTTAACCATTCTTCTTCTCTGGCTTGTGGTTACGTTTCGCAATGTTTATAAATCGCATCACAGGTCCTGGAATCGATATTCGGTCCTGGTACTTAGTCAAGAACCACTGAAGCCCCAAGAGTCTTGCAAAACTGAGAGCACTGTTTGGTCTGTTGACCATTGCGATTTCAAATCAAAGGCGAACGAGACCCGCAGCAAGCCGAGAAGAGTTAATTTAACTTCCGGGCTACTATCTATCATGGTTTTACTCGCAATATGTGGGTTGTTGCTTTTGGGGCACCTTCCATCGGCTTTCTCGCTTCAAAGCGGACCGCAGTCTGTTACTGGCCTTCCATCCCAGGCATCTAGCCCAACTGGGTTGCAGGATTTCTTCCAGCTCTATCAGCCAATATCGCTGGCTTCCAGTGGGAAAGGCCACTGCAATATCGAGATGCTACTCATGGATCACGTCTTTGCAGTCAGTTATGGGGCGCCATTTGTTGGTAAGAAATCTCGATAGTCCACTTACTTGTACGTGTGGTCTAATTATTTCATCTAGGCAACTACGTGCCCCCAAACTGCGACTTTGATACTGTGCGAATTAATCTCACGGTCACCTCTCGGGGAAGGCAATATGACCGCCTGGCACTCATGTACCTTGGAGACAATGAAGTGTTCCGGACTTCGACCGCGGAGCCTTCAGCCACTGGCATTGTCTGGACCTATATTAAAGAGATGTCACAGTACAATTCGCTATGGAAGAGTCCCCAGAAGCTGATATTTGACTTGGGAAATATTATGAACGATATTTATACTGCCTCGTTCAATGCCACCCTTACTGCGCATTTCTCAAAGGAGCATAATGTCAAGACCGCGGATATGATTCTCCCAATCTCTGCCAAAAAGTCAGCATCAAACTCTGCAAGTGCCTTCCAACTTCCCACAGACAACACAACAGTCATGTACAAGATCCCCGCTGCAGCATCGCGTGCTGTTGTGTCCATATCGGCATGTGGACAATCAGAAGAAGAGTTCTGGTGGTCCAATGTCTTCTCTGAGGATACCGAAGACTTTGAAAGCACTGTCGGTGGGCTCTATGGGTACACTCCTTTCCGTGAAATTCAGCTCTATATCGATGGGATCCTTGCTGGGCTTGTCTGGCCATTCCCTATTATCTTCACGGGAGGCGTGGCTCCAGGATTCTGGCGTCCGGTTGTTGGAATTGATGCATTTGACCTTCGAGAGCCGGAGATTGACATTTCTCCATTCCTCCCCATGATGCAAGACGGGAAACAACATTCGTTTGAAATTCGGGTGACTGGGCTCAATGTCTCGCCAGATGGGACCGCCACATTTTCAAACACCGTGGGCTCGTACTGGGTTGTCACAGGAAATATCTTCTTATATATCGATGACGACAGGTCTAAAGCCACTACCATTCATCACAGCAAGGCGCCCACGGTGGATGCTCCCTTGCCAGTGTTTTCTGTGGCTCGGAATCTTATTCACAGTGAGGCCGGGGGGAACGATTCTCTGTCATACTCTGTCGTCGCCGAGCGAGATTTCACTGTGACCTCTTCCCTGTACTCTTGGTCTCAAAAGCTATCTTTCTCCAACTATGGTCTCCTCGACCAGCAAGGATACAGTCAAGTTAACACACAACTCACAACTGGCAATAACACTATTACTGCGCTCGGACACAAACCCATCTCAAACAGCATTACATTCCAATACCCTCTGGTTGTTAATGCAACTTACGGCTTCCCCCCGAATGGGACAACTATTGACGCTTGGATGGAGAGGGGTCTCGAAATCGAGGGAACAGGAGGGATCGGTATTTCCACTTATACCTTCAGCTCGGGGCCATCGTACCTAAACACAAGTCAGTCCGGCACGGCGCTGTATAAATCCATCACTGGTGGAAACTCAGGCTCTTGGGGCGAAACCAACCATGTTTTCGAAAGTCGGATGAATGGGCAATCATACCACCGATCTGTTCATGCAGTCAATAGTACCGTTGTACATGACACCGACCCTAACGGCAAGTCCTCACCTTCTTCTCCACAAGATAATGAGAATACTGGGAGAGACAGTGTGAGGGCTATGATTGGAAAGGGACCCGGGTCTCTGATAAACTAGTGAGTATGGCATAATATGACTATTTCTGGACATTAAGGTTCAATATTGCAAGGTAGACGATGTCTCTCCCGTTTGGGACACGGAGCTGGGATACAACGCGTCATGATAGAGTAGCGCCAGTAGTGAGTTTTTATGATCTTGTAGGAAATTTAGTAATTCTTTTTGCACAAATAATAGCCAAGTCGGAGATGAGACAAGGTCCCAGATAATCAGTTACCTTTGTTTCAATATTTCAGTCTCATTTGGCATTGAGCACAAAAAGCATACAAACTGCTCATCGTTGTTGCCCCAACAAGTTTGAATCTTATTTTATTTCTTCACATATTTTATCAGCCTCTTCTTGCCCCCCTCGCGTAACATTTCTTTTCGACGCGTTCTTGCAATGGAGCTTACCTCTCACAGCGTTGAGGGTACCGACCTGTTTATCCACCGACTAGGGGAGTAAGTTACTGGGTCTATCCACGGTATGAATAAGGGAACTGAGAAGAGACAGACTTTACCACACAGGCATCTTCTCCGATCTCACCATTCACACCACGGACCAAGCCTTCAAGGTGCACAGACTCATAGTCTGCAGCCGATCTGAGACTTTCTGCAGGTTCTTCTCTGATGTTTCCCCTGTGAGTTGCCCCCAAACCCAAGCTCCTTATTATTCACAGACCCAGCTGACTGTAATAACTACAGGAAAGCGAAGAGGCTCATGTGTTCGAAATTAAAGACGAGCATCCGCGAATCGTGGAAGCCATGATACGCTCGTTCTACGGACTACATTATGACATCAACCAATCCGATTTTCAAATGTCTCCCATGCTATTCAACGTCAGAGTATACTCCATTGCCGACAAATTCGAGGTGGAATATCTCAAAATCCAAGCAAAACTAACCTTCGTCACCCTCGCCCAAGAACACTGGAACTCAGACAACTTCCTGACGGCTGCTTTTGAAGCATACACAACGACACCACGGTTGGATCGAGGTCTGAGGGATGTGGTGGTTGCGGTTTGTCAGAAGCACAGGAGGTACCTGCGCGAGAAGAGCGCATTTGAGAGGCTGATTGAGGAAACACCTGGGCTGGCTACAGATCTTGTGCTGCTTTCGCATAGGTGGCTACCTCAACCCGCTTCTATGAGAGTTCGTATAGTCCAGTCTTTCACTTGTATGTCTTGTTTTGCAAAATGGCAGATCGAGGTCGGGGTGGCAGAGTATTTTATTGCATGTCCGTTCTGCCGGGATGACAAGGTTGGAGCTTTTTGAGTTCTTCTTGATTTACTTTGCGATGCTAGCTCTTTTTGAGGATATTGTGGTTCTTTTGTAATGCTAGTAGGAGTATTTAGCAAGGCAGAGTCATGCTTGGCTATATCCTTGTTATGAATAAAGTGGTTTGTTTGAGAATGGGGGAACGGATGTTATACGTCAAAGTCCGTGGCAGAGCTCGGTGTAGATAGTTCGATTGCAGCTGAGTTGCGGAATTGGTTCCTCCAAGCACTAGCGACACATTAGCATATTAGACTTTCTTGACCCGAGTTTGGCCATCAAGTCTCAGGATGAGAGCATCACCGATAAGGCGTAAGCGGTCAAAGATTAGATCGTAAAGAGTATAAGATTGGGGACGGTAGATATATTAACAGAGGTCATTTTCAAGGTGTTCCATCCTTTAAGCCATACACCGGTTAGCTAGTTAGTATTATGGCAGCTGGCCACATGCGAATCCTGACTATATATTATGTTTTTGTTTTTGCTTATCCTTACACCTACTATTTTACTATTCAGCCCGTTCACCTGAATGGCCTAAACACCATTATTTTGCACCTGTATATCCTGCAAGCGCCTGAAGATCACTATATGTGACATTTTACTCCTCGTATCGTTTTCTTGAACCCTAGAAGAGCCTGATACCAGGCTTACTAGGAGGACGCAAGTGAAGGCGTACGCAAGTCGTATTCATAGGGGAGGGAGAGGAGAAGATCTCGGCATGCGAGAACTTCTATCTGCCAAGTGCTGTGAGTTGTGGTCACCCACCGGATATTAGGGCCGAATATATACCGCTGCAATGGTAAACACATGTTCGGTTTGTTCTTATGATCTTTTGGCCTAACTCTTTTCCAGCCGGCGTTTCACAGCCAGCTGTGTATATATATATATCAATGTCTTCCACGTCAATAAATAGCATATTTGCCACAGCGTGCATAATTGCACTTTAAACAGAGGACACTATATGAGCACGCTCGGTTGCTCCCGCTTGAACAGCATCAAATGCTGAACGGACAGAAGAAGCAGTATTCTTTATCCCTTCCAGATACAGGGTCAAGAGCCTAGCTACCGTGTCAATATGACTACGGTGCTACTACCAGATTAATACCATTACTTACTCTACTACTTTCTACTGTAATACGACAGTATCTATGTAACTGGCGCAAATAACTGAGGTTCGGGCCGGGATGAACACCTGTGGACGTCTTGAACTTTGAAAATTTTTGGATACAATATGTTATGGATGCCTTGGTGCCTTAGGCATTAACCCTCTGTCCGACTACTCCGTATGGTGGAAATGTATGGGTCCAATCAATGGTATTCAACTCTCCGTATTGCTGTATTGACTTCCTGGCAATTTATACTGTCCTGATTACATAAGAAATATTACTGCATACTTAGGATTAATAAATCCTCCGGTATCCTGGTGTATCTGCGCCGACACACCCCCTCAGCGGTCCCAGTATACTTGCTGAGATCGCTGTATCATCTTATAATTCCTAGTCTATAAGATGGCCTATATCAACCATGTTGAGCAGTCGCACGAAGCTCTCATACTTTTGCCGAGTGAGCAATTTGGTGAGGCCATCAGCAACCATGCTTGCTGTAGGCACCCAGCGCACCCGTATTCGACCCTGTTGGACTTCCTGGCGGAGCCAATAGTGGTGAATATCGATATGTCGAAGCTTCGTTTCAAAAGCTGTGTCCTCGCTTATCAATAAGCTGATAGTCCTCTCGTTATCACAGTCGATTGTCAGGTGGTGTGACGGAGTAAAGGCGAGGTTTTGAAGCAATCGGCGCCACCATTGGAGCTGCTTTCCTGCCTCCGATAGGCCGAGTAGCTCTGCTTCTGTGGTTGACGTTGTCACTGTGGGTTACTTACTTGCTTTCCAGTCAATTAGACCGCCGTATACTTGACAGATATACCCAGCTGAGCTTTTTCTATCCGGGTGGTCTCTATACGAAGCGTCACTTACAAACTGCACCGAGTCGGTCCCAGTATTAGCTATTCCGTACTCAATCGCTAGGTTCCGGGTGGAGTAGAGGTAGGTAATAACTCGATCAGCTGCTTACTAGTGCTGTAGACCGGGGTTCGTGAGAAATTGCGCGAGCTTCGCGGTCGCCTTTGCAGCGTCGGGCCTAGTGATAATGGTGGCATACCCTGCTGAGCCCACCTTTTGCTGGTATAGCAGGATTTCCTTTGGCGTTACCACCCCCTAAAAAGGGGTCAATTCCTCAACCGGCAGTGGAGTATAGACTGGTGCCCTTTCTGTCAAGTGATATCGGGTAGCAATACTTATCACATAGCTATCTTAATATAACCAGAGCTTCTTTTGTTACCGGTCTCGAATGATTCGTATATTTAGGAACTATACTGCTTCTCCATGATCGGTCAGTTCCCAGTGTGCTTCGAGATCTCGCTCTAATTGCTGTGCCTACGCCTTTGCATTGGTATAACTGGCGATTAGGATATCATCTATATAGAAGAAAACCAGTAGTCCTTTTCCTATAAAAACGTATAGGTCTTCTGGCACTTACTGTAGACCTAGCTTACGGAGCACGCTTACTGCTTCTTGCTGCCAAAGTCGTAGTGAAATCCGTAGACCGTATAGCGCGCGACGTAACTTCCAGCATTTACCTAGGTTTTGAAATCCCTTAGGTATATACGTATACGTCTCTTGGTCTAACTTGCTGTTTAGGAACGCGGTGACAGTATCTCTCTGTCTTAGGTCAAGATCAAAGGCAGCAACCAAGGCAAAAATCATCCTCGCTGTCCTTACTGCTAGCGTAGCAGCTCTCTTTTCCTCGTAAGAGATAGTTTCAAGGTCTCCGCGTATACAGATACGGGCCTTAAGCTTCAAAAGGTACCCGTCCTGGTCAAATTTGTATAAGAACACCTATAAAAGAGGGAGAATCTGCTTCCCTCGGTCTCTTGGTTTCTTAATAACCTTAAAAGTCCCCTTTTTAGAGAGGGAGTTGATCTCCTTCCTCATCGCTGCGAGAAAACCTTCCTAAAATAGGTGGTTCATTATATCCTTCCAGTATTTTGGCGGTGGTGGGAGGTCGTCTCGGTGGCGGCGAGTGTCTGGTTTCTTAGCGTATAAGCCAGCGGCAAAAGCATAGAGTAGCGCCGGCGGTTCCACTTCTTAGGTAGTGCTTATCGCGTAGGCGAAGTCTTTTTCCTACCTTACTTGGCGTCTACGCCTACCACTGAGTATATTGCTGGTATCTATATCTCCGATTATCTCTCTTCTCGGAGCCAGTAGCTCTACCTAAAGTTGCTTCTCTAGTTCGTCTTCAGTGGTTTCAAGATCCGCTTCTTCTTACTGGATCTGGTCCCTTTGATCTCCCTCGGTATCCACCCCCTAACCAGAGCCAGTATACCTCTCTTACTCCTGCGGTGGGGTGATTGGTAGTGGTGGTAGGGGCTGTTCAATCGGAAAGGAACCTAGTAGTGCTTATAGTGGAGGGTCTAGGGTCGGCCAATATAACCTATCACCCACCCCCTAGACTGGGGTAGTCCCTCGTTGGTTGACTGTCATCTTTTAGACCTCTGCTTGCTGCGGAACCTCCTCTTACTGCTGTACTTACTGAGGCTCCTGTACTTCCTGTAGATCCTGAGTCCTCTCTTCTATTGTACTAGTCTCCTCTTAACTAGTAATTTGGTGGTTTATCACCTATACAACCTCCTTAACGGTGAGTTCCTGTGGTCCCGTTATAGCTGGTAGTGGGATAGGCTGATATTTCTTATAATCAGGGGTATATTTTCGTGTCTCGTCAATAACTATATCCCTGATATACCTCACTTTCCCACTATATAGGAACCAGATCTTCCAGATATTCGAGGCAAGGTATCCCACCACGAAGCCAATCTCTGTACGTAGGTTTATCTTATCGGACTGTACTTACTTCTCAATCCTGCAGTACACCAAGCTTCTATATAACCTAATATTTGATAGGTTTATCCTCGGCGCCTATAGTGCGACTTCCTTCCTCACTTCCTCCTATAGTACTACCCACCGATTCTCGGCGGCGATATACGTTAGTGTACAATTTAATAACTATACAGCGGCGCTTACGAACTCCGGCCATAGCTCCTTTGGGAGGTTCCCTTCGAGGGCGAGTATACGTATCCGGGTGATAATCATTCCACCTGATCTCTCAGCATACCTATTTATCTCTGAGTACCCTAGGGGGGAGTGATATATCAGGATACTATCGCTTATGAGACTATACTCCGCTGCTCTGCCAGCTGCTGCTTTATTGTCGTAGTAGAAGGCCTTGATTGGTAGCTTCCACTGATTTCTTACAAGTTATATAAACTGGTTGATAGCCAATTGATATTCAGGTTTCACTTCGTAAGTCATAATCCAGTGGAATCTCGGTCCTTCTAGGTAGAAGTGGGATATCCAGCGGTGCTTATTGTAGGCTAGCTGTAGCTGAATTAGGTCGAAATATACCCTTCCAAAACGTCCAAAGGTATATCCAACTTATCGTCTTGAAATCTACCTCGGAGCACTTCCTGTCTTATAGGTCTAATATAGAGATTCTTACTCTGTGCTTGCTCCTCCTTTATCGTTAAGAACAACGCTGTCTACTATAGTAGTAAGCTTTACTACGGTCCGCGGTTGAATATATACTAGGCGTCGGTGCCAAATTTTAGAGGAAGCCCTTGATTCCTGTGGCTTCACTGATTTCCGTTGTGCTTGCTGCACAGTATATACTTATTGTGGCGGAGCCTCGCCTGGCTTATCAAAGATCCAGAGATTGAATTGATCCTATAGGTTCACACAGATAATAGGTCTATTATTTGGGTCCCGTATACAGTTTGTACGTTAGCACCAGAGGCCGCCTTTCTTCTTTAGCATCGCGTACGACACGAGACTCGTATAGAAACTTGGTGAGTATAGAGCGTCGCTTAAGGTAATCTCTATCCTTCCCTTTACCGGGTATCTCCCTAAAAGTCTGACTTTACCTCTCCCTAGCACCTGCGTGGTACTATCTCCGGTTATTAGGTCAATTATATCAGGTGTGAAGTCGACGAATAGGGCTCGGTTATTGCAGATATACGCACTTGATCCGGTATCAAGAATCCACCGGTCACAGAGGGAGGGCTCGCCTACCTTTACCACAGAGAGCACGTGCTTGCTAATCTATATAGCTTCACTTAGCTTGCTTCGAAAAGTGGTTGCAAAGCTAACTTAGTTAGCGGATTCGGCTGGTTTTTCCTGTGCTTGCTGAGCTTACTGAGCTTCAGCTATCACTTTATCTACCTATTGCTTCTAAGCGTGGTCCTTTCCTAACTTCTTCTTTACTTTCTCTAGTTTCCCTTCGTTTAGGGTATACCCTTCTGGCCGAATCGCTTCGTTTAGGAGCCAGCAAGTAGTAACTTTATACTTCGGGTGTGAGCTACTATAAGGGCAGTGTCTCTTCTCAAACGGAAGCTTCTCTTACTTTATTTCCGGTTTCGCCTCTTGGTGACCTTGCTAGGTCGAGAAAGCGCCTTTTAGAGGAGTGGTTGATAACACCACCTATGCTCCTATCTCGCGATTCATCGCGCGGAATAATTCAAGGAGATCTCGGGTATCGTACACCTTCTTTTCTATCACTATTTCCTGGTATTTACCTTACCACTATATAGGTAGAACTTCTTTCACGGCGTGCAGGAAGTCCCTATTGGTATCTCCGTCCTTAATACTAAGACTAACCGCTTACTCCCTTAGCGAGTTCCACTTTTGAAGCCACTTATCGATATCTCCAGTCGGCTTCTGTATTGCAAACACTTTCTAACTTATTCGGATTTCCTCCTTATACGCGGTCGATCGAGCGAACCGAGACTTCAGATACACAAGTCTATCATACGGTGTACGATATATAATCAGTGCGAGGTGGTGTACTGGGTCAAGATAGGTGAGGATATATTCATTTATATCACTCAGTCCCTTTGCTTGCTTCTCCTATCGAGCATAGCTCATTTTATATACGTCTGCTTGGTCTCTCTATTTCCTTCGATCTGTTTCGGTGCCCTCTTCAGGATATTCTGGTTGTACCGGTTCCTTTAGAGTATCAGGTCGTTCAGTTGACGGGGTATCCGGGTTGCAGTGATCCCAGACATTTTTTTGCATTGCGTATAGCTGCACCTTCGCAAACCAGGTGAGCCATTGCGGTGCATCCTTCAGTTTATCGCCCTTTATAGCGGAGAGAATCGATGCTGTTTCCATTGCTGGATGCTGTGTTGTTTTGATGTGAAACAAGGGATGACTTTCTGCGGAGTGGCTTCGTGGAGGTTTATAAGACAGTTTCTAGCAAGTTGCTAGGTACTATATGCCGATATAGTAGTCTTATTCAGTGCGAACCGGGCTCATAACTGTCCGACTACTCCGTATGGTGGAAATGTATGGGTCCAATCAATGGTATTCAACTCTCCGTATTGCTGTATTGACTTCCTGGCAATTTATACTGTCCTGATTACATAAGAAATATTACTGCATACTTAGGATTAATAAATCCTCCGGTATCCTGGTGTATCTGCGCCGACACCCTCGATAGTAGATAGTTCGGGAGTTTGCTCCCTTTAGGAATTAACTCTCTCCCTCCTCTCGCTCTGGATACTACTTCGTAGTCTCCATCACAATATAATCGGTCGCAATTTGTCGATTTACCCCGTAGACAATGAACACAGAAGAGTCAATGCTCGAACCGTGCAGTCTTTCTGGAGTCAGGTCGTACTGAGGATACGTGGGAAAAAATACAGCCATTTTATCATAACAAAAATCTCGCGAAAGGATCTTAGACGATACTGTACGTTCCATCGATAAGTTTCGATACCGAAAAAGAATCAATTATTCAATACTATGAGACACTGTCTTGTCCGAGGCTCATCGCGATTCCAATTTCCTTCAGCCGATACCGGTCCTCACAAATGTGCCACGTAATATAGCCATTAATAAAGTCCTTCCAAAGCTTCCCAATAACACCGTTTTCTCCAACTGCATTACTGAAAATATACATAGCCTCAACTGTTTCCCCGCAAATCTGCTCCAGTACATCATAAGGGCTGCAACATGAGGTACGAGCTCTGTTCATGATGTTTGTGTTCATCTCGGTTCCAACCACGGACTCCTTAAAGAACGATAGAATATCATTCACATCGTCAATGATGTCCAGTATACCTGCAATAAAGGGTATATAGGTTGGCAAGTGCCCATTTTCTGCTGCAAGGTGCTCAGGAAATATGAAGTGGGCGTAAACTTCCCCAGCTCCGGTCTTGTCGCGTAAAAATTTGGATGCTCTTCGTCCAAACTTTGCGGGAAGCTCCAGGTCTGTCGCAAAGATTGTTTCAACTGTGTTCCCCAGCATGAAGTCGATGAAGCCTTTGGTAATGACCCCAGTTGAATAAGGGCCATAGAACTTTCCGGTTTCCGTAGTAACGAGTTCCAACCACAAATTCACAACGGGATCATCACACTTGATACCATGAAGACCATTGCAGGCACCAGATGAAATCTTCTGAAGATCGGGGAGGATTTGTTCGAGGTCCTGATCTACTTTATCGTCCACATAGAGGAGAAAAGTGGTGTGAAGCGCAAGATACCGTTTTAACTCGTGGCTAGCATGGGGATACCACTTATCTGCAGCGCTGGTACTTGCTGGTAAGATGATCAAAATGTGGCTCAGTTGGTGCTCCTGAAGATTTTGGGAAATGAACCATTCTTCGAGCTCCGCGTAAAGTTTTGTGTGAAATGGCCGAGCTGCCTGCTTGAGGTCAAATCCAACATTGTGTAGCCATGTTCGAAGGATTTCCTCTGGCTGCTTGTTGATGACTGTCATGTTTATAAGAGTAGTCACCTCGAGCAAACGAAAGTCTTGGAGAATAAGGAAACAACGTTGGACTGTAAGGTAGAATAAGATAGCCAATATTCTGAAGAGCAAACCGTGAATTGGTATAATTGGAAGATACTGAAGACTTCTGTTCCTCAGTCTTTATATCTTCCAATTATACCCCAATTTTCAGACTTGGGACTCTACAACAATGTCACACTGCATTATTATTACAAGTCGTATCCTCCTTTGTACTACAATTGCCGTTCTCCTTACCCATGAGCTTAGAGCTCTGATGACAATGTCACACTGCATTACTATTACAGATCATATCCACCTATAAACTGTACTTACCCTTCTTCTTACTCATACGTTGTACGCTTGAAACTATGATGATAATGTACTGCATTATTATTATAATTTATAATTATGTACTTCAACCTATGTTGTACTCCTTCCTCCTAAGCTTGAACCTCTGATAATTATTTCACACTGCACATTCCCATAAATCATACTTATATGTATGTACTGCAGCAACACTTTTCTTTCTGATAGAATAGCCTACGTCAGTCCCCCTTACAAAGATAAGTTACTTCAATCTCAAGTGCCATACCTTGGGAGGTGGAGCAGTAGGCAATTGTATCCTAGAAATACAGGCAATAGTAGCGAATAATAATCAAGAAGGTAGTATCACGAATACTAGCTTTACAGTAAGAATCCGGAGTGAACATTATATATTGCTGGTTCTCTAAGGTCGGCTCTTATACTAATAGCGTGATCAGTAGTAACTAATGGATTTTACGCTATATGTATAAAACCCTTGTGTGTACAGTAGAGAATGTGAACAACAGAAGACGGCCAAGAAAGACTGCATATAAGAGATTCAATATTGGCTTATTAGACAGAAGAACTAAACAGTGGAAGGTTGATTTGGATGGTCAAGTATATCTAGGGGTTCTGCATGAATCACAAAAGATATCAAACTTGTTCTATTACACTAGGAAAAAAGCTGGTTTCCAGTGTGGAGCCCTGGTTGAACTGGGTCAGGTATTGCTACTAAGCTAAGGTGAATAAACAGATGTTAGGTGCAGTCCTGGTTGGAGGATGGAGAAAACCTGAATTTGGAGTAGGTAGATGATCTAACAAGGGGATTTGAACCATGAGGGGGGTATATTTCACTAATTCAAGCAGAGGGACAATTCCGGTATGTTGTACAGGAAATGGCTCCCTTATTATTGCAGAAGCGCTCAGACTTGATCGATTTTACAATTTGTTTGGTATTGTCCATAGTTGTATGACGTTCCGGTACGGAGTAGTAGTAGACTCATGTTCCTACTTCCTCCTTGTTTCCATGTTACACAATATATACGCAGTGTGTGCGAAGGGGCATAACGGCCAATGTCCCAATGAACCTTTTGGTCTAGTTATGCCTGAATGATGCCTGATTATAGACCGCTTTTTTTTACCGCTCTATACAGTTTATTGTAAATGAAGCTATTCAAATGTTCCTATCATCATTTCTATCATCGTCATCGCCCTGGAGCTATTCCTATCTCCAGCCATCGTCGTGACGCACGAAATGCTGGCCTACATCGATAATATTGAGCCTTATAAGGCCGAGATACTCGACCTTCTCTAACAAAAAACCACCTATGAAGCTATTCGCACCATTCTCAAGGACAAATACCAGATCAAAATCAGCCGGACAGGCTTGACTAGGCGCCTTTAACGATAGTGAGCTATATCATTGGATTCGGATCTACGGTTAGCGTCTCGCACCAACAAATGCGGATGAAAACAGTTGCGACTTCAACTTCGTAGAATAAGCGGTAAGCGGTCGGGGGGTGCATAATATTTTGTGCGGTGGGAATAGCTTCATTTTATTGGACTTGAGCACGTTCCAAGGTTGGGTACTTTGCTTAATAAGACACCTGTCATTGTAATATATAAGATTCACCGCTGGAGTTTCCGCCTTTTGTAATTGCGGAGCGAAGCGAAGCAACTCTTATCACAAGGACTCGGGTGTACGTCACGTGATCAGGGATCCTATATAAGGTCCAAATCCACAGAATTAATAAGGTTATCACGCAGCAGTAAGCAGGTATCTAGATTCAGATTGAATCTGAGAAGATCCTAATACCAAAGATAGCAATATCTTAGCTATATGATTTGGTTAGGGCTTATATATCTGATTATACTATCAGATTGATCTATAAACTAGCGGCTAGTTACTAGCCCAATTGGGCAGTGTTCCGCGTACATATTTTACTCGCTCTATAGGGCTTCTATACAAACACCACTTATCTAATCTTATCAGATCAAATAAGCCAATTAGATCCAGTGATATCGATATATTTTGGTATATCAGAGCAATTTTAAGCGCTCAATTGGTCCTAATCCTCCCTCCGAGGATACCGGAGCCAAAACGGGACATAAATTGCCTATTTAGGCAGCAGGAGCACCCGAAGAAGAAACAGAAGGTGCCGAGTAGGTGCTCAGGCTGTGGGGAGAGCAATCATACGTTTAGAAGCTTCCCAATACGGAAGAATTGAGGGTTTTTGTATAGTAGATCTGATAGATGAGGTTGATAATCATATGATCTTGATCCTGTTTATTCCGATAGTTAATTATATCAATTAGTTAGTTAGTTAACTAGTTAGTTAACTATGTAACTAATTTTATTGATTATATAATTGCATATAATTGCCCAGGGTGCTCATGCAGATTTTTGGGGTGCAGGGATCAAAACCCATTATTTAGGGGCTTTGCGGAAGTCTACCGGCCAATGCCAGCGCTCCGTTGCAGTTTTACGGAGAGCCGAAAATTGCTGGAGATGAAAGAAGGACCAGTACGTGCGGTATTCTTCAATCCACAAAAAGGGCTTACGCGCCTTTTCTGCTCGCTCAGGTCCACTTAGTGAGCCGGCTGGTATCTCGCTAATGGTAGAGGCAAGTATATTCTGCATACGCGACAGGTATATACAAGAAAGTTGTTGTATCTGGCAACGAGATAGATTATACTAAGTGATGCCCTATAACCAAGGCTTGGTATGTCTATGCATACTTGTTAAGATCCTGTATAATGGCGGGGTGAGCCCGGAATACAGCGTGGACCTGGAGATGCAGATGATAATTTTACAGCAGCAAATCGGCGATACGAATAAGGACTTTTTGGGTCAATTCTGAGGGTAGTCGAGTAAATGGGTCCATAGTGTAAGAAATAGTGACAGACAGTGAAGCGTGGAAGGGCCAGGGATAAGACTGGGGCTCTAGTTCCTCAAGTGCCGGGGCCGTCTGGGCGGTGTTGATCATTACCTAGCAAAGGGCATTGAATAGTGTGGGAAATAATACGGCCATTTTTACCACTAGACATAACTTAAAACCAAGGTTCCTGTTTAAGGCCTAGGCCATATCCCTGTCTGACAAATAGAATATGTAGATGTTACCAGATGAGGTAAATACCATAAACCCCATTCAATATGTTGGATTACAGGCAGCCAGATGCAATATATTGACACCTGAGCTATTGTCTATTGTCCTACGGAGTACTCCGTATTGACATTCCAAGTTGAATCAATTGCATTTAGCCGTGGATTTAGCCGATCTTATCGTCCCGTGATCTATTACGATAAGATATAGCCCATCCATAGATCGCCCCCATTTCCAAGCCGCATTCTCTCCTTGTCAACTCTCCGTTGTGGCGACAGGATAAGCTGTGGTTTTCAAAATGAGTGTGGTCGTAGAAGATATCGCATTACCAGGTACTCTTCTTGTTTGTTGGTTGTCTTGACGAGATTGAAGCACTGACATCCATTGCTATTTTAGATGCAACTCTTGAGTCTCTATACCCCATCTTCCAATGCGATGACCGTCCCGCCAAGCGGCGCAAGACAACCAAAGGGGGCGCAAGGAGTTTGACAGAAGAGAATGGGATATCGATGACAGGAATACCTTTAGGCTACATTCCATTGGCACGGTTGACAATGCGCATGGCATGTTGCCACTGATATCCCGCTATAAAGCAAAACGACTAATCCATCACCTTCCACAGAAACCCTCGGATACGAGCACGCGCAAGTACAAAAGGCCTTATGACCTAGGCATTTCTATCTCCCGTGTTCCTGTACTCATTGATGTTCGAAGCGTCCATTTTATCGATGATGATCTGAACAACACGTCGCAACCAGATTCGGCTAATGGTGACGCCAATCGTATGGAGCTGGAACTATCTAGTCTCGATGAAGAAGGATTGCTGATGTATCCATGCGAGAATTTGCAGTTGTTTGATCTCCTTGGGCAACTGCAGACTGTGGGCAAACTTGCTCACGTGGACCAGTTCTCTAATAATGTTCCTACAGCCTGCTACCAAGCGCACTTGTGTGTCTCGCCAGATGGATCAGGTTTCACTCTCGAGGTGGTTGCGCTATGGAGGGATTCTCTTGAGGTCCCGGATTTGAACCGCTTGACGGAAGCAGACCTGGAAACCTTCACAAGATATGTGCTGCAGGAAAAATGTGTTCGCCCATCGGAATTGACCGACCCGCGTGAATATCGCAATAAAATGTTAGGAATCCCCAAGGAATGGTCTCCCCGGGATTTCTACAGCAATGTTCACGTTCCTAATGCTACGGAAAATTCGACGAATCTCAAATGCGCTGATCTAAAATGCCAGCTATACCCGTTCCAAAGAAGAGCTGTTCGTTGGCTTTTACAAAGAGAAGGAAGAGACGTCGGACCAGGTGGCGAGATTATGCCTATTGGAGAACTTCCGAAAAGTGACCTTCCAGCATCTTTTAGTTCCACGAAAGATGCGGATGGAGGAACTTATTATTTCAGTCATCTCTTCATGGTTCTGACGACAGATATCTCAGGGTGGCACGATGCCGCAGATAATTTGAAAGGTGGAATACTTGCAGAGGAAATGGGTTTGGGCAAAACAGTCGAAGTGATTGCGTTGATAAGTTTGAATAAGCGAGAACAGCAACTCAAGGCTGATCTCGACGGGTTGAAACATACTCGCGCCACTTTGATTATCACACCACCCGCGATTTTTGAACAATGGAGACAAGAGTTGAAAGAGCATGCCCCAACTTTGCGTGTTCATCACTACACTGGCATTAAACGTGGGAAAGAAACAACTGATGATATGATTGTCAACGAGCTTGCCGAATTTGATGTCGTTCTGACCACCTACAATGTCATTGCGAAAGAAATTCACTACGCGGCGACTCCTCCGAAGCGATCTCTTCGACATGAAAAGCGATTTGTGCAGAGGAAGACACCACTCGTTCGCCTCTCATGGTGGCGTGTATGTCTCGATGAGGCTCAGATGATTGAGAGTGGAGTCAGCAATGCAGCGAAAGTAGCTCGCTTGATCCCCCGGGAGATTGCTTGGGCTGTGACTGGTACCCCACTGCGCCGAAATATAGATGACCTGTTCGGTCTTCTCGTTTTCCTCCATTATGAGCCGTTCAACTTTTCAGCCCCTTTGTGGAGGAGATTGTGTGTGTGTTTTGGGCCTGTCTTGGCAAAAATCATAAACACAATCGCTCTTCGGCACAGGAAAGGTCAATTATTGGATGAGCTTCGTCTACCACCCCAAAAGCGCATTGTCATCACTACTCCCTTCACGGCCGTAGAAGAACAGCAATACGGTCAGCTCTTTGAGAAAATGTGTGAAGAATGCGGTTTGAACGCCTCAGGAGCCCCCCTTCGAGGCGACTGGGACCCCGAAGATCCTGTAATTATCGAAAAGATGCGTAATTGGCTAACAAGACTCCGCCAAACGTGTCTCCATCCTCAAGTCGGACATCGTCGAGTGATGGGACCAGGCTCTGGTCCTTTGCGGACTGTGGATCAGGTCCTAGAAGCCATGACCGAGAGCAACGAAGCAGCCATACGTACGGAAGAACGGTCGCTCCTTTTATCTCAACTTCGACGAGGCCAACTTCTAGAAAATGCAAAACGCCGCCAAGAAGCCCTTGCTCTCTGGCAGAAAGCATTGGATCATGCCACTAAGCTGGTTGAAGACAGCAGAGAGCAAATGCGTCTCCTGACGTCCAAAAGCACTACCAGTGACAATAACGGGGCTACTCCAGGACTCATCAATCCGGATAATAAGGATGATGAGGACGAGGAGGCAGGCAATTACAGCCTCATCCAGTGTCGACAGAAGCTTCGAGCTGCACTTGAGGTCCAGCATATTGCAATGTTCTTCACAGCGAACGCATATTACCAAATCAAGAGCGATCCGAATCTGACCCAGCCTGATTCGGATGAGTTTAAAGCACTCGAGAAACGTGAAGATGATGCCTATGAGGCTGCAAAAGTCATTCGGAAAGAGATGTTGGCTGATATTTCCCGGAAAGTCGAGCGCTACATGAACGAAATCAAAATTAAGGCACAAGGCAGACTTTTCGTGAACATCCCTAAAATGAAACCCCATCTCTACAGCAAAGGAGTCGAGTCATACAATCTGCTCACCAAATTTGAAGATTTTTGCGACGCTCTTAACAAACATGCTAACCAATACAAGGAATGGCGGGATGTCATGGCCAGACTGGTCTCTCAGTCACTCATTGACCAGGAAGAAGAAACAAAGCTGGAGGGTGATGAATATGAGCGGTCAACAAAGCATCAAGATGAAATGTATGTCTACATGGAGGCTTTGAGGTCAATGTACAGCGATCGTCACGATGCTCTCACCGGCCAGAAGAACAATCTCATTTCCCACGAAGCCAAATCCGGAATCGCCCAAGCCCAAAGAGGTGAGGGCCCTTCTCCGCAATTATTTCTCAAAATCATGGAAACTCGCAGTCAGCTTATGCCTGATCCCAATCTTGGATCGCTCCGCGATATTGTCAGTGAGCTTCGCAAACTTGTGGCATCGCTGGAGTGGCAAGCCACCTTGGGCAATTCACGTGCTCGTGCTGAACATGAAGTTGTGGAAATGGTACTGAAAAATGCCGGTCAAATGATCGCCGAGCAACTGAAAGTATCGCACAAGTTGAGTAGAGAAGTTGAAATGTTCCGCGACACCATGAACAATCGACTGGAGTATTATCGTCACCTGCAGCAGATTTCGGATACAGTGGCTCCATACGACGAGGAAAATGCAGGCAAGCCGCTAGATGAAGCCGCTTTTACCTCGAGGTTGGAGCAAGAGGAATCCCTTGAAAGCAGAATTGCTACTCTCAAATCCAAAGCAAGATATCTCATTCACCTAAAAGATGATGATGGCTCTGACAATAACGTTCGAGAGTGTATCATCTGCCAATCAACCTTCGAAGTTGGTGTGTTGACTGTGTGTGGTCACAAGTTCTGTAAGGATTGCTTGCGACTATGGTGGGCTGCACACCAAAATTGCCCACTGTGCAAGAAGAAATTAAAGCGCAATGATTTCCATCAGATCACATACAAGCCACAGGGTCTAGTTGTGCAAGAGGAAAAGTCACATGTCAAATTGGACCACGAAGGTCATTCCCAAAATGCGATTTACAGTGACATCAGCTCCAGTCATCTCAATGAGATCAAGAACATTGACTTGGATGGATCTTACGGGACAAAGATTGACACTTTAGCCCGGCACATCCTATGGCTGCGAGAACATGACCCAGGCGCAAAGTCAATCATTTTCTCTCAGTACGGATCCTTTTTGTCGGTATTACAGAGCGCATTCAGATCCCTTGGAATAGTCACTACCAGTATTGACGCTTCGAATGGCATTCAGAACTTCAAAACAGACCCGGCTGTAAGCGGCCCAGACCCCATATCTCATTGAAAGGAATACGCTGACGATTGATAATCTAGATTGAGTGCTTTTGTTTACATGGCAAAGCACAGTCATCCGGGCTGAATTTGACCGTTGCGACTCATGTCTTCCTATGCGAGCCACTCATCAACACAGCAATCGAACTCCAGATCATTGCTCGAGTACATCGTATTGGTCAATATCGACCAACAACAGTATGGATGTACCTTGTCTCCGGCACGGTGGAAGAATCCATATATGAAATCTCAGTAACCCGCCGACTAGCTCACATCATGGAGAAAGAGAAGCAATACAAGAAAGCACTCTTGGATCCTCCTACCGATGGCGACGGTGTTACTGAAGCAGCTATCGAATCTGCCAACTCGATGGAACTACAAGATGCCACTCTCACAACCTTGATGCAACGCGGCGACATAGGTGGAGAGATGGTGAAAAAGGACGACCTTTGGCAATGCCTCTTTGGAAATGCCAAGAAGAAAGATGGCATTGATCTTTCATCTGAGGCAGAAAGGGAGGTTGGTCGGTTCTTGAGAGGCGAAGCTGCTGAGCAAAGAATGGAGGGTTGAGATGCCAATAATTATTGTAATTTAGAATATTTTATGTCCTGTTGCTATGTAGAGTCAATACATATGGGCATATTTGCTTGCTGATTCCTGTCCTCTTTTCTTATTATAGACTCATTCATGTTGACAATCATTGTTCTGGATCGCACCTGCCAGATACAGATGGAACCTTATGCCAAGAAAATAATGACTAAGTAAACACTGACTAATCAATAGACCACCTGGGCAGGTGCCCCCCATACTGTTCACTTGAATGGCGATGACGTGAGTGCAGTTGCCTATATCATCTATTCATTTATAAATTTGATCATCTAGACATTTTTTACATGTGAATTTGATGCTTCGTTAGAATCACTTTCCTGCAAAACACTTTCATCATGGCGGACTCACAGAGTCCTGTGGCTCGTGAGCTGAGTCTGATAGGCAAAGTGGAATTCAGAATTGCCATGGCAGACACAGATGAGAAACTGCAGTCACTACTTGGGACATATCTACCTCCCTTGTTGCTGAAGCTTGGGTCAGACAACGTGGAGGTGCGCAACAAGATCATCTCGGTCTGCCAGCATGTCAACACCCGAATCAAAGCCCCCTCTATTCAGTTGCCCGTGGCAGCATTGTTGAAACAGTTCAAGGAGCAAAAATCTCAATTGATCAGACATTTCGATCTCATCTATGCTCAGCAAGGTATTGATCGCCTCGGCTCCACAGCCAGAGTTGAAATCCTATTGCCCTTGCTCCAGGGTATCTCAAAGATCGGAACTTCACCCACTCAGGGTGCTATCGTATTTAACCTGGTTTTGCGTCTATTGCCACTTCTGAAGCTGCCAGCAAGAGGCAGTGAAGAAGATCAGGGCCTGAAAGCCCGACTCGGTCTATCAGACGATGATTCCCAATTCTTGTCCTTTTGGCTGGCGAAATTGTTACTTCTTACCCCTGGCCCCAAGGAAACTTCAACATGCCCCGGTCTATCTCCAGACGAGTATAACTTCCTGAACAAGGGTGTCCCCGCAAATGAGACATGGAATCCTTCTACCGATGGCGGCTTGAATCTAACCGAGACAAAAGTCACCGCCCTTCGATTCATCGGAAGCGGTGCTTTTAATGATCCACAACGATTTCTGCCTTCGTTGATCGCTTCTGCTGATTCCAACTCCCGGCTTGCTGATCTGGGAGATGAGACTCTGAAGAGATTTACCGCGGATATTGAGAATCCTGATGTGGTGCAAGAGCTGTATGATCTGTATTTCGGTACCCCGTCGCCCGGTGGTGCTCCTCCCGCACGCCTTCCACTCCAAGTGAAGATTCTCGTCTTCCTAGGGAAGTCAATCAAAGCTACTGCAGACCCCCAGAGAGTAATGAGGCTCATCGAAGATGGGCTCCTATCAGACTCTGCTAGATCCTCTCAGGGGTTGCAAGCCTCGAAACTAAGGACCCAAATTTTTACGTTTACTACTTGGGTAGTCCGTATGGGTGCACCATCGGATCTTAAGCAAATCGCACCTAAACTCATTGCAGGATTAAGGGATTTCATTCAGTCTCAAGGATGGCCCAGTCCGGCTGCTAGTGGGCAGAAACTACCCACAACAGACCTCAGCTTACGAGGTCTTGCCTACGAGAGTATCGGCATCATGGTTCCCAAAGTCGACTTTATGTCGCAAGCAGATGTTGTAGAGAACTTCGAATTCGACTTAATCCGATGGCTCTTTGCTTCCTTGAGTGCGGATGATTCAAGTCCTCAAATATTCGTTAGTATCGATCAGGCATTAGGAAGTATTCTCAATTCTTCATTAGACAGCCACGATAAAACCTTCCAGGACCAGCTGCGGCCATTCCTGGTTCGTCAGATGAGCATGCAGCCTGGCGATATGGATCCCGACACTGGTTATCGTGCGGTGCGAGGTGTTCAGTATGCTGCAGTGCGGTTTGCGAATCGATTCCTGCCATTTGGCGATGTGGTTGCCCGTTGGATCGATCTGATGGCCATTGCAAGGGGCCCGGAAAGACAGCAAGAAATTGTTGAGGAAGGAAAGAAAGGTCTCCATCCTTACTGGTACCGACTCCTCAATCCTGCCAAGGATGGGAAATGGTCAGCTGCATCGGCAGCTCCAGTTCAGGATGAATCCTGGTTTGACTTCCCAAAGTTTAATGAGGCTACTCGCTTCTTGCTTGGTTCGGGAGGGCAAGAGGAACACTTGAATGTTCAGGCTTTATCCGCATCGCAACTCCTGTCCGGTCCCTACAAAGGTTCATTTGTGCCTGCCATCTCATTCCTCCGAAACACATTGCTTTGGGAGGCATTCTCAGCCTCGGGGGTTGCAGCAGCTCTAGAACAAGATTGGGACTATAAGCTAGAAGTGCTCCTCTCCACTAGCGTGGAAGCCCGTTCAGCCGTGAGAAAGTACATTCGAGAGTCTGCAAAAGACTCCGTTTTAGCATTTTTGTCTGGCATCCTCGAAGGCCTTGTTACTGGCGAGCGTGAAGGCCTGCAGCAATGCGGTATTCACTTCGTGGAAATCTGCTCGCTAGCACCCAATGACGTCGTCCAACACTTGATCTCACGTGCGACATCCTTGATGGAGCCTATTTGTAGCAACAACCAAGATAACCAGGGTATTACTGCACGAGCATTTGGAATTCTGGTTTCGCATCCTGCCTTCTCAGAGGAGCAACTGAAAAGCTTCATTACTCAACTAGCTGCTACCATCCAATCGTGGAATACTGCTATTGGCCAAGAGGTCATGCGAGCCCGTGGGGCGATTTTAGCGCTCTCGTATTTATTAAGCCGACTTTCATACCGTGGTTTACTGGGCCGAGCTCTAGAGGCACAAACCCAGCAGTTTATTGAGACTCTGTTCGATATTCTAGATGTTTCCCGGGATATCTTGCTTCAAAGGACTGCACAAGAGGCCATTGGACAGCTAAGTCTCTCTGGTGTGCTGTCTCTTGGTATTCTTACCGAAGATGGCTGGAAAAAGATCCAGGAAAAGCTATCGCGCGACGCCAAAACTGAGAATCAGATCCCTATCAGGTCTCTGGGGCTGTTGACTCTGACATTTTCTCGATCTGGTTCGGACAGTACCCTGTTCAATGATTTCTTGAATTCACTATACAGTCTACATGAAATCCGCAGTCCCGAAGTTCAGTTCACTGTAGGCGAGGCCTTGAGCAATGTCGCTGTTGGTTGGGATTCTCGGGCTCTTATCCAAGATTTCGACATCGATGCAGAGTTCCCTCGCTCAGATGTCCCGCGCTCAGTGTTTACAGCAATCTGTGACAAAATTATTGCTGATTGCATTGCGCCCAAGCCATCTCTGCGGAAGGCGTCTGCAATCTGGCTGTTGTCGCTAGTCAAGAACTGCGGGCACATGCAGGAGATGCAGGAGCGGCTGCGTAAGTGCCAAGCTACTTTCAGTAGTCTCCTTGGAAACCGGGACGAGGTGGTGCAGGAGACTGGTGCGCACGGACTCAGCCTTGTATATGAGATCGGTGACCAATCCCTGAAAGACGATCTGGTCCAAGACCTGGTCGAGTCATTCACCTCGACCGGTCCCAATCTCGGGGGTGGCAAAATTGAGGCCGACACCCAGCTATTTGAGCCTGGGGCCCTCCCCACTGGTGAAGGGTCATCTGTCAACACCTACAAGGATATCATGAACTTGGCCGCCGAGGCGGGTGACCCCACTCTAGTTTACCGGTTTATGTCATTGGCTTCAAACAATGCTATTTGGACAAATCGCGCGGCTTTTGGCCGCTTCGGAATCAGTAGCATCTTTTCTGATTCTAGTGTTGATGGCTATCTGGCAAAGAACCCTAAAATTTACCCCAAGCTTTTCCGTTACCGATTCGATCCCAACCCGAACGTGCAAAGATCTATGAACACCATCTGGCAAGCACTAGTCAAGGACCCTACTGTGGTCATCGATACCCACTTTGATGATATCATGCAGGATCTTCTCAAGAGCATTCTAGCTGGTCGAGAATGGCGTGTTCGGCAAGCAAGTTGTGCTGCGGTAGCAGACTTGATTCAAGGTCGTCGCTCGGAGAAGTACGCCCAGTATCTCGATGAGATTTACAGTAAGGCTTTCAAATTACTGGACGATATCAAAGAATCTGTGCGCACTGCCGCGCTGAAGCTCTGCCAAACCATTACCAATTCGGTCATCCGCACACTCGAGACGAGCGGCACGGAGAAGCGCGCAGGTACTTTACTCAAAAGCGCTATTCCTTTCCTTCTGAGCGACAAGGGGCTGGATTCCAGCGTGGAAGAAGTGCAAGGATATGCGATTGGTGCCCTTATCTCAATGATTAAGAAGAGCCCTGGCAACTTGCTGCGTCCACATGTTCCCAATATGCTGGAGAAGTTCCTTAGCTCTCTGAGCTCTCTAGAGCCACAGGCTGTGAACTATGTCCATCTCAATGCCGACAAATATGGTCTCACCGGCCAAGAGATTGACAAAATGCGTCTGTCCAGCATCCGCACATCTCCTATGATGGAGGTGATTGAGCGGTATCTGATTGACAACTTGGATGAAAGCAATCTCGAAGAACTGGCGCAGAGACTCGAGGATGTGCTTCGGTCGGCCGTGGGCCTACCATCAAAGGTGGGCTGCAGTCGCGTTTTGGTGCTGCTTAGCATGAAAACCTTGCTTTTCCGCCCATACGCAGATCGATTCATCCGAGTGCTCACCAAGTATGTGGTGGACCGAAATGAGACGGTCAGCGCCTCGTACTGCTCCTCCATGGGCTATCTGCTACGACTGGCTTCGGACGATCAGGTTCTCAAAACCTTTGACTATGCGAAAAACCTCTATCTGACAGCTGAGGATGCCGCACCACGAGTGATCTCCGGCGAGATCCTATACTCGGCGTCCAAACTGTCCAACGATCGGTTCATGGCATTTGCGGCGAGCGCCTTACCATTCGTCTTTGTGTGTAAGCACGATGGCGACGAACATGTGAAAGAGCAGTTTGAGAAGACATGGCAAGATAATGTCGGTGGATCGCGTGCGGTGTCACTTTACATCCGTGAGATTGTGGGCCTCGTTTCGGATAATCTGGACTCCCCCCGCTGGGCTATCAAGCACACGGCCGCACGGGCGATTGCGCAAGCAATTTTATCGCTCGATGCGGAGATTGACCTAACTACGGCTCAATTGATTTGGCCAGTATTAGATCGGGCTTTGGCGGGGAAGACGTGGGAAGGTAAAGAAGTGGTGCTTAAGGCACTAGTGAAATTTAGCGGGCAAGCCCAAAAGTGGCAAACCAAAGAGGAGCTGAGTAAGATGAAGGTATGGGCTGATATGTCGCCACTTTTCCCTGATCTATAGAAAGAAAAAAAGGGTTCAAAAAAATTGCAATTGCTAACGCATGTCAGACTATTACGGTTCGCGAGGCGAAGCGAGCTAACGTTCTTTACCGGCCGCATGGACTGCGAGCAATGGGCGAGATTGCGCAGGCACGCAAGGACCTCAATTTCATGCCGGATGCATTAAAGATTGTTCCGGAGGTAATTGAAGAAATGGATGCAGATATGGAGATAGACTCAAGGAATGGGCGCGGCTCGACCAAAGATGACACCCTTGCGGCGTGTGTACAATGTCTCCTGCAATGTTTCAACCCTACTGGTTCGGCTGAAGGTATTTTTCTCCCTATAGCCCTTTTTTTTAAGAAAAAAAAAAGTCTTGGAAACCCCTAGCGTCATTCCTTGCTAACACTAACCATAGTGCTGGGAAAATACGTGGAACAGATGACCGGTCCGTTGGCTCAGATTCTCCAACTTGGCGGACGACAGGTCGTGAGCACGGGCTACGATGAGCTCCGAGCTTTCTTTACACGAGTGGAGCAGATCTCACCGGAGGCATCCGGTGAACAAATGCCTTTGCCTTTGGGTATTCTAGCAAACAAGATCCTCAGTGATGAAGTTGAGGGTTCTGTTGAGACTATCCGCAAGGGTCGTGCAGAGGCTATTCTAGCGTACCTGAAAGTGAGTCCGCAAGCGGGTGTGCCTGACCTTATCATGCGTGTTCGTGAGTGGAGAGCCAGTGAGAGATCCGGACCGGTTCAGCGTTTACTTGACGAGGTCCTGGCGTTTCCTAATTAAGCAATCCCACGTGGTTTGATTTTGATCGTCCACTTTTTTTTTCTTTTTTTCCTTGATTTTTTTTATAAGGTCGATCATGTTTATTTCTTATTCCTCGTATCTCGGGTTTAGGAGAGAGAGGGGGGTGGAAATATATATCCAGAAGCCAATCGTACCAATAGGAAGCCCCTACAAAAACAGTATCAAATTCTCTCCCTGCAGTAGAAAATGCTCTCACGGATACGCCACTCGCTTAATACTCGGCCAAGTCCGTTTGGAATGCGGAGAGTCCCAATGTGTCCTAAATAGTTCCAAGTCATCCCAAAATGCCCAAATACTCCAAAATACTCCAAAATAATCCCCAAGTAGGTCCGAGGTAGTCCTAAAACAGTTTACAAGTGTGATCTCTTCGATTTTCACATCCATAGTCGATCCAGACCGGGGTCCCGGCCGATCGAGACTTTGGATATCTCACTATATTGTATTTTCCCCAGACACCTTGTATATATAGTTACTTATACGGAGTATACTACTAGTATATAGCCCTATTAACACTACAAGTATACCCTAATTGAGTTCTTCGGATCCGATGAAAGGGAGTTTTTCTCTTCAGCCAGCCCCTTTTAATAGTTCCGAGTGTGTTTTCCTGTTTATCTTTTTCTTCTACTAGTTCCCTTAGTTCCCTTAGTTTCCCCCCTTAGTCCGGGTCTATCCTTTCGGTAATAATATGTCCTTTGAGTCCACATGGTTGGCATCTGCATGCCATTTGGTATTTTTCTTCCTCATTTCTCTCATTTCTTTCTCTTTTTTTTTTCTTCTCATTTTTCCTTGATTTTTAGTCTTTTTTTTTTTCCTGCCTGATTTTATTATATTTTTCCCCTCGCTTTTTTCCCTAGCTCTCTCTATTTTCTTCTCACTAAATAATTTTAATTTTCCTTAATTCCCGCCACCCGTCAAGACTGCGCCCATATGAAAAGTGCATTTTACTGCATCTAGCCTTACATCTAGCCTTTTCCCTCTTCCCCTCTATCTTTCTATATACTTCCTTTTAATTTGCCATTCCCCCGTCTTTTCTTCTCTTTGTCTTAATATATATCCATACACACACACACCCTAGTAAGTATATCTACCCAATTCGGTGTTGATATACATACTGATATCATTAGCCCTTATGACGGCAACCAGTCTGATCATGCAAAACAGACGGAGCAAAGTCTCTGGGAAACCTCCTTTACGGTTACCCATCATTGCCCCCAAGGAAGATCTTTTCGACGCCTTTGCCAAGTCCGAAAAGGCCTTGATCGCTCCACCACGCATCCGCTTGCCTCCGCGATCTCGTACCGGGTGTTGGTAAGTGATCATCTCTATAGGTTTGGGATTTTCGACATATGCTGATTTTCTTCAAGGACATGTCGAGTGAGTCACTGTTTTTTTTTTCCTTTTCTCCTGGAATCAGGAATAAAAAACAGTTATTAATTGGTTTTTTCTTATCTTCCAGAGTCGAAAGGGTAAGTGATTTGAGAGACTTATCTTTCTAATTCCGTGGCTGACCGACACATTCTCTAGTCAAATGTGATGAAGGACATCCGCAATGTAATGTATGCATTCTTCACGCTTTTGCTAATCTCCACATTCACTTATATCTCTTTTTTTTTACAGCAATGTACACGTCTAGGCCATACTTGCGATTATCGCCCACGTCTAGCCTTTCGCGATGATACCCCTCGTATCATGGGCCGTATGGCCGATGTGAAGACAAATGGCCATGTCGTTTGGGATCGTAAGCACTCTCTTTTATTTTTTGGGGGGTTTTTTTTTTCATATTCTTGAGTACTAACCAGAGTAGTTACTTCGCCAAGTTCCAATGATGAGAGAACCGATTATTTCTCTCTTGGGGATTCACTTCCGCCCTTTTCCCTGCTCACTTCGGACGAAGAGCGCGAAAAGAAAGCAGAAGCCTTTAGTCCCGGCACGTACCATGTCGTCATGACACCAGACAGTTTCTCCTCCCTGCCAGAGTATGCAGACGACGCAATTGAGAAATCTAGATCAAATCCCACCAGCGAGTGTAGGAGCTCTGCCGCAAATAGCCCCACGCTCGCGCCCACAATCGCGCCCAAGCCGGATTCCAGTGTGAGAGGCGAAGATCCTAATGTGGTTATTTTGAAGACTTTTGAAGATGTTACAAGGCGCTCCCCGTCAAATGGGAAGATCTCGAGGATCTCTCCGACATCTGAGATCTCAGATCCGTTCTGCAATCTGTCTCTCTCGCCCGCTTTCAATCCGCTTCCTTCGCCCGATGTCAAGGTCGAGGAGATGAATTTCCTCGATCCGCGTCTCGATAAGCAAAGCCAGGATTCTACGATCTTTTCCCACTTCCGTCATGTCGTATGGAGGCAGTTGTTCCCTCACGACCATAGACTTGATGATTCTTGCGGATCTGATAGGCATAGTCATTTTATGACTCTTAGCATGGACTTCCTAGAGCAGGAAGCCACTCGTTTCCCTCCTGTGGGTAGAATTCATTCCCTGGGTTCAGATTGACCGACTAACAAGAATCATAGCTTTCCCACGCTATGATGGCTGTATCAGCCCTTAGTCTCTCGCACAGCGGCACAGGTCACAATGTCGATGCGCTACAATATTATCAACAAGCTTTCCCTTCTCTCCAGGTCAGCCTACGGAATAACGACGATCTCGTTTCCGACGGACTGTTCCTTACCCACTTCCTACTTCTGATCTACGAGGTAAGAGGTTACAGTTACAGTTGCAATTTCTCGTCTTTATGCTTACAATCCCCCAGATCGCAGCCGCCGAACCCCACGGCTCGAACCTCTGGTCTCACCATATCTCTCGTCTCCTCCACATCGCCTTCCTTCGACGCGCCAAGTACGGCCAAGAACCCCACCCATTCATCCTCTGGTGGGTGTGCCACATTGACTTATACGCCCTGTTCAGCGGAGCAGGGACGGGAGAGTTCGTACGAGCCGTCATCGACCACCAGATGCTCCCTGGCTCGGAATGTCTTCTCTATCCTTCGGCCCCGGAGGGCTACAGTTTGATTTACTCCGATGAACATGAGAGCTTACCAGTGATCATGCGTCTATACCACGACACATTCCGACTTGCGGCTCAACTCGGCTTCTTGGCTACCCGCCTTCGTCACGATAAACAGAATCTGCCCTTTGCAGAGTTCGACCAGAAATCCCAGGAAGTAACTGATCTGCGTCAGGCTTTCGGGAGACTGTGGGAATCACCTGACGTTGCTTTCCTACATCAACACCAGGATAGCCTTCCGCGACGGTCGAGGGAAATCATGCAGCAGGTCAGTCTTTCTACCTTTACTTTTTTTCGTCTATTTGAAAAAGCAAAAAGCAAAAAGAAAAAACAAGGGAAAAAAAAAACAAAAATGCTAACTATGTGCTTCTAGTCTGCTACACTATATCATGCTTGTCAACTCTTCTCCTACAGCAGCATGTGGCCCGGACAACGAGTCGAATCCGAATTCGCTCCAGATGGAGAAATCGATCACCACGCAACAGAGATCCTACGTTTAGCCGAGCGAACCACACACACACGCCGAGCTGATCGACATTTCATAGTCTTCCCCTTGTTCCTAGCAGGTGCCACGGCATCAGCTAGTGGATTGAAGATGATGGCAATGGAATTGATGACTAGCATGGAAGACGAGGAAGATGGCATGGGCCGCAATACAGCAACGACTCGCGCTATCTTACAAATTGTCTATGAGAGGCAATTGGAGCGCCTTATGCATGTGGGTCATACATTTGATGTGGATTGGTCTGACCTAATGGCTCAGGAGGGCCTCCAGATGGTTAATTTCGGGTTTTGATTGGATAGTGGAGCTTTCTTTTTTTTTTTTTTTTTTTCTTGTTGTTTCAGAGCATTGGCGCATACTATGGGCATATTTGTATTTTTTGGGGGCACTATGTTTTGACTATGTTAGCATGATTGACGATGGGATATTAGTATATGGGTTGTATGTATAGAAATGAACTGGTTATTGATCTTCAAATCATGGTGCTCGGGCCGACCCATTTATAGAATGTAATATACATTCCTTGGCTATAATCCTTACGATCTTGGCTGTATATGCATGGTGTACATAGTACATAGTACTGCTATCTGTACCAAGGCAGCAACTTGTGATCATTTCTCGTCACCTGCGGGGTCGGCGTCTCGCCCAACTTAGCGCCTACAGAAAAATATCACCCTGATCTTCTTCATCTTTGCTTTTTTCCTTTTCTTCTTTACACTCGGACAATTTCTATGAATAGACGAGAATAGTATTTCTCATCTCAGCCCCGCATCTACCCCTCCGAAGTAGTATTCCTATTTTCGCGCTTATCTCTCGTAATTGGGTACGAGAAGTACCTCGTTGCATTCTACTGTGGCTGAATTCCGTCCACCTGCAGCTTCAAGCCTAGCCGCAATTTACTCAAGCGATGAGTGCAGGCAGCAGCCGTGCCCTCCATCCAGAGGAGCTTTTCCTCAACAACGGCCCAGCCAGACAAGAATCACCAACCATCGGCCCTCTCCGCATCAACAAACGGGACTCCTCATCCCCATCCGCAGGCTCCAGTCCCCCACCAAACGCCCCGCTCCCCTACCCGGATGACCGCCAACGGCTCCAAATGCGCGCCTCAAGTTCAAACGACCGATACGACAACATCAGATATGGATCTCCGCCAGCTGGTCCTGGCTCCGGCTCCGCGAGTCCAAACGAATACCCAACAGCGCTGCGGCCGCGGGACGGCCGCGAGCCCCGAGTCGCAACATTGGCCGAAAGAAGAGGCGCGGCCCCGAAGCCGCTACCCGAATCTCCTAGCCACGATGCCCCAGATCGCGATGCAATAGCTGCTAGACAGTACCCAAGACCCCCAGCAGGCCAACCACCAGGCCCGGAGCCACAAGCAAACACAGGCCAATACGATTACCGTCAACAATACTACCCGCCTCCTCAGCGCCAAAATTCAACCTCGGTAGCCCGTCCCCCGTCAAGTCTACAGGCCTCGCAGGGCCCGCTCAATCGCATCAGTTCTACCTCGACAACCCGCGCCCAGCGTGGCTCGCCCCCGCCCCCGGAGACGCCTATCGTTGGTCCCGGCCAGGGACCCGCCTCGGATATCGAGGCGAGATATGCGGCGGCTGGTATCGCTGGTACTGGGACCTTGCAGAATATACAGTCGCATAATGTCGCTGCGCAGAGACGAGCAGAGCAGTATACTGGCCAGCAGCCGCAGCAGCGTCCATGGACGCCCACTGAGCAGCCTGGTTCGCAGCCTCATGGACCTCCAACTGTTTATCAGGGTGATGAGGTCGTCACTGAGAATAATCAGCAGCCGGCTCATCCTGGTCAATATGGTAGTCCGGCGCCTCAGATGCCGGGTTCTTATGGTAGTCCGGCGCCACAGACTCATCCCAGTCAATACAGCAGCCAGGCACCTCAGGCTCATCCAGGCCAATATGGTAGCCCGGCGCCACAGACTCATCCAGGCCAATATAGCAGCCCGGCGCCACAGACTCATCCAGGCCAATATGGTAGCCCGGCGCCTCAGGCCCATCCGGGTCAATATAGTACTCCGCCTCCCCAGGCTCACCCAGCGCAATATAGTAGCCCAGCGCCCCAGGGTCATCCAAGTCAATATAGTACTTCGTCTCCCCAGGCTCATCCAAGTCAATATAGCAGCCCGGCACCACAGGCTCACCCTAGCCAATACAGTGGATCTCCATCCCAAATGCACCCCGCACAGCAGCAACAGCAGCAAGAACAGCATGGTGCTGCTCCTAATCCCCTGGAACAAGACATGGACCGGATGCGCCTCAGCTCCTCTCCTCCTCCCGCCTACTCAAGTGTATCTGGCCCTTCTTCGAATGGATATCCCAATGAAAAGCACAGTGGTGCCACAGCGACGGCAGCAACAGCAGCAGCAGCTGGTGCCGGTGCTGCAATGATGCACCCGGCCTTAGCAAATCAATCCTCCCAGCCTTCTGCAAAGGCTTCTTCCCCTGCATCGTCAGTCTCGCCGCAGGACCATCCTGCTTTCAGGCATGACCGGCAGCACCACCAAGCAGGCCAATCTCCACAAGCCTCTACTTCTAATGACATGTCCGGTTTCCATCATCAGACTATCCAGGTGACTTCTCCGGGTCCCTCTAGCGCAGGCCCGGCATCTCCGCCACCTCTTCCGGAGGGATGGATTGCACACATGGATCCAAGCTCGGGACAGTACTACTACATCCACTTGCCTACACAGTCAACTCAGTGGGAGTTCCCGAAGGGTCCTACGCCGCTTAACCTCAACGACACACCTTTGTCCCCAGTGGGAAGTGTGTACAGCGCCCACCCGCTAGTTTCCCCAGGTCTCTCAGCTTTCGGAAAGCCTCTGGCGTCGCCCGGTGTGCCGTTGACCCCTGGCTTCGAAAGCCTACAGTCTCCCATAGTGACTGGGTTCTCCGGACCTCCCCCGAGCAGCGGCATGGATCTGTACAAGAACGCACCCACAAACGGCGTCTACTTCGGTCCTTACTTGCGTTACACCAATATGGATCTCGAGCGCGGTATCTGGATGGGATCTATCCTGCTCGTGACAGATGCCGCACAGCCACCCACAATCCACATGCACCAGAGTCTAGACCTGTCTCCAAACCCAAGACAGTTGAAGGCATCCAACATCGCCGCCCACCAACGCTGGACATTCTACAAGTACGAGATCGATCTGCAGATGGACGACGCGGGGCCAGCGAAATGGACCTACGCCATCACCTCGCACCTGGGCTGTACTCGCTACGAGTTCCTCGTCGCTGGTCGAAACGAGACAAACTGGCGTTTCATCGCTACTTCTGGAAATGACTTCTCGCTCAATGTCAATGCCAGTGAGCGAGCCCGTGTGGGCGGTGTTGGCTACATGTGGAAGGATATCATGCAAAAACACAATGAGATCGGAGGCTTCCATGCGCAGTTATGTCTGGGTGGTCAGATCTATGCGGATCGCATGTGGAAGGAGATTCCGTCTCTCAAGCAGTGGTTGACCATCAGTGGAAAAGAAGCGAGAAAGAACGCGCCTTGGACAGCGGCTAACCAGCAGGATGTTTCTTATGCATACTTCCATTACTATACTAGTCACTTCGATCAACCGCACATAAGGGAGTCATTTGCGCAGATTCCTTATGTCTGCCAGATTGATGATCATGACATGTGAGTATCCCTTGTACATCAAGCACAGCAACGAGCAGCAACTAACATAAACATCCACAGCTTCGATGGCTTCGGCTCGTATCCAGAACACATGCAGTTCTCAAACATGTTCAAGAACATCGGCCGCATCGGAATAGAAATGTACCTCCTCTTCCAGCACCACACAACCCTCGACATCCTCCGAAACGTCAGCAACGACACAGACCTCTTCACTATCACAGGCACAGGCTGGCACTTCGTCAAATACCTCGGCCCCGGCGTCGTCGTCATCGGCGCCGATTGTCGCTCCGAAAGAAACCCACACCAGGTCATGGCTGGTCCAACGTACCAGGGTCTCTTCCCCAAGGTCGCTATGCTACCGCCAAGTGTACAACATTGTCTCTGGATGATCGCCGTCCCAATTATCTACCCCCGTCTGGAAACGGCGGAACACATCGTCCAGACTGTCGCGACGGGAAAGCGAGCCGTGACTGGCGCGTACAATGTGCTAGGCAAAGTAACAAGCTCTGTAGCCGGAGTGGTTGGTGCCAAAGACTTCGTCGGCTCGGGCTTTGACTCTGTCAAGCGTGCTGTAGGTAAATCTGGGCTGATGGGTGGTATCCTAAGTCCATTTGGCGAATTCAGCTCGATGGACGAGCTACGCGATCAATGGACGCACGAGTCGAAGGTTAGTCCCACCCCAACAACTTCCCCATATCTACCCCGTATCCATCCATACTAACTCCACCAGGATCTCGAACGAACATACCTCATCCGCACTCTGCAAGGCATAGCGCACCAAAAATCCATCCGAATGACCTTCCTCTCCGGCGCCGTCAACGTCTGCGGCGCAGGTCTCGTCCACGACCCCTCAAGCCCCTCAGACCACAAGACAATGTACCAACTCATCGCCTCCTCCGTCGTCAACACCCCGCCACCCTCCTACATCATCAAACTCCTGCACAGCCACAGCAAGCCCCTCTACGTCCCCTCCAACGGCCACAAGTCCTCCGCCCAGGTCACCGATACCAAGGAGGATATGATGGAGATCTTCCAGACCGATGTCAACGGGCAGGCGAGGGAGTATCGCAAGCTCATGGCCCGCAGGAACTATGTTGCTATTGTCGCTTATGACCCCGAGGCTGTTAATGCTTCTTATGGTATGGCGCCGGGTGCTAGTAAGTTGAGTCTGGCGGCGGACTTTATGGTGCAGGGTGATGGGGCGCTGGGGAATGTTGTTAAGTTTGGGCCGGTTATTGTGCCGTGTTTGGATCATGGGAGGTGATTGTGATGTTTGAGAGGTTGTTGGGATGTTTGATTTTCTTGCACAGCATTCTTATTGTTTTTGTTTGATTTTTTTTGGAATTTGTTCTTTTTGGCGTGTTTGCATATCTACTGTTCGCTCTTCCTTCTCTGTTCCCCTAGCGTGGGTTGTCTGCTTTGTATTTCATGATATTGAGACAATCACACCGCTGTTATGACTTGATTCTTGTACTGCAATTGCTTTGAAGTGACAATCTTAGAAATCGAATGATAGATATCAGATTGAAAGAAGGTACCTAATAATATACAGAATAGGGTATCCCGAGTATAAAAAATAGTAAACACAACAATCATCATAGCAGCCAATGCCAGTATCCAATCCGGATACGTAGCTCTGGAGATATACTCTATCCAGTTGGATCTCCCCCTGGAACGCACAGCCCAATTCTCCAAAAGTAATCCCGATGAGCATAAAACAGTTCCCATAGTCGATACCTCGCCGGTATAAGAGACCAACCCCACCGAAGAGGCGATAATTTATCCTCACAACCAGCAATATCTGAACTCACACCTGCGCGTCCCAAGACCTCCTGCTCCTCAGACGCAGCACCATCACCAGTCGACTGACACCCGTCCCCACTAGAACCAGTACTAGCCAACCCAACAGGAACATTCAAATACCGATACAACTCAACCAAAAGCCCCTCACTTCCCCCACCGGCAATGCACTTAGGATCCTCCGCGCCAACACAATGGACCGCATCCTCCAATTGCGGCGGCAGCCCCTCCCTCGAAATAAAAATCTCCCCGGCATGAGGCCTATACCCCCACTCCGCAAGCGGCAGCATAGGAACCGGATCCCCGATATGCGTCACACGGCGGAAGCGCTGACCCCGCCCAAGACCGCCCCCAGGTGGGGTGTGAAGAGGGGGGTCAAGCGGGGGAATGGCAATACCATTCCCGAGCCCGAATTGTTCATCTAGGAATCTCGCAAACTCCTCATTCCCAATCATCGGCTCCCCGAACGTCGTCACAGTTGCATCCCAGCCCTTCAGACGCATTTCCAGTCCTGCTAGTGCTGCCACTGCCCCGCCGAGCGAGTGGCCGACTAGCGTTATGGCGTAATCTGGGTGTTTTTCGCGCAGGGCGGAGATCTGTGGGAGTATTTCTGCTCTGGTGTGGAGCCATGAGCGCATGAAGCCTGCGTGCACGGTGCAGTTTTCGCAGCGGGGACCCGCGGGGCGGAGGGGTGTGGTGGTGGGGTTTTCATCTGGGTCGGGGTATGGGATGTAGGCTTGGGGGTAGGCGGAGAGGTCGATTATTGTATTTGTTATTGAGTAGGTGCCGCGGAAGGCGAGGATTATTTTTTTCGAGGCCGGGGTGTGGGAGAGCGCTATGTAGCCGCATGAGTCGGAGAGGAGGACGCCGGTGTTCCAGGTCTATGGATTGGTCAGTGGGTTGTTGTCTTCGAGATGAGTGTTTGGAGGTAGCTGACTCACGGTTACTAGTTCTAGATCTGGGAATTCATCACAGCGGCTGAGGCACTGGAATGGTTGTTGGACACCCGTTGTTCCGACGCAATATGAGATGTCTACTATTCGGGATAACTCCTCGAGGGAGTTGAATAGCTCAGTTGAAACATGTTGTGTCTTGCTCTGGGCCCTGGCTGGGGCCAGGAAGCAGATGTATAGTAGTAGCGGAAGTAAGAGAATGCTAGTCATGGTGGCTTCACATGCTGACTTGGGTAGGAGGGAAGGTATGAATTCATCTTTAAAGTAAGAGAACAAGGCCGTGTGATGTGGAGATGTGACTGGAATCCGGGGTAGCCTGGCAATCCCATTATGTCATCGATTTCCTATTGGTCGGTTCATGTCGATCTGGGAAGATACCCGGAGGTATGTACAACTACAACATGAGTGTCACAATCTTGCAATCTGAATGGTCACGAGAGACCAGAATGTACTCGAAGAATTCTATCCTATAGTATATGCATGCCGACCGTAGACTAGGGCCGCATTAAAAGGTAGTTCAAATCAGGCGGCCCAAATGACAACACGACCATCGACACCGCTCGCTATAACAATATGTTAGTCTCTCATGACTCTCGATTTTCAGGAGGGCAATCTTACTGCTGAAGGATCTCACAACCCCGTTGGATTCTTCGTGGGCCCGGATGGTGTGCACAGTGTTCTGGTGAGTAGACTTGAGCTTGGTGTCTGCCTGGGCCTGGCCCTTGAGATCCATCTGCCGGAACATATTCAAAGCAGACTCCTCGCGGGCACCCCCGGCTTTTCCAGCCTTATTCTCCAGAGAGCCATCAAGTTGCCATCCATTCTCATCGCCGCGGAAACGGAAGGGCTCACAGTCCTAGATACGGTTAGCACAAGCTGTTGTGTTACTTAATGAGAAATCACTTACATGTCCAGCTGCAATAATCTCAGTCTCGCCATTCCAGATAAGGCTGTTGAGCGGGAGCAAACGGGTAGCAATATTCAACATCGCCCGCGGGGGCTGGTCCGGAGCGCTGGGGTACACGACAGTCACACTGCTATCGTGTCCAGTGAAGGCGAGCGCATTACCACTAGGAGAGAATGCAACACCCTGGATCCAACCAGCGGTGTCGTTCAGGTATTCACCACAGATGGTGTTGAAAGGAAGGCGCTCTCCCCACGCACTAGGCTCCGGGCGAGTATCAATACCCTTGATGAAGCTCGAGAAGACTCGGGCGTGAGAATCGGTCGATCCGGCTGCCAGCAGGACGGAGTTCGGGTGCCACGCCAAGGTTGTAATGGTGCTGCGAATAGGCTTCTTGATGTGCTTCGAGATCCACCAGTCGTTCTCCTCCTCAAAGTAGCAGACTGCAATCACTCGGGCGCCGGAGCCGACCGCGAACTTTTGCTCTGATGGAGACCAGCGCACAAAGGTTGCGGCACGGTTGATTCGGAGAAGGACCAGAGTAGGTTTCCATCCGGTAGGAGTCTGCTCCCAAACGTAGGCATTGCGATCTATAGAGCGAACACCGTTAGGTATTGTAGATGGTATAGTCAAAAAGAGCCTTGTCAAAACATACCCTGCGAGCAAGTGACAATTCGGCCACTGTTGGGAGCAATGTCAACGCTGGTGACGATCTTCTCGTGGCCCTTGAGCTCATCGCTCAGCGCAAACTTGTTGCCTGATTGTTGATACAGCTCCACGTTGTTCTCCCGAGCGACAGCAAGTGTCTTCTTGTCGGATGAGAACGAGTGGTCTGCAATTGGTGCATGGAATAGATGGTGGACCTGAGGAGCAGCCATGTTGGAGATAATAACGACAGGAGGATCTCTCTACCGTCGTGCTTGTGTACTTGGTTGTAGTTGCGGGACCGGAGGGGAGCTGGGTCATGACGGTGGCGCTTAGTAAGGAGTGCATCACATGACACAGAGCTACTTTTGTGTCGAGGATTTGAGTCGCCATTGACACAGATCGCGATTGAGCTTCATTTTCCCTCACGCTACCTCATTTACTCTTTCAAACATACAGCCTACGCAATATTTTAACCATCTGAGAAATGGCTTCAAAATCATTGCCCGCCCGTGGAGCTCCTGACAGTAAGCCCATTGCTATCGGCGCTCCTAACCAGACGTGAGCTTGTCCTTCCAAGTAGAGGAGACTGTTGTACATTAGCACTAACAATATTCAGACTCTACTGTACCAAATTGCCCGACAAGAGAATTCCGAAACATGATCTGCGAACGGCCCTCTATGCCCTGTTCTCCACATACGGCACCGTTCTGGACATTGTGGTCATGAAAACCAGCAAAATGCGAGGCCAGGCTCATATTGTGTTCAAGGATGTCCAAGCCAGTACACAGGCTCTGCGGGCTTTACAAGGATTTGATTTTTTCGGAAAACAGATGGTATGTTTTTCTTGGCCTTCTATCGTCGCAAACTCCCGCTCAATCAATGGATATCCAGAAAATTGTTTACGCCAAAGGATCATCAAATATCATTTCCCAACTTCGCGGCACATACGTTGCGCCAGTTGATGCTGCGCCAGCCCCAGTCTCAACAGACCTCCAAAAGTCTATCTTCGGTGCTCCTCCGGGCGCACTCCCTGCACGACCCACGACCAATGTCAATGGAGAGAGCCATGGCCTGAAGCGACCGCGTGAAGAGGAAAGTGACAATGAAGAGGCTCCAATGGACGAAGACAGCGATGTGCCCATGGAAGCTTCCTCAGATGAGGAGTAATCTGATAAATGGGGCCCTACCAAGGACTGAGAGAGACTTGAAGTCCTCATTTTGCATTTGATTTTTTTTTATTCCCCAGCGTTTCCAGCATATGCAATTATTGGCTGGTACTGTGCTAAGCGAAAAGCTCGCGTGGGACGTGCAGGTTCACGCAATGGCCTACAAGGCCGAGCCAGATGAGGAGATATGACCCGGGAGTGACGTTCTGTGCGTCTGCGATATTCGCCATGGCTTCCGCGGTGTTGCATGGGTGGACAAAAAAGGCCGGGGCGCCAGAGTCAGGATGGTACTACAAGAAAGAAAAAAAAACAAAAAGAAGACATGAGCTCTTGTCACGAGGTTCCGAGAATGCACCTACACCCATACTAATCCCACCCATTACACCAAAACTCTTCAATTCTTGTCTGTACCGTTCCGGCACGACATACTGGTAGACTTCGTCTAGTCCGAGTGGGCCGTGGTTGTGCCACCTAAGGCCGAAGTACAAGACAGGGACCTGATATGTGGGAGATAACAAGATATCATAGTCAATCTGTAATCTGGGCTCGGGTTTGGCGCGAACGAGAGCTTCCTGCAGTGAAGAGTCAGGACAAGTGGACACGTCCCTTAGGGGCTAGAACTCTGCAGACCGGATCTTCATCTTCCTGTGATTCTTCAAGGTCTGCCAGCGCTGGGGCTTCTAGCGGGCTGGGGACATCAACACATTTTGTTATTCTGAGGCCTGTTCCACCTGGCTGATCTCATACAAATTTTTTATATTTTCACATCAGTTCTTCATTCCTCAAGTCGTATATATCAAATAAGGAACCAAAAGTAAAGTTTAATGGTTCATGCATAAAAAAGGGGATACCTTTGTGAGCAGTCTAATGTCAGACCAGGTAATATTTTGGGCCGAAGTGCATTGATCGGCGAGATCCTGACATGCACGCTCAAACTCCGACTGCGCCAGGAAGGGAAACGTAGAGCAATACTCAGCCATGCGGCTAGAACCCGAGATGACCACTGTCATCTACTTCGTATCAGTGTGTACCAGTGTCCCGGATGCAGATGCTCAGCTGTGAATGTGGCGTGGCCAGGGTACGGAGGGTTTCGCGAGAGTAAGAGCCACTCAATCTTGTCACTTGTCACTATATGTCAAATCAGAGACATTGGAAGATGAATCCATGGATACCAAATACATGTGTGGTTAAAAAAAGAAAAGAAAAGATGATTGCGGTGATCCGGATATAGAAGGAGAAAGAGAAAACAATGGAGTTTGTCAAGAATACTACATGTGCCAAGAAGTACCCAGTACAAGGGTTATGTATTGTGATAACACATTAAATATAAGTACTGAGTACCTCTTCAGTCATATGCGGCAGAAGGAGGCGGTACCTTTTTCCCAGTTCCCGCGTGGACATGTGTGTAGTTCCTTGTTCATATCTCTCTGCATGCAGCTTCGTCTGATGCAAATGCGCGTATTTTGAATCTTTGTGGCGAAAACATGCTTGCGTCTTCTTTTGTTTCTGGCGTTTAGTTGCATATACACCTCGTTTGTCTGCTTCTCTATCCACTTCTTATGTATCGTACGTTCCCCCTTCCAGGCTACTGACCATCTATCCCCCACCACCACATACTGTTCTTTTTTTGCTTTTCATTCCTTTTCTTTTTAATTTATTTGCAAATTGTCTATAATCTTAATGTTGATCTGACTGTGTATTTGCCGATTTTGATCTACCCCTGGTCGGCCAACTTCCCCGTGAGCCGAGATCGTGAAATCCAGAAATCATCAAATCCTGTTTTGTGAAGAAGGGGACTCCCCAGCTTACAAGATTGGCTATTTGTTTTGACGTTACCCCAATTCCCCCTCTCATTCTCCATCTTCCATCTCTCCAGTCCAACCAATTCCTGAATTGCAACCAATCTGAAACACGGACCATCACCTCCGGGTTTGTTGGGAAACCCTGAGCCGCCAATCGTACCAATTCCAATTACAGCGGTTGTACGAGCTTGGGGCTCGGATTGCGTCCTCTGTGGGCAATCAGGGCGTGGCTTGACGTCAGTAGTCCGGGGTGCGATCTAATCTGAAAAGCTCCATCGGGACAAGCTTGGAAATTCCAGAGCTAGGTCACCCCATCGTCGTGCGGGGGGCCAGTGCTCGCCAGCCTGTCAACAAGCCCTTATTCTAATTGTATATCATTCTGGCCGTCCCTACTGCACATGCCCAGTTGAATCTGGCCAGAGCATATCTGAATCTACCTGCATTGCATCTGAATCATGGGCAACTCTCAATCGAGCCAGGCCAAAAAAGATGAGACCCGCCGCTCTAACCGCCTTTCAAAGCCCCTGACAAAGAAGTTCATTACCATTCAAAGTTCTCAACGACCCGAAACAGACTCTTCGACGATCAGTTCAGGGCTGATAGGGTGGCAAAACCCTTGGGTTGGCAGCAATATCTCCAGTATATCCAATACCCCCGTGGAAAAACGGGGCAGCTACCCCAAGAAAGCAGAGATTCCACCTACCCTTTTTGAAACAGAGTCGTCGGAAGAGACCCCGACTGAGGATCGAGCCTTTGTATACGATCAGAGTCCCACCAAGCGTCATCCAATCCGCCCAAGCCTGTTGACCGCAAGCTCTTCGAGAAGAACATCGTACCATTCAGAAACTTGGGAAACTTGGGAAACAGCTTCCCAACCCTCGCCTATTTATGAGCAGCCACCAAGGCGGGCCAGTTCGACTCGAACTCCCCTACAGAGGCACAACAGCGCTGTCTATGAAAACCACATCGGAGACGCGACATCTTCTAACACCCACTTCTTGGTTGGCAACCAACGGTTCTCATTAACGCGTCGACGATCGCTCCTGACGCGTCCTGGGGTTGCTACAAGACGAACAACAGGCACAATTCGACGCGTTCCATCGCCCATTGGCGAGCCCGAATGCCAGATCGAAGATCCGACAACTGATTTGCAATGGTCATTGCCTTCGATCCGAGGACCACTGCGTCTGCCATCGCCAGCACGGCCGTCCAGTCCGACTGATACCCGATATACTCAGCTCGGGGCACTCAAATTAGGATCTTTACGAGTTGTAAATGGCTCCGCCTCTCCATGTCCGAGCGAGCGCGTTCCTTTAAATGGGCCCTACGTCCCAGATCCTGGGCTTGGTCTTGAGAACATGGAAGTTGTAGTGCCTAGCAGGGGGTCAACGCTGGATATTCCATCCTTGCCTGATCCGAAGAAATCGGACGATGTTCCGGGCAGTCCATTCTCTTTTGAAAGGTCTCCCACTATCACAGTCCAGCCTCGGACAAAATCATTGTTCCCCGGGGATCCAGAAGACGAAGGGATTGTCCTCTGCGACGATACGAGAATCCAGTTGGAAAAAGGTGCTCTGGACGCTGGCCTTGCCCAGAGCGCACCTCAATCCCTTAACAAGTCTGACAGTGGCTACAGCTCTGCCACATCAGTCCACTCTATACAGCGGAGCCGGACTCAGAGCTCTGCTACCTCACAAACATCTAGCTCATGTGGTGCAGACAGTTCAAAGAATGTATGTATCCTGAAAGGCTCGGCTTCAGGTCTATCAGGCGATAAAGTACAGCGCCACCTGAGCCTGCAGACAAACCCGGAGAACTACTCAAGGCTATATCCAGCCGCTGCTCGCTGGTACGACTCGGGCGACCCACTTCCCCTCGCCCCGTCGCGATCGCGTCGGTCAACATTGTGTGCGCCTCGATACACGGAATATTCTTCACCGCTCGAACCATTCCTCGAAGTCAAGTCTACCGCCATGGTTTCTATTCCACGCCAGAACCCAAATGGCTTTACCAGGGGGCCTTTTTATGGAGATAGATTATCCAGCTCGTTTGATACCATGTCTACTATAGGGTCTGCCGCAATCGGAGAATCACAACTCAGTCTCCAACGGCCAACTACGGAAACCAAGGAGCGACTTCGAAGGTCAGCCTCTGACTATCACATTCATGGAGAATACGATATACAACGCTCCCAATCCAGAAGTCGACGGGGAAGTCGCATCTGGAGCAAGAAACCAGGCGTTGAAGCTCCTCCACTGCCCACCATCATGTCTCCAGGTTACTTGCAGGATGACCTTGACCTTGATGCTGAATTAGCTTCCTCTGAGCCGATGCGAGGCCGGTCTCGAAGCCGGAGCAATGACTATCGCCGTCGTAGGTTGACAAAGGTCCCTCTCCAGACGGATTTGTGCACATGATAACCTCGCTTTTTTGGTTTATTCACATTTTTGGTATCGATTTTGTTGACCATTTTCTGCCCTGGATATTATTTTGATCTTGTCTTGTTTGCCTATGGCATCCACAAAAGTTCATTCTGGAGGTTATGCGTTTCTTTTTTTTTTGGGGGGGGGGGGGGCTTTGGCGGGGAGTTTTAATACACATTTTGGATATGGAGTCTTATTAGGTATACCCTTTTGGAATTGGAAGTGGAATTGGCATGAATCATATCTGGCGTTTTACACATATCCCTGAATTCTGTATCCCGTACATATACTGTTATTTTGCAATATTAGGGTTTTTCTTAGGCGTTTAGTTCCAGTCCTCGGAATATATGTCCCTAATGGGATACGATCTCACTTCTCGGCTATCTTACTTTCTTATGCATACATACATATATATATATTATTCACCGTGTGGCTCAGGTATTCCTGCCCATTCGTGTATGCGAGGTAAGGTTATCGAGTCAAGCAAGGGGCTTTTGCGTAGGTTCAGTGTAGCTAAGTTCTCTACTTCGTATTGTCTAGTTCGTATTACATGTCTACACATGGGATAGCAATGAATAAACATCGATTTAAATTAATAATAACAACGTCAGATCATAAAAGTACAAATGCAGCAAATATAGCAAGGAAACAAACGCCACCCAGAGATCCCAATGCAAATGCAATCAATTATACCGAGTCGATGGATTTGAAGCCAATGACACCCATAAATTTGATTTCAATCACAGGATCCGAATCTTCTTCGGCGTTGGTGTAGCCTCTTTCGGCACAATAACAGACAAGACACCATTCTTCAGACTTGCGCTGACAGAGTCCTGATCAACACGCGCGGTGAAGCTAAAGGTGCGCTGGAAGTCACCGATAGACCTCTCCTTGGCCCAGAAATGAGGCTCATCGTTCTCGATGGGATGGGAAGCAGCGGTGTCGACAGTGTCGGCTGAGCTAGTAGTAGACTCTGCATCCTCGTCTTCAACTGTGGGCTTGTGCCAGCCTGCAGGAGACGTGCTGCGGCTTGAGCTGGCATCATCGCTGTTGGTGTCATTGTTGTACTTGCGGTCTGTGTGGCCCTTGATCACGAGGGTGTGTGGATCGGTGAATTCGATCTCGATGTTGCTTTGGTCCACGCCTGGGAGCTCGCCATCGAGGTGGTAGGCATTGGTTAGCTCGCGCACATCAAAGGCTGGTGCGAAGGAGCTGCGTGCTTGGAGCTTGGAGCACTGGCGAGACTTGGAACATTGTGGAGACTTGAATTGGTGGGGAGTCTCGTAGTCACTGAGGAATTGGAAGAGTGGCGCGAAGCCGGATTGAGAGTAGAAGGCCATTGTTTGGGATTTTTGTTCGAAAAAAAGGTTGTAAGAGAGATAGAGTGTCTAAGAGACTGTGGAGATTGTTTTCTGATTGATTTGTTCTGTTTAATTGCCCTGGAATATCTGCCATTTTATATCTGTTGTTCGTTCTACCTGAGGCTGATTGCTCATACTTCGGCGGAAGCATCCAGAAACTGGTGGCGCAGTCGACAAGCCGCCACCGACTTCAAGACACAACCACTACATTCCATACATCGATATAATTGTAATAATTCTAATAGTAACTCTGACAAATGCTCTCTAGACAGCGTGAATAATTCATGATTGGTAATTACCTCTTTTTGAACCTCGAAACTTCCAGGGCTTTACAATGCGTCAACAGTAGTACAGTAGTATAGGCAGAACACTCCATGACAAAGCTCCAATGACTCAACATTCTATGATATACTATTATACAAAATGCCTCCAAAATCAGGCCTCAACTAGATCACACATGGCCATGTCTTTGCGTAACATGTTCAACATGCTCAACTATTCGCAGCAATGCGTCCTGGGTGAAACCGGCGACGCTAGTGATCTCCGATTCTATTTCAATGAGTGAACTGGTTGAGATAGGAGGCTGAAAGGCGCAAGACATACAAAGCTAGCTGTGTAGGCACTTTTGAAGAACTAAAATCCCGCCCCGTCCGCTCATCGGATATTGCGGATTCCTGGGGTAGCATACAACTCGAGCTGTCGATTGCCTTTGCGCAAGAGATATTCAACAGTGCTAAAGTCCTTCTTGTTCACTGAGAGATGCTTTTGGAACTCTGCCCTGTAGATCGATATCCCGTCTCAGCCGAATTGCACCGATATCTAGGGGGAACGTCGTCGGGAACGGAAGAAGAAAGAGAAAGGATAGAGAGATAGGCAAATAGGGAGATAGGTAATTGATAGAGCCTTACCGAGCATATTTCTTGAAATTGACCCTGGAGTCCTACAAAAGAAATAGTTATCAGCCGAGGTTGACGTCAGATGAGGTTTGATATAACCCACCTCAGGCTTATTTCGAATCTCCCGTAAGCATTTTCGGTATAGAGACAAAACGTCCCTCTGGAGACCGGAGAGCCGAGCCATTTCGAATCAATATGAAGAGGGGAAAAGCCTGCAAATCATTGGGTGGAGCTAGACATTGTTTCCCGCTCTGGGGAAAAAGAGCTTCGTCTTTCCCGGCCGAGTGCCCAGATATTGCCCCATCTCCATATTCCCCTTGACATTCCAGTTCACCATATTATTCCACAATGGCTACCTTTACTGTGAGTATGAAATTTAATATCTATCATTCTAAGAGAGTAAGAACAAAAAGCTGATTTTCTAAATAGCACCTTGTCCGTTTCCTGGCCAAAGATGGCCAGATCTATTACGGCGATGCTATTCTTCCGTCAGGAGTGAGCGATATCGCCAAAGTCACCAAAGCCAGAGTCATTCAAGGTGACATCTTCGGCCAGCACCGGGTCACCGACCAGGTCGCAGAAGTGAGAATGCTTCTTGCACCCCTGGCCCGTAAGGATATTGGCACAGTCCGATGCTTGGGTCTCAACTACGAGCAACACGCTAAGGAGTCGAACATGCCCATTCCAACATATCCAATCTTGTTCTACAAGCCCACCACCTCAATTTCGGGCCCAGTAGATGATATCCCCGTGCCCCAGCTTGCCCAAGAGGGCGAAGGTCTTGATTACGAGTGTGAACTGGTCATTATTATCGGCAAAGAGGCCACTGATGTCCCCGAGAGCAAGGCTCTAGACTATGTCCTGGGCTATGCTGTCGGTAACGATGTTTCCCACCGCGATTGGCAAATCAAACGCGGTGGAGGTCAGTGGAGCCTGGGTAAGGGATTCAATGGCTGGGCACCGTTTGGTCCTGGCATTGTTTCCTCTAGTGTGATTTCGGACCCGAATAACTTGGCCATCTCGACCAAGTTGAATGGGCAGACAGTCCAATCTTCCTCGACTAAGGATATGATCTTCGGCGTGGCTAAGACGATATCTTTCCTGTCTCAGGGAACTACACTCTTGCCTGGAGATGTCATCTTCACTGGAACGTGAGTATACCCTAATGAGCAAGCACATTGCCGTTTGAACTTGATAGACTGACTGTTTGACAGACCCCAAGGCGTGGGAATGGGCCGCAAGCCTCCTGTGTGGCTGAGGGATGGCGATAAAGTCGAGGTTTCGCTCGAGGGCGTCGGGTCCTGTGTCAACCGCGTAGTCTTTGACAAGCTTACCGCCAAGCTCTAAATTTATTACCCTTGAACTTGCCTTGAGACCAATAAAAAGATTGGTACTAGTTGAAGTTGTATATAACTACCCGCATGTTTGAGTCTTTACAATTGATCATTGAAGTTATTTGGACACAAAATTTATCTTTGTATCCGTAATCCCGTGTGCATTACATGTAAAAGAAAAAAACATAAATAAGGATCTAAGCAGTCTGGGCGCCATACCCCCTGATTCTCTCGGCAAAGGCCCAGCTCTGACCCTGAATCTGCTCATCCTCCTTCAGATCAATACCATCCTTCGTGATCACGGCTATCGAGTACTTGTCGCTACTTCGTGCATCGCGGTAGAACAGAACTTTCAAGCAATCCTTCAAAGCCTCAATGGCTTCTTCCTTGGTGACTTGTTCAAGCGGAGTACCCTCGGGGAACCTGCGGCGCAGGATGGGGACCGCAAGATGAGCGCCGAAGCCTGTAGCCAGGTGGGGAGCAGAGAATGTTGTTCCGAGCAAATCTGCCGAGCTAAGGAAGGGCTCCCCCTCCCCATCGAAGCCTGCGACAAGGACGTGGTTCCACAGTGGGTTGAACTCGGAGCGTCGTTTGTAGAAAACCTTTGCAAGGTATGTGTGCAGGTTCTTAGCGTTAAGCATGTTTCCATGAGGCGAGTAGTTCTCCTTGATATCCATGGAGTCGAGGAGACGGTCGAGATATTGCATGTCGGAAACGTCACCGCCAAAGCCAACCATTGCCTTATCGCCGAAAGTACGCAGACGCTTCGTGTCAGAGAAACGAGCTAGGGACCCGTAGGAGGCTATATATTCACAAATCATATCATGTCAGATGGCAATGCAGCGAAGGAACGGGACGTGACATTGGAACGGCATACCCAGGTTGTCGGTAGCTATAACGACTCCACCATTAAACTTGACACCCACCACTGACGTTCCGGTCACTGCAGGAGATGAGGTATGGGCCTTGGGACCTGTGGTCTGCAAATATGAGTGATCGTAGGCACCGTAGACATCGTTCCTGGGCTGGGCGGATAGTTAGCAACAGAGCAAGGACTGAGAAAGATGTGCCACCTACGCGGCCCCAAGCTTCAGGGAAGTGGTTCATGATGAATGAAAATTGAGACAGTTTCAACAGGGTTCTTGAAGAGGGAAGGTAGATTGAAGACAAAGTAAAACAACAGATGGATAGTACAGTGAAGTGATGACGATAGATGGGGAGCTCCCTTAGGCAGTCGAGCTGACGGAGCTCGGCTGACTAAGATTCGCGGTTACGAAGCTGGGCAGGAGCATGTAGCTAAATACAACTGTCGCAGATCCTTTAAATACGAACACTTAGGAAATGAAGATAAACAATTGGTTACTCTACACTTATCTAGTTACTCCTAAGGCCTATTCTTATGTTCAACCTAATTTGGCGCTCGTATTCGCTTCCAAAATGATGATGCCACTTTTTCTGGTAGATGCTTCGCCTTATGTACTATATACATATATAGCTAACTGTGCACTCGTACCTTCCTCCATTTGACAATTTTTGAATATCCAGACTCCTTTCTGGAAAATTTAATGCCTTCTCCGAGTTCAAGTCGTGCTGGATCTATGGCATCTGCCCTTCCCATTGACGACGATGGCTCTTCACGCGTGTATAATATCGTCAACAGGCTCTTCCACAGGCACTATGATATCAACTCGGCGGATGACCAGCCTCTGTTTTACGGGGAAATATCTATGTTCACCCCTAACAAGCCCGATGTTATTCTCCATGCTGATACCAGCACCCGGGCTCCAATTGTGGCCATCTCCAAATTTCTGAAGTCGTCCGGTGACTACAAAATAGGCATTGGGAACCCCGACGACATAAATACCGTCCAGTGGGAGGACATGACCAAGGAACTCATTCACAAACCAAAATACCGCTTGGAGATGACAGTGCAATGTGGATCTAATTAAACCCAGAACGGGAGGCGGTCATTCCTGTGGAAGCGAACACGAACCATTGGTGTTGGAAACTCAGCACCATCTCAATGGACCGGCTGGAACTATAAGCTTGTGGATGAGCACACCGAGCAGGTTCTGGCCGTATTTTCAGGTGCGAAAAGACTGGGACAAGGCGGGAAACCTGGAATCAGAGTAGAATACGGAGAGGACTTTGATCGAATGGTGTTCGTTTCTTGTTTAAGTCTGTATGAGAAGGCGAGGCGGCGCAGACAGAGTTCAGCTGGTGGTGGATGAGGAGGCTGAAATAAGCATCGTTGTTCCAATGTATAATCCACAAGTATGATAATATACACGAGTTGAAGTGTGTGCTATGTCAATGGAGAGAGTTTTGTTCGTTCTCCTTCTAGAACTCTTTCTAGTGCCATGCGATATACCACCGTAGATGTTTCCCTGAGACGCGCACATAGCCTTGCAGTTTGATTGAGGATAAAAGAGCCCTTCTTGAACGATAAGATACCAGAACGGAAGTTCCCTTGTCGTACAGGCAAATACTGCGTCACATTCGAAGCATTCGTGTTATGTGCCGGAGCCACCCTTTCGGGTCACAATTTCAAATTATCGAATTTCCCAAAAGAATTAGTGCCCCCGAGGCTATTCGGCCTTGCCGTTCAAGATCTGGCATACTATAGGGTTGGTCTTCTTGGTCCAGTTGCCGCTGAATGAATCCTCAGGCAGACCCAGACACAAAATCAACCGAGGTTCGCTGACCCGATGCCTTTTTCTCCTCTGATTGTTTACGTAAATCTTGTTGGGTTTTCAAGAGCTCTTCCTTGAAAGCCCAGTTGGGTAGATTAGATGTATCCCATAAGTCGGCGGGCAGGGATGTGTCGTATTGCGATTGCTCATTGATCCCAGCATGTTCCATCATCTTCTTCAACAAGCTTGGATTCTTAAGTGACGACGAGCTTGCCAGTTTTGAGTTGAAGTGTATGCCTTGCTTTTTGAGCGAAAGAAAATGCTCGAATTTTGCATTCGCGGCTGGGTTGGGAGACCCGGGAGGTGATGGTGGGATGTCCAGATTGGGGACCGGAGGGAGAGTGAGGTCTTGAACGAGTGCTCGTGAAGCTGAAAAGGGAGATGACCGCCCGCTTGTCGAGTGCTTGTCCTCCGAGAGGGGCGCCATGCCCATAGACGCGGGACCAAGGACAGGTCCTTCTGGGACTGAATCGGTGGCAACCTGAAAGGGCGCCTCTTTTGGTTGTTGGTGGGACGGTTTGTGATCTAGATAAATTGTCAGAGCCGACCTTTAGAGGTTACTAACGGAGAATTAAAAAGTATGTTACCTTCGTTCTGGCCAGCTTGTGACGTTGTAGGTGGAATATCCTTGTTACTCTGTTGCTCTGGAATCAGCGACTCTTCGGTGATGCTGTTTCGGAGGTCAAAATACCTGAGATTTGGGTGGAGGACCCTTGTACTCTACCTCATCCTCACTGCTGCTCTCATAGTCACCAAGACCAAGCATTATGTCGCAGTTTGTGTCTATGGATAGACGTAGAAATTGAAAGAAATCAAGACGATATGGAATAAGATTCAGAGATATGGGCAAATTTATCTTTCGAATCAGAGTATGTCAAACTTAATATCCAGGAATATATGAGGCGCCGAGACTAACTATCGAGACGGCCATCCAGGGCTCTTGGAGAGCCCTGAAGCTTGGATATTTCTTACCTAATCAGAAGGCAGCTACCGCATCGCGTCAGACACCCAGCTTCTTTGCTCTCCATCTTCCAGAACTCCCCAATCTCGAGAATCTTCTACCTTCAACACTTTAATATCTTTTACCACACTGTGATTGTGATATTTCCTCCCGATCAAGCTCCATCCCCCCGAAAATGACGTCGCTCATGGGTAACCAGTCTGGGACTATTGGATACTCCTTCGCTGAGCCAACATCCGCCAATGTCAAACAACATTCCTTCTACCCGTAAGGAACGACTTGATGAAACTGAGCAGGAACATTGGTTAACATTTTCATTAGTTACACCGATAATGGCGGTTCCACCCTCGGCATCACGGGTGCTGATTTCGCTATCCTCGCCGGTGATACTCGTTCCACATCAGGCTACAATATCAACTCTCGCATGGTCCCGAAAGTCTTCAAGATTGGCGGTGATGATGAAACCGGCGAGGGAGCTACTATCATTCTTTCCGTTGTTGGTTTCGCCGCAGATGGAAACGCTCTCAAGGAAAAGTTGGACACCGTGGTGAAGATGTACAAGTACCAACATGGGAAATCCATGTCAGTTGGAGCATGTGCACAGCGATTGTCAACCATTCTCTACGAGAAGCGATTCTTCCCATACTACGTACATGCTATTCTGGCTGGCCTGGATGAGGAAGGCGTGGGAGCTTTGTACAGCTACGACCCCGTGGGTTCTTACGAGCGGGAACAGTGCCGTGCTGCCGGTGCGGCATCTAGTTTGATCATGCCTTTCCTGGACAACCAAGTCAACTCCAAGAACCAATACATCCCGGGAAGCGGAGAAGGACATGCCCTTGTGCCCAAAAAGGCTGAGCCTCTGGACAAGGAAACGGCGAAGAAGCTTGTAAAGGATGCCTTTACAAGTGCCGTGGAAAGACATATCGAGGTTGGTGATGGTTTGCAAATGGTGATTGTTACCCGGGAAGGGATTGAGGAGGTGTTCCATGCCCTGAAGCAGGATTAGAGTGTAGGACATGATATAGCATGACCTTCTTATCGGAGCGTGGAGCTCTTTTTTGATCAGTTGATCACAAACATAATCGAGATGACTGAAATTTCCATGAATTGATATCTTTACGTTATACGTCGTCAGGCCTCTAAGATCAAGAAAAAGAAGACAGCGTAAAACCCGATGCACCTGAACGCCCACACCATGCCGGATGAGATAAATGAGTTGTGCAATCAGAAGCGTTCCTTCATTCGCGAGGCGACGGTCCGGAGATTGCCATAAACCTTGCCCTGTTTTGTGTTAGAAATTTTCCTTTGAGGATTGATACGACAAAGGCTTACCGGAGGGCTACCCAAAATCAAGCTGACAATTGCCTCTCGGGCAATGTGAATGTTCTTAAATCCACCCAGAATGTGAATCTTCGAGTCTGCAAGTACCACTCGTGTCCGACTGGCGTTTTCGATCGCATACTTGGTCTTTCCATCCTTGCCTGCAATACGTCCAATGGCACGACCAAGATGTTCTCCGCCCAGAGTCTTCACATCCTTGATCTCGAAAGTTTGGATGTACAAATCGTCAAGTCGGAGAAGAGCAATCGCATCGTCGAGATCGAAGCCAAGAGTGAAGGCCTTGACGAAATCAGCACCTTTTTGCAGAGCTCCCACATCGGTGGTAAACTTGGAGGTTCGCAATTCCACTGATCGGCTTTTGATGTTCATTCGCACTTGCAACTTGAGATGCTCGACAATGGGAGGGCAGATCTTGGCCCAGCTCGCTTTGAGTGGGGTCATACGGTGCGGTGGGACAGGCACCTTTCGTGTTTCGATCTTATATGCGGCGGCGACGTCTTTGGCAGGGGTGAAGACAGGGCGACCTTCCTCATCGATGCGCATTTCGTTATCCTCCGCAGACTCAGCGACGGGGTTAATCGGAGCGCCCTCGTTCATGGCTGTTACATCGATCAAAACTTCATCATCCTGATCTATTGATTGTCAGTGGTGAAGAGGATTTTTCCATATCAGATCCAGTACAAACCGTGAGAGATGGTCTCAGGGTGAAGACCTAGGGCCTGCTCTGGCTGGCGAATAGCTGTAGGTGCCGACATTGTGTTGCTTTAAGAATGAAGTGTTTTTTAATAAAAAAACTGTTATCGCAAAATTTAATCAGTTCCCCCCTCCCGGAAAAATGAAGTGTGGGCGGAAGCGGAATTTTTTGATGCAAACAAGACAAACTATGATGATTTCATTTAGGTTCTTCCAACCCGCGCAAGCTTGGAAGCTTCCTTGTCAACAAGTCAACGGCTGTATATGAAACAGTGTGTTTGTCCTACTTTCTGGATTTCTCATTCATGTCCAGTATGTAAAGACAAAGATGTCTGCCAATCTGGGACGCCGGCTGTATGCCCATATCTGGGATACAGCAAATCCATTTCTTGGTCGCATACGAATAAATCGCGTATCGGCCTCCGATGCTTATAGCTCAAGATTAATCCTCGATTCATCCCTTTTAAGTCACTCAAGATATATCTCCACACTGCCAAAAAAACCGACCCATCTCACTAAAAGATTCGCTTCTGGGGGCTTTTTCGTCCTCGGAATCTCACCTAGCTCAGCTGCTACGGACACTACTGCAACATGCATCATCTCCTCTCCCAAAATTGCCGCCCACTATGTTTGGAAACGAACTTTACATACCTCGAACGACCGTCGAGATGGGAAAGAAGCCTCTCAAGACACTCATGAACGCAACGAAAATGACCATTCCCAGAAATCCGGCCAATCCGGCTCCACCACACATTCACAAGCTAGACCATCCCAAGATACTCAACAACCAGCAACGAACAATCGCCACTTAATGGATCGCTTACCAAATATGCCTCATCTACATCGGCCAACCAAGGAGGAACTTTTAGCCGCAGCAACTGGGTTTTGGTCACGCCTCAAAGTACGATTCAAATGGTTTTCTATAAGAAGTGTTCGTCCTTACAATTTGGATGAGATGACTGCCTTCTTCTCGTGGGTTTTGCTGGGCCACGTTGTTTGGGTCGTCGTAGGAACTACAACCTTCTTCTCTCTTCTGATCCTTGCGATCAACACAGTCTTTGCTCAAGGTACGTCCACTTTTTGTTGCATTAAGGTCTAGATACTAATGTGCTTGAACAGAAACATTAGCAGGGTGGGTGGGCAACTATCTCACCAAGTCTTCTGGGGTCAAAGTTGTTTTTGAATCTGCAATCGTGCCCAAATGGAAAAATGGCGTCATCACCTTCAAGAATGTCTTTGTTTCAAAACGGCCAGGGCAGGGCACAGGTCATGTCAGTAAGGGGTCATCGAAGTCTGCGGCAGCTGCGGCCGCAGCTCGAGGTGACACTGGATTCGAAGATTCCCAGACAGTATCTGCTGAAGAGGAAGATACTAACTATACACAATTCGATTTGTCGATCGAGACAGTCAACGTGACACTATCATTTACCAAATGGCTTAATGGAAAGGGCCCACTTCATGATGTCGAGGTTAAGGGCATACGGGGTGTCGTCGACCGGCGCCATGTTTATTGGCCGGAGGAGGACTTGGATCCTAAATCGTACCGACATGAGCATAATCCTGGCGACTTTGAGATCGACTCTTTCAAGATGCATGATCTGCTTGTCACCGTTTACCAACCGGACAACTTCCGTCCCTTCTCTGTGAGCATCTTCTCGTGCGATCTCCCTCAATTGCGAAAACAATGGCTCTTCTACGATTTCCTCTCTGCCAACATGATGTCTGGGTCTTATGACAACTCTTTGTTTACAATTCACGCTCGTCAAACCCATGGATTCACTGGTATTCGGCACGATGACGGGGAAGAGGAAGATGGCAAGCCAAGCCCATGGAAGAAACATAACAGGATTCGAGTCGACGGACTCAATGTCGACCATCTCAACCGTGGTGTTCAGGGCCCTTTCTCTTGGATTCACGAAGGGACTGTGGATATTGTAGCGGACATCATGTTACCTGCAGAAAATGATGAGAGTTTGGCCAAGGTGATGGTTGATTTCTATGATCGGTTGGAGGCCACTGTTACCTCCAACCGTTACCCAGAGCCTCTGTCTTCGGACTCCAGTCCAGAATCAGAGACTGAAGATCGACGTTTCCTTGCTATGGATTTGCGCGTGCATCTTAACAACGTTCGAGCTGTCGTACCCATCTTCACCCGAGACCTTTCGTACATCAACAACGCACTGATTCGCCCTATCGTTGCCTATATCAACTCCAAGCGCACTTTTATTCCCATCAATTGCCGTTTAGTCAAGCGCGTTGGCGATTTTGATGGAAGCTGGACCATATTTGACAGTGGCCTGATGGATGACTTGTCAGCTACAGTGAGTACCCATTCTTTTTTTCTCCTACAGATCATTACTGATAACTTCTCCAGACCTACGACGCGTTTGCCCGAGATGTCGTGGATGATCAAGCCCGGAAAAGGCGGTTCAAGAAAGTCGGGTTTTGGTCCCTTCAGTTGGCCGCCCAGGCTATTTTCATGGGCATGGCTGGCAACATCGCCTAATTGTACCGTTATGTACCTCATTTGACTGGCGTTTTTTTTGGAGGGGGGGGGAGGTTTTCTTTTTCATTTGGTCTGTATTATAGTCATTGCGGTCGCATTTACAGGAGTCTAGGTTATTTTATTTTCAAGATAGAATCCATTTCAAGCTAAGTAGAAAACGCAACTCAAACTAGTGCAACTGTGAGACGGTCTTCCAAGGTATTGCCCTGGATATTCAAATCATTCTACTAATCACCAGCTCTCCGATAGTTCTAGATCACTT